CGATCATAGATCAGATTTAATTGTCTTTATGTGAATGATCTTGTGTAAACACACCTCTGTTCCGTGGTCTTATTATGAGAGTCTGCTGCAGTTTTAAAGCCCTGCTGTTGCATTGCTTCTGCAGAAACATATAAAACACTGCTGCCAGTTGTTGTGAGATTCTATCTGAGCCTCTCCTCTGGGCTGAAGTTGTCGTCGTTGTGTTCCTGACAGACATGGTGAGCCAGGCCCTGGAGCTGTCCAACCAACCACACGTGGTCGTGGCGACGCCGGGCCGACTGGCTGATCACATCCGCAGCTCCGACACCTTCAGCATGAGCAAGATCCAGTTTCTGGTAAGTTCTGGAAATATATACCACAAACTACTCATATACTTAAGATCTGTTTGACAATGTTAGGACTAAGTTTAAACCAAGTAAATATGTTGTTACACAGCACAAAGATTTGTTTACCGGTATGTCAAAAATATGCAAAAGAGAGGTCCATGTAGCAACGTAATGCTTTACTGTTTTCATACACTTCATAAGACAGGCTTTATTTTTAAACCCTGATTAGTCCCAGATTATCGTATACATATTTAATTGTTTACATGTCTTTTCAACAGCTAATCAACATATCATTGCTTAGTCAGCAGGATTTGAGCATGTTAAGCACGACTAACACAATTTGTTTTCAGATTTTGGACGAGGCGGACCGGCTGTTGGAGCAGGGTTGCACCGACTTCACCAAAGATCTGGAAACGATCCTGGGAATTTTACCAGCTAAACGGCAGACGCTACTGTTCAGCGCCACACTCACTGACACCCTGCATGAGCTGAAGAACATTGCCATGAACAAACCTTACTTCTGGGAGAGCAAATCGGAGTGAGTTACTTGCTGCTGTTTACAGGAATAGTGTTCGGTGTGTTTGTAGATATCAACGTACTTATTCAGGCCCTCACATTAAAAAATAAAGGTGGAAGAGAACACTCAGGGACAGTTTTTAGTGCATTTTGTGGAAGAAATCCTGTGTATCATTTATAAAACAGGAGCACTAGCCTGTCTTCTGATCAGATGCATCTCTGCACAAATGCCTTTGGATGCGAGGGAGAGTCATGCAAATAATGGGATCAGAAATGTGAAGTGTGGTTGAATGAGCATTCTGCTGGATTTACTTGTGCTCAGACCATTTTCAGGGTTCAGATATGTGCAGAAAGCAGCTACAATCTCAAGCAGGTGTTTTTAAAAAAGGTTGTGACTGAGAAATTGTAACACCAGTGACAGCAGACTTCAGATGGGTGCAGAATAAACTTCATAGAAGCACAGCTCATGCTCTGGTTGTTTTCATATTAGTTTACATCTCCTGTTCAAGGGTTAATTATATGGCTGAGACTGTTTTTGTGAGTTTGCGTTGTGAAGCTGTTATGTGGACAGAAAAATGACGGTTGCATTGAATTTTCATCTGGCTGAACATGACTGTAGCACAGTGTTGAGCAGATTTTCACGTGTTCTCTGCAGCTGAACACGAAGATATTCTCATTTTATCATCACAGTAGCCAAAGTAATGTTCAAAACATTCAAATACGTCTTGGCCTGAATCCATGGTAGCTCCAGGGTTGCTGTTCTGTACTATGACCTCTCTGGCAAAAGAAACTCTTTATGGGACAGTGAAATCACTTTATTGTTGTTAACAGGACACGAACAGTGGAGGAGCTGGACCAGAGGTACATCCTCACTCCAGAGAAGGTGAAGGACGCCTACCTGGTCCACCTGATCCAGAAGTTTACTGACGAGCATGACGACTGGTCCATCATCATCTTCACCAACACTTGCAAGTAAGAAGTAATGAAAATAGCATATACATTAAGCATTGTAGTGACCCTAATATGATGCAGGGTTTCTAGAGGTAACATGGTTGCCTTTTTATAAAACTAATTTAGCCAGTATGGTGTTAATTCAACTCCATGATTTTTGAGGCTGCAATTGGTGAATTGGATTGTGATTTGTAGCGTTTATTAGCATACATTTAGTATTTTATTGTTCAACTTCTATACAGATAAAGTTTATTATTATTGAATAGGTGAATAGAAATTAAGCTTACACGGTAAAAAATTTTTTATGGCCCTGAGTGCTATCAGTAGCCAGGGGGCAGCAGCCATTGTGGGTTTGTTTTATTTCATATAGAAAAGCATATTTATTTCATACAGTAATTTGTTTGTTTTAATTAATTCTTTCTCAGGAGCTGCCAGATCCTCACCATGATGCTGCGGGAATTTAATTTTCCGACCATCTCACTGCACTCCATGATGAAACAGGTGCGAATGCTGCAACTTTATTTTGCCACTCTGAATTTAGCTAGTACATCAGCCAGTACATTTCAGTAACTGAGGCCTGATGAAGGACACTTTTTAGGGTTATGAGGGAGAGGCCACCAAGTGTAGTCTGTATCTGAATCTGCTTTACTGGTCAATTAAGTTTCACGTACAAAGAATTTTACTTTGCTTTGTGTGAGAGAAAGGCATGTGCATTATCACCAGAGCTCCTCAACAAGCTTGTGATGGATGTGGGACTTATATTTGCCTCATTAACAAGACAATGTAGAAACGGTCGGTGTAAGGGATTAAAGCAGATTAAACCAGATGAATGGGCCTGCAGAATGAGCGATTGCTCTTTTATTTTTATCTTCACCAGAAACAACGGTTTGCAAACCTCGCCAAGTTCAAGGCCAGCGTCTTCAAAATCCTGATTGCGACAGATGTGGCTGCCAGGTAAGAAGCTCTGCTGAGCCGCTGCATGTCTCAGGAATGAGCGTCTTCAAGCTAAAGAAGTCTAACAAAATCATCCTAAATTTGTCATAGCTGTAGTGAGTTTTGACATCCTTCCTGTTCTTTCTGACTCTCAGAGGTTTGGATATTCCAACTGTGCAGGTCGTCATTAACCACAACACCCCTGGCCTTCCCAAGATCTACATCCACAGAGTTGGACGAACAGCAAGAGCAGGTGACCTTTTAACAACTTTATTAGTATATTTGAACTTTTCTTTTCAAGTGACAAGATCAGAAACGTCAGGCTCATGTCCCCCAGGGACAATGACTTGCTCTGGTTCATTACATATAAATAAAATAGAAGCAGCTCATACATGAGGTTTTCTACCTCTGCAGGGAGGAATGGAGTTTCCATCACACTGGTGACACAGTACGACATCCACCTGGTCCACTCTATCGAAGAACAGAACAGTAAGTTACTTGGTTATAGAGACCGCTTTTCCTCTGTGTGCATCTCAGAGCTCAACTACACTGTGTCCTGATCTGCCAGCCTGTCCATACTGGTGGCTGCAGTGTGAACCTTTAACTGAACTGTTTTAATTGAAATGAATCTTGTGATAGTTATACCGATGTTCTTCTTTAATTCTCACACTCTTTTTCGGATTATGAACAATGTTAACATGTTCACTTCCAAAGCACTCATGGCTGATTCTTGAATTCGCTACCTCCTTGCTTTAATTGAAAGATGTCTACTGAAAAGTGGCTCCTCTATGGTCAAAAATGTTATCGCAAAAAAAAAAATTCATACCAATGTCGATAATTACCACAATAAACGTTAAATCATTATTTGCAATATAAGTGCTAATTAGTTTGTGGTTCAAATGAATTAAATCAAACATTTACTGACAATATATTGAACATTGGTTATATTGTTGAGGAAAATTATATTGCAATAATTACCATTGTCTTATTGCTGCTCTTATTCTTATTCATTTTAACAAACTGAAAATTACAGGAAAGCCTTGAAGACAGAGATAAGGTCCTGACTAGATAAGAGCGTGATTACATGGCCTTGCACACCTACCAGTAACACCACAAAGTCCGTTGTAAGCCTTTAGTTGTGTGTAAACGTGTGGTGTAACGCTACAAACTGGTCTGTTGCATTTCTACAGAGACGAAGCTGAAAGAATATCCTGTGGAGGAGAAAGAAGTCCTGAAGATACTGACCCAGGTCAATGTGACAAGGCGGGAGTGTGAAATTGTACGTATGCCTCTTTTCTTCATGTCCAGTCATTATTTCACCTCTAACAGTTGGTGTTCATTAAATCTCTCTAGTGTTTTGCAACAAAATTCATGATGGATTTGTTCCAATATTTGAACCAGTACCTGGAAAAACATTTCATTCATTTCCTATATTTGACTTAATTACAGCATAGTTCTTTAGTCATAGCTGTTTCATATTTTTCAAACTGGGACATTATTTGTTTTGACTGTAAATCAGTCATTTGGATTTTCTCACTAAAAATGTTTACATGGCAAATTCTTTTCTGCATTGTAGAAACTCGAGTCAACAGATTTTGATGAGAAAAAGGAGATCAACAAGAGGAAGCAGCTGATCTTGGAAGGAAAGGTATGTTCATTGTTTGTTTTTTGTTTATAACAGCTAAACTTTTGCTTTAACTGACAGGTGGAGAAGTTAGGTTTAATGTGTGAACACTTAAGGACTTTTTAGGGGTACTATGACACAGGTTTCCCCAGGTCATGTTAGTGTCTAATTGCTAAACTAATGGAAGCCAAAGGTGACAGCCTGCGACTCCATAGCAGCTCAGCCTCTAGAAGCTCTGCCTGCTCGGTTGATTGACTGACTCAGTAGTCTTGATAAGGATGAAATGCTATCCATTTGCTAGCCAACTGAAGGTCAAGATTATATTTATTTTGTTTCATTACAGACTATGTAGAAAGTACTACAAGTGGCTTGAATGGCACAACGTAACCTCAGTTAGCATAGTGTCTTGTCATGAACCAATAGAATCTTCACATGTAAGAGGGGTGAACAATAACCTCATTTGGACACTAACTGAATCTCTGTAGGTCTAAGAAGGATAAATATCCCCAGACAAGAGCCATCCTTCAGATATTCGTGTGGTTTCCTAGAGGAGGATGTTAACTTGAAATTTATTTTGAAGTTTTTGGAAAGGATGAGGAAGTAATTATAGGAAAATGGAGACTGTGTTTAGTTACAACACTTACAATTAATTTCTAGCATAAACCGAATTAATTTATTTTTCCCACCCCTATTGGCTACTGGGGTTCTTGCCTTCCTGTTGCTGGGGTCGATGCAGCACGGTTGTAGCATCCCACTCTCACTAACTACATTCTCTAAAAGGCTTGTACACACATGTGCATATGTCTGCTCAAATGGTCAGAAACAGACTCCATGAAGGTGGTATGAGGGCCCGACGTCCACAGGTGGGGGTTGTGCTTACAGCCCAACACCGTGCAGGATGTTTGTCATTTGCCAGAGAACACCAAGATTGGCAAATTCGCCACTGCCGCCCTGTGCTCTTCAGATGAAAGCAGGTTCACACTGAGCACATGTGACAGACGCCGTGGAGAACGTTCTGCTGCCTGCAACATCCTCCAGCATGACCGGTTTGGCGGTGGGTCAGTAATGGTGTGGGGTGGCATTTCTTTAGGCGGCCGCACAGCCCTCCATATTCTCGCCAGAGGTAGCCTGACTGCCATTAGGTACCGAGATGAGATCCCCAGACCCCTTGTGAGACCATATGCTGGTGCGGTTGGCCCTGGGTTCCTCCTAATGCAAGACGATGCTAGACCTCATGTGGCTGGAGTGTGTCAGCAGTTCCTGCAAGAGGAAGGCATTGATGCTATGGACTGGCCCGCCCGTTCCCCAGACCTGAATCCAATTGAGCACATCTGGGACATCATGTCTCGCTCCATCCACCAACGCCACGTTGCACCACAGACTGCCCAGGCGTTGTAGGGAGGTCATACAGGCACGTGGAGGCCACACACACTACTGAGCCTCATTTTGACTTGTTTTGAGGACATTATATCAAAGTTGGATTGGCCTGTAGTGTGGTTTTCCACTTTGATTTTGAGTGCGACTCCAAATCCAGACCTCCATGGGTTGATAAATTTGATTTCCATTGATAATTTGTGATTTTGTTGTCAGCACATTCAACTATGTAAAGAAAGGAGTATTTAATGAGATTATTTCATTCATTCAGATCTAGGATGTGTTATTTTAGTGTTCCCTTTATTTTTTTGAGCAGGGTAGTATCCAGCTCATCACACTCTATACCAGGCTGCTGGGAAGGACAACTAAGTTTTCAATATTAAATTACTTACTTGGTTTACATGAAGCAGTTCTTTCAAAGACATTTCTCTTTAAAATTAACTTAATTATAAACTAAACAGTAAAATGAGGGCTTTCTTATGTTCCCAACAATCGGTACCAAAATAACCTGGTTCTGTCCAGGATCCCTAGGTGGAAAACTCAGCGTTACCTTACGTTTGTCTGCTTCTTCTGATGTCAGTGTGAGCATGAGCTGGTTTTCTATTGCACTGGTTCCAGAACTCTGAATTGCCACCCCCATCTGATATGTTAAGCTATACATATAGAAAATAAAGTGAAGTGAAATGACAGTTAAGTTAATGACTTAAAATGGCCTGTTAATTTGTGATCCTTTCAGGATCCAGACCTGGAGGCTAAGAGGAAAGCCGAACTGGAGAAGATCAGGAGCCAGAAGAAGCGGTTCAAACAGAAAATCCAGGAGAGCATTCAAAAACAGAAACGTGGACAGCTGAAAAAGAAACTCAAGAGAAAACTGATGAAAAAAAAAAAGGCAGCGCAGGCAACGGTGTGAAAACTGCTGTGACCCATGTATATACTACAAGTTTATAACTGTACACTATGTAATATTTTCCCATCTGCAAATAAATTTAAAGTTGTGCTGAATCTCATGCCATAAAACCAGTTGCTCAAGTTGACAGCCTTTATTGATTCAATTTAACAAGGAACAGCCATGTTGTGATGAAACTTCACTGCAATAGGTATTTACATCACATTGAGCTCTCAAGTCCATTCATTTAATCGCTGCCTGTTGATGTAAAGAATCAAGGGTTTGGATGCAAATGTTTAACAACTACTCTACAACTGAATCACTGCACATGTTGCAATTCATTGTGGCTCAGATGGGGGGGGGGCAACACCAAAGCAATACAATAATATTACGGCAGCAGGTTCTTAAAGCTATAACATGTTAGGATTTCAATGGAACGGTCTGATATGTAAAACTAATTCATTGAACAAATGACAGATTCGCACAAAGCCAACAAAATAGAACTACTTCTAAGTCAATTAAACATGGCAGCATCTACTTACAACATGATTGTCACATGTCTGCAGAAATGAGAAGCAGGTAAGAAACAGCGAAGTACATTCTTACTGTGTTCAGAAAGCGTCTTTCCTGGAAGAGTTAAAAAACTACAATCCCTCGGACAGTTTGAGGAGAAGATAAAAAATTAATGGAGAAAAGGAAACTGTCTGCCTCGTTCCTGTTGCTACAAAAACAGGTTTTTAGTAAAACTACACAATGGCTAAAAATAACACCCAACTGAACAAAACGTGACACACAAAGCAGCGAATCATCTGACAAAAGCAAAGTTTGGATCAACTCAAGGTTCAGGTTCACACAGTTCTTCAAGAAGAGGGTTTGGGATCCATATAAATCTCGAGAGGAACTCTCAGAATACATAATGCAGGCAAAACATCTTTGCACAAATCAAAAGTCCACAGAAGGAAAAATAGATTCTACCAGCCTCAGTTTATTTTACTTCACAGAGAAGGAAGGTGGCTTTTTTCCTGCTAAACTCACTGACCTCATTATCTGGCCTGATATTGATATAAAAAAAAAACATTACAACTCCTTTTCTGTGGTGTTTTTTGAGCCCTCTGGTGTCCTAGTTTTTTTATGCTGGTAGTTTGATTTTAACTACATTCATGCTTGTGCAGCAGCTGTTTATCTGAAGGTTATTGGTTATAGGCACTGATTCACGTTTCTCATTCACTTTTCATTTACCTCCTTGCCATCATCAGCATTTCCACTGTGTGTAACTGGGGTTTAGTTAAGTGTCAAAATATGTTATTACACAGGAACCAAAGATCTTTCATGTTGATGTTGCGTTGAAACTTGACATATTTCATTTGTGTCTTATTTTTTCAACCCCTGATTATGGTTAGATTTGTGTGGCTGGGCAATATGGTCATCAGCCTGGCTATATTGCTTCCCATGGTAACATTCACAAAATCAAAATGCTTTGTGATGTGACACTGGGTTTTACAACTACATCTAATGTGTGGTCCTTTATTGGGACTGAACAGTCCTAAAGCCACACGTTTCCCTCTAAATTTTCAACCCTGGCAATGACCTGAACTTGTTTTCCAGAAACTCTCATATCCTTCTCTCTCTCAGCCACCTTCCTTTTCTACTCCTTACCTGTGGTGGATTGATTGCCATGACCGCCTGTAAGCCTCGACTACTAACATCATTCTTTCCCCCTTGTTTGGTTTCTTTCACCTCAAGCAGGGATCTGTGTGGCGATTGTTGACAGTCCACAATCCCCTGAGGAATCAATCGATGCAAAGCATTCAAGCACTTGCCAATCTAAGCGTACACAGAGCGTAAAAAAAAAAAGAAAAAAAAAAAAGACATCTGGTCATGAAGCACTGTGGGACAACAACCACCCCTGCTTTCAAAAGATTAAAATAAGGGAAAGCCTTCGCTGAAACATCAAATGACACTGAGTTGAATATCCAATGCTGGTCGTGTCTGATAGTTTCGATGACTTTTTTGCAATTTTGTGCTCTGTGATAAGAAAGGTACTTCAGAGAAGAAAAACTGTCCCATGATGATCGCGATATCTGTGGGATTCGCGCGTCATGCCTTGAAAAAAATAGTCTGAAATCCCCGTGCCACTCCACCACTGATGTGTGGTCGAAACCACCCCATTAGACCTTGTGAGTGAGCCAGTGGTTCTCAAGGCAAATGAAAGGTATTTCAATTCAAGGCTCTTTAATCTCAGACTATAGCACAGAAACCGTGTTTTTATTTCCTCACCGAGAGGGTGTGTCGAATGCTGCTTCCTTCAGAGGCTGTCGAGGTTTTTGGGCCCAATAGAAGATTGTTGGTACCGCTCTCCTCCCATGATAAACCAAATTTAAAAAGATTCAGGATGAGCAACCAATTGACTTTTAGCATGGGGATTTTGTGTTGCTTGTTTGATGGCTTTCTGCAATCATGCCCCCCTGCAAGTTTGGAGAACTAGTTCTTCAAATTCAACTGGAAAGCTTTGGATCCCCATCTGAAGAGGAGATAGCTTTCCTTCCTTTTCTGGAGGCTGTGGGTTCAATGGGTTTGCTGGATTATTTTGTTGGGAGTTGAGCCTCATTTGGATTCCCATTAGAGACCGTTCAGGTCTCCCCTCTGTTTCCCTCAGCAGCTCGACCACACGCTGCCATCTTCTCGACTTCCCTCCTTCTCTTTGCACGGACATCGGCCTCTGCCTCTCGCTTGTTCACTCGGCCTCTCCTGCCATCTTCCCGCCCGTCTGTTCGTGCGCTCTTCTTCTACCCTCAGATTTCTCTCGCTGGTCATTGGTTTGGTTTCGCTATCCCGTCGCTTTCACTCGGTGGTGCTTCGGTTGTAGCAGAGGAAAACAGGTATCCATTTTATGTTTTTATTATTTCCCAGATTAAAAAGCTGATGAACTAAGCTCAGCTCAAGCCTAGCTCCCTTCTTCAAGTGACCTGAAAGACACAGAACAGGTTTATAACCTTTAGACCAAAAACAGATGAGCAATACTGCCTTTAGAAGAGACCTGAATGTCTCTAGCTGAAGGAATTATTCTAGTCTTCAGTGGAACAAAATAATTAAATGCAATTAACTAATACAGAACTAATTACCTTAATAGCCTGTAAAACTGCCCTGTTCAGCTTTTCTGAATTACTTCAAAGACACCGTCACATTGGTCAAAGGTGAATTTACGGTGGATTTTACATTTTAGCTGCAGGACAAACTAAAACCACACAAAGTGCAGGTAAGATACACCACAAAAAAGAGATACATCACAAGACAGTGACACCAATAGTAACATAACCAACAAATCATCAAAGTCGACTTATTTTCTATAAAGCTGTGATTTGCATGATAAGAAGTCTGCCAAGATTACTATTTAGATACATCTGGAACCTGTGGCCCTGCACACCAATAGTCATACGACACATTTCTTTCAGTAAGGAAACATGATAGCTGTACTACTTCCCAAACTTCAAATGTGCTATACCGTAACTACAAAGACTGTTTTATGTACTTACACTCTAGTACTGTGACAGTCCAGTCACCCCACCATGCTGGTATGCGCGTTCACCCTGGTAAGTCGAGTCCTGGGACAAAGCCACATCAATTTGGGACTTAAACTCATCGCCCAGGTAGCTGTCCTGAGAACAGGAGGACAGAAACATTATTGCAGACACATTTTGATATTCATCAGTAAGCTCTATGCAAAGACCTCTCAATCTCTCCTAATTCAAAACTATTACATTATACCTTCCTCATTTTTACTGGATTTGTTCAATTTATATTATGAACAATGTGAACAGTGCAACTAAACTATACCACTCATTCAAATTGTGAATCCATGAACATATGTGACCGTGATGTGCTACCTGGGACAGCTCTGGCTGGGAGAGGCCAGGCTGGCTCATCTGAGAGGGCTGGCTCATGGAGATGTAGCCTTGTGTCAGTGGCCCCTGGGAGAAGGACTGGGAGGCCCCATCCTGGCTGACCTGACTGTTTGGTCCGTTACCCTGACTGGACCCCTGGTTTCCCGAGCCACGGACCCTCTGCCGCCCACCACGGCCAGGTTTTCCCTTCATAGCTCCACGACCTTGATTGAGGAAACAAACAAAAAAGATATCAGGACCAGTGTCAAAACAAACATGGTACGCAATCATTGTTCTAAGGTCATGTTATTTACACTAAATGGGAGAAGAACCACAGTAAGTGAGGCTTGGGGTATACTATTATTGCTTGTGGACAATAAAGACAGGGTCCCTTTGACTTGACTTGAGAGCTCAAAAGCACAAATACTACATGTGTTTTCAGTTTGTGTAATGGTTCAGTGGACAAAGTGTGTTGTGTTGTACCTGCAGCAGGGCCGTTGGTCTGACCCAGGTAACTGGGTGGAGGCATGGGTGGCATCACCAGATTGAAGGGTATGGGAATATTCATGGCAGACATGTGACCGGCCCCCCCCCCAATCATACCAATCTGGTCATGGGTTTGAAAGTACATGTTGGACGGACGTCCAGCTGAAAGAAAACACACAGAACAACACATGTCAGTTTTTACAAAGAAAACAAGACTGGACAAGCCTAGTTTGCTGGACTTTAATGCAATGTTGAAAAAAAAAGTTTAGTCATTGGTTATTATCTTGAGTGATACCATAAGATACCAAATGTGTGTTAAATAGATACCAGCATTGCTGCGGTCGTAGGCAGAGCCAGGGATGAGAGCCTCGCGGGCATCGTACATCGCAGTGCTCATAAAACGTCCCCCCTGGAAAACACCAGATAATCACCATTTGTCAGTTACATACTTCACAGATTCAAGGCTGTAACTAACAGATGTATTCACTTATGATAATTCTGCCCATTACTCTAAAGATTAGCAATTTAGTATAAAAAATGTCCATCAAATTTCCCTGAACCCAGGTCAATGTCTTCAAATTACTTGTTTTGTCACAGTCCAAAACTCATAGAGCACTAAGAAAACCAGCAAATACTCACATTTGAGTATTCATCTGTCAATCAACAAGCCAATTAATCTACCTATCGTTGCTCTCTACTAAGATTCAAGACTTTAGTCTGGTTAACAACTGTTTTTAATAGGTCTAACAAATGTACAACTGCTTTTAAATCATACTGTGGCTGAAGGTAAGATGTGGAAAATAGCTTTAAAGCAAATCATCCTTCCTAACAGTTTAGTCAGTATCACTTTGTCATCTGGTTTCATGATGTTTTCCTCCAGAGCATGATGGGTGCACATACAGTAGTTTGTTCTACTCACAGGGTTGATGGTGTTGACCAGTTTGCGGGGCTTGCTGAACTGCATGAGGCTCTCCCTGAGGTTGTTGAGGGGTCCCTCCACGAGGACTTTCTGCTCCTTGTAGTTGTTCAGCAGGTTGTTCCACAGCGGCTGCTTGGAGAGGGCCTTAGGGTTTCCCACAATGATCACACCATACCTTCATTCACAACACACACAAAAAGTCTGCTGCTCAGAGACTTTCCCACGATGATAGCATCTTTAAAATTATTCTGGCACAAGTTTTTGTTTGTCTAGCCATCAACAGTATCTGATTTGCAAGATTCTCCATTAGCTTCTACAGTAAAAATCTAAAGAGATCATCATGAACCAATGAGCTGGCTGTGTGATGTGCCGTATTTATCCACTGTGATGTCTTAATAGTTGTACTGAGGTTTTTACTTGGCTCTGGTCAGCGCCACGTTGAGACGACGTGGGTCATTCAAGAAGCCGATGCCCTGGTGCTCATTGGCACGAACACAAGACAGGATGATGAAGTCCTTCTCTCTGCCCTGGAAGGCATCCACACTGGCAATTTCCACTTGCTGTAATGAGACATGACAAGAGGAGAGTGAGGGGGAGAAGCATAGTAAAAACAGATTTTTTCCAACACTGCAGAGCAACCTGGCTAATGATAACGGAGGCTTACAATCAATTTGAATTTATTCTGTCTCTTTAGTTAATAAGATGCCTCAATCTCATCTGTGAGGAGATAAAATAACCAGACACACAACTCCCAAATACTGCATTTTTGCTCAGTTAACACTATTTTGAATCTACAATGAAGCTTAAATTGATTTTAAAAATACAAAAAATAAAAATAAGCTGTGTACATCTGTGTGGTACCTGATAGAGTTTGGTGTGCAGGGAGCCGCTGAACTGCATGTACTGGACCAGGTAGGAGCGCTGACCCTCATATGGGGTGATGATGCCGATCTGGTCAGGTTTGGCTCCAGCCTTCAGCAGCCTGGTAGTGATCTTCTCTACGTTGGCCGCCTCCGTCCTTAAAACATTCATCAGTTAAATGCTGTACTGCTCAGTACTGGGAAAATTACATCTGAAGTTAATGTGAGTAGACTAATCGACTTAAAATGCAAATCATGTCTGTGGTGCCTCAACTTGGCACATCATGCAACATGAGGATCAGGATGATTTTATTTACTAAAGCATGCATATAATTAAAACAATTTTAAATTAAAAAGGTGTGATCCTGATTTAAGTGTTTTGCGAAGGTGACCCAATCATTCCTGTTAATCATGATTAACAAGGGGAAGAAACCATGCGACCATTTCATACAAGTAAGCCAATAGAGTGTGTGACGTTACCTGTTAAGGTAGGAGGTTCCAGAGCTGGCAATCTCCTCCTGACCCTGAGTCACGTAGAAGAACATGGGCTTGTCCGGCTGCGGCCACTGGAAATCAAAGCCTTTCTTGATACGGTCAGCTGGGGAGAACAGGAAGATTTCATTATAGTTTATGACAGAGTTTGTAGATCTTTTTAACTGCCAATGTACCAGCCACAGCGAAAATTAATTTGCCCCTCCATCAAACCAGATAATTATAACTTCTGAATCTTGACAAACCTGCAGTCACGCCATTCTGCAGGGAGCCCTCGTAGAAGATGTTGGAGGGGAAGGCACTGAGAGCCGGGTGCATGCGGTACTGGACCTGCAGGCGGATTGGCCGGATTCCTAGGACCACCAAGCGTTCAAACAGGGACTGGGACAGACCTGCTTTGGCTGCCTTCTTACACATCACCACAGGACCCAACTGGCAGTGATCACCCACCAGAATGAGCTGGGTGGAGGAAGAGTCACAAGTGTAAAAAGTGGGTTAATACAACAACATATTGTGAGAAGTTTTTGGTCCTGGATATTCAGGACAAATATTTTGCTCATCTTAATAGATATATTTAGGGCCCCAACAGTGAACGCTGGAGGACCCTATTGTGATTGTTAGAATTATTCTTCTTCTTATACTTATTCTTCCCCATCGATCGCATTTTTGGGACGCTTAGCATGCATGAAAAGTTGGCTAAATTGGCACACACATCCGAACTGGTGAAAATAGCGATCTGATATGGGTACGGTGTAGTTGTCCTAGGAATTTGATCAGATTGACTTCAAATGCGGGCTGTGCCATGCCAACACCCTTGCGATGTTAAATTGCGAAGCTTTTTTTGATTGATCAAACGGCGTGTTTGAGAGGCTAGGGATGCTTGAAATCTCACAATACTTTGCACACACATCAGAATGGGTGTGTTGTAATGTCTGATACTGTTCAAGGGCATGTGTGTGGAAAAACGGCTCTATAGCGCCCCCTTCAAGATTTCAAAGGAGCAGCCCCAGCTGTCTGTTACACCTAGGGCTACCAAATTTTGTAGGCACGTGTATAATGTTGGGACTTAAAGAAGTCTCTTGGAGCCATATGCTAAACCCAACAGGATGTCGGCCATATTACATTGAATGTTGGATTTACCTCCATTTATAGGTCCCATACTTTAACGAACTTGTCCTACAGTTCCGTACAGTAACCTGATCAACATTCAAATGTAAGAAGCGCGACCTTAACGGCCTTGCAATGTTATATTGCAAAGCTTTTTTTGATTGATCAAATGGTGTGTCCATGGCGTCGCGTTCAATTTTGATGATTCGCCATGAAAAGGAAGTACCATGTAAATGCACTAGACATGGTCAGACCCTTAGAATCTCACATGTCAATATCCAGTGGTAGTGACAGCGCCACCTAATGGCATCAGGAAAGGACATGTTTCAAACTTTACCCCTAATACAACACATAGCACCTTAGGGACAAAAATGTCAGTGGGGAATAGCATAGCAGGTTGACCACATCCATCTCAAAGTTCTGCAGGAAAGCCATAATGCTTTAATGATATTACATTGTGAAACTTATAGGTTCTTATCAAATGCAGTCATCGTGGTCAGTTATTACTCGCCATGAAACAGGAAGCTGTTTTTTAAGAGCTGTACCTTTAAAGCCACCGAAAGTCTGCCACGTTGAATTGAAGTAGTAACTGACATTTCATCCACACATTGTCAGATATTTTCCACACATCACCTTTGTGATATGTGCAGTGTTAACTTATAGCACTACCCATTATTCAACGACAGTGCTTAACTCCCTTGCGAAAATGACAGAATACACACACACACACACACACACACACCAGATACACGGATGCAGCACACCCCGACTTGAAGGAAGTCGTACCACGCAATAGCTGCGCGGGTGCGGCACACCCCGCCGAGCAGGAGATGTTCGCAGCTCAACGTTGCTTGCATCTTTAATTCATATTATTATCCATCCAATTTGCTTAAAAATTCTAATAAATGCTGGGCTACACTGTTTTACTACCTATCGATCCAGCTGTAGGGATAGCGATTTAGCTGTCTGTATGAGTATGTGTACCTGCTTGGCTCCCAGCACCACGGGCACCATACATTCTGGCTCGGTGGCCTGGGTGCTCTCATCAATCAGGATGGATCGGAACTGCATCTTGGCCAGTCGAGGGTCTCCAGCCCCGACGCAGGTACAACAGATAACATCAGCATTCTGGGCAACAAGGAGGAAGATAATGAATGTATAATCCTCAAAAGGAAGAGGGAGTCTTGGGGTTACTAACTAAGACCAAAAGAAAACAATCTCAAAATAAGCAACAAGCTTCTTGGTCATCACAACACTCAGTATGGAGATGGTCATAGCACTTTTACGGAATAATTAACACAGTCAGAATGAATTTTGATTTGCTTGGCCAAAACTACTTGTTGAACTAGTAGAGCCTGAAAAGCTGTAGCAGGCCTCTTTGTAAGCTCCTAGCTTCAGAAAAAAACAAAAAACAAAAAAAAAAACGTTCATAATGTATTATGACCTTTTGATTTAATGTTTTATAACTAATAGTAATACCAGTTTATATCAATGTGCACCAAGAATCTCTGACCATGTTCCATAGTACGTTATAACCATCAACTCTGCCTCGTTATAAATACACTTTAGTCACAATTTAGAATTAGTGATATAAAATGGAATAATACCTTATAGTAATGTTGGCACCTCAATTCCTTAAAATGAATCGATGAAATTGATGTAATTATGATGTGTTTTGTGCTAAACTGCAAAATGTTCAAAATTCATACAGATTGTTCATAAAGTGAAGAAACATAAATAAAAGTTGTTTTCCTGCGCAAAATGTGTGTCACTTTACTTAAAGCAAACAATTACGTGTTATAAGGTCTTAATTAGTTCATATGGTATTATGTCCACCTGTAATATATTATACAGGGATGGACATTTTAACACTTTACTTAAAGCAAAGAAAGACATGCTGTATAACATTAAACATTACTATAAGCTATTATTCCATTTTATCTCTCTAATTCTAAATTGTGACTAAAGTGTATTTATAACGAGGCAGAGTCGGTATAATGTGTTATGGAACATGGTCAGAGATTCTTTGCGCACATTGATATAAACTGGTATTACTATTAGTTATAAAACATTAAATCAAAAGGTCATAATACTTTTTGAACTTTGCTATAGTGCTTAATGCATGTTTGTGAGTGATTATTGCAATTGTTATTGCATTATATCGTGTTATAAATGTATGCATAAGTCATTATAGCGATGACCTTCATCGAAAGTGTTACCAAAAAACCTTTCATGGTGAAAACGGTTAAGTTTCAACACTTTGAAGCTCTTCCTCACCATAAGAAGCTCTCTCTCTGCAGTGCGTTTCAAAGCCCTGTAGCGTTTCTCATCAGCAGATGACAGCTCACCAGTCTCATCCTTCAGCTGTTGTAGTTTCTGAAGCTCCGGCATACTAGGGAGACAAAGGCACATCAAGGTGATGTGAAGAGAAGGCACACTAATGTTATATATACACACAACCAAGCTAATCTGTGACCTAAAATAGGGGTTTTCAAAGTCTTAAAAACCCAGACCTATCCCGTTTTGGAACTACAACTCCCATAACTAGTTATGGTGGAGGTATGCAGGTAGGATAAAGTTGCTATGGAGTCAATTAGCTAACTGCGGGCTACAACTTGAGCTCCATTACTTGAGCCAATATTTGTTTACATCTTTCACAGTGAAAAGTATGCAGAATTATCTATTAGCAGTTCCTGTGCTGTGGTCCAGGAATCAGTTAGACAAAATACTACATAACTACCAGGAATCCTGAAAAGAGTTAGCATGAAAAAGATAACTTGAACAGGAAGAATATGGATGTGTAAAATCTAGTAACACAATAAAATGCCATGCCATTGGCGCTTGGTCAACCAGTTATTAAACGGGTGTTTGTACAAAGCAGCAAACAAGTATTAGTAACTTTTGAGTCCAGAGTCAACATGCCTACATGTCACTGACCTGTCCATGTTGCTGATCTGGTTGTGCAGCGCCAGGAAGGACACTGGTGACTCGATGGCCTCCCGGCTCTTGGCACACAGCCTGACGACCTTCAGTCCAGTCTTGTCAATCTTCTCAGTCAACTGATCAACGGCAATGTTACTGGGAGCACACACCAAAACTGGTCTGCAAACATACACACATTCACACCGTAAAGAGTTAGGTCAGAAACAGTTATGTAAAATACAGTTGCTAAGAATAACAAAAATTTGAACATTACAGGTATGCAAGTATGTTAATATAAAACTCTGTGTCTAACCCATTGCCTTGTCGGGACAGGTGATAGACAATAGTGGCAGAGGTAACAGTCTTCCCAGTGCCAGGAGGACCCTGGATCAGACTGAGAGGCCTCTGCAGCACCGTCTTCACAGCGTACACCTGGACATAAAAGTACAGTTTTCAGCCCAAATGAACTGTTGCAAATACAGACATCAGATATTTCTTAAAACATATATGCTGAGAAAGAACACACTCTACTCATTCTAATGATGAGAGATCCAAATTACACATTAAAACCAAAACAGACACATGTTCCCTTCTAAAACACAACAATGCCCTAAGTAGATTCATAATAGCTGTAACGTAAGAGAGACAACTCAACACATACTTTTTGCTGCAATGATGTTCATGTCTTGAGGGCATAAGAAAACACACAATGACACAGCTTCCTGTGTAACAGGAATAACGGGGAATCAGCGTGTAGTGAGGTCTGACCTGTGAGTGATTGAGGTCGGGCAGGCCCTGGGCCGTGAAGCGCTTTGGCAGCTGGCACTTGATGGTGACATCCTCAACCTCGTGGCCCAACAGTTTGTGATAAATGTAGCCAGACACGGAGGTCTCATCCACTGCAAACGTTTTGAGGGCGCTCTGCATCCTGCAGCAACACATATACAAATGAATATCAAAAATCATGAAGGAACCACTGTCCTTCCCATTTGCACCAATAGCTTTACTTTAAAATAGTGCTGGGCAACTATTAAAAATTTTAATAGCGATTAATCGCATGATTTTCTGCGATTAATACCAATTAATAGCGTTATGCATGAAATTGAATAATGAATTCTAAAGTAGTGTATTGCACACTTTTAATTTCAATCTACTACTATATACACAAAAGTGCATTAACATGTGGTTTGCAGACACTTTGAACAAATAAGGTGCTTTTTTTCCAGCAGTACTCCCTTTACACAGTAGCAATAAAATATTTCTTGTAAATCTCAACTTAAACATTAATGTAATCAAACCAAATATAAAAAATAACGCCATTTGCTACTGCCAGGGAATTACCTTTTATAGCTTGTAACATCATAACAGGCACCTTCTGAGCAACAAGTTAACATATATAAATCTGTTTTCTTTTCTGAGCAGGTATCAGCAGAAACATTTTTCTTTTATCAGGGAGCAGCATAAACAGTCTATGTTCAAATCAAATCATTGGAAGAGAGACTGATGCTCGCTGTTTGCGAGTTTCCAGAATCCATTACTGTTTACTAAATAGTTATCAGGACATCAACAGGGGGGAATTTGCATGGCAGAGCATTCCCGCAATACTAGATGAAGGCCTATCAGGTAAAGTTACGTAGCCTATAATTTGCCATGGTTACTATCTATAGAGCGCCAGCCGTTTACTCGCATAGCACTTGTCCCCTTTTCTGATCACCTGAGCAAGGGCAACCTCGCGGGGCCAAGCGACTACGTTGTGATTTTAAGAAAATTCCCAAGATTGACATCTTCCCAAGTACTAATCAGCATGCAGTGTGTAGCTATCCACTTCGCTATGGCATTTGATCGCTTGTCTTGCTTTTATTTAGACTATACTTCTCCCTCACGCTGCATCCAGCGTAGTCAGAGCCAGTGAGCGACGGACTTTCAAAACAATAATAAAAACTGCTAAAAACCAATAAAATAATTGTCGGCATTAATTAATTAATGTTTTAACGCGTTAACATGCCCAGCCCTACTTTAAAATGATTCCGCAGATTTACACAAAATTACCTCCTATAAACAATGGACAATTAGTTCTGTGCATTGTTTAAAGGAAGGAATGTTACATACTGTAATGTGGAGTAATATAGTAACTTAAGAGCTGTAAAATGTAATGTTCCCATCACATTCGGAATTTCGGGGTACACAATTTCAGCCCCCCGTGACCCTGTATGCAGGATAAGCGGTTGATGATGGATGGATGGACAATTTCAGCCTACCTGTCAAAGGAAGTGGACTTCCACACAAAGTCCACCTGGAAGTTGTGGGGGATTTCCACAGGTGCTCCCACACTGCTCCGCAACTCAATGGCAATTTCATCCCCATAGTCTTAAAACACAGGCTGTTAAGGAAGTCAAGCATTATCCTAAAGTATTTCTAGTAGGTGACGGTGGGTGGTACTGTGTTGTCTATGCTAGTCATTTAGTAAAGACCACAGACTTCCATCCGGGATTAATAGTGAGCCAGACTTAGGACACTGTAATGCAATGGATGATATAACTGCTAACAGTGTAAAGGATACTGTCAGGGACTTTGATGACATGACCGATGCCTTTCCACAGCGGGGCCAGGTCTCCCTTGTATCGCAAGCAGATCTCATCACCTTGCATCAGCCGCATATCTGTGATTGATACAAAGACACAAGTCAAAAACCCTTCTATGCTAAAAATTGGCCCACAAATAAACTAAGGAGGATGGGTGTACATAAACCACATGATGATACAGTACCGTGCACGCACAAAATGGCACAAAACCCCACTACAAAAACAGAGGCAAGAACAAAACCAAGCACACATGCCACCAAAAGATGCAGGGTTATGGGAAGTTGCGTGCAATTCTGAGGGCTGAAGGGGGATGGGGAGGGGCTCTATCTGCACCACAGAACCACTGGGAGGAAGTCAAGCTCTGAGAATTACCACCTGAATCCGTCTTGGGCAGTGTGAAATAGGCAATCCGCTTTTTATTCAGTCCCAGGTCCCACCTGACTGTTATATTGTCTTGAGTCTGAAAAGGAAAATTAAAAATAAATAAATATAAAATAAATAATAATAAAGTTCTGTAACTGTTTTAATGCCATTCAAAGAAATGACAAAAACAGATTCTGTCACCTGTAAACCACTCTATATATAAACGACCATGGTAATTCAAGGCAGACAAACACCAGTCTCTGAGTTATGAAGTTTCCTACTTAAATTGTTTCTCATATTGTTCAGGTACCTGGGACTCCTTAAGCTTCTTGTCGTAGTCTGCCTCTAGTTTGACCAAAGGGCCAAAGATATTTTGGTACTGGTAGGCGTCCTCATAGCGTAGCAGCACATGCTGGGGCTCCTCGTCCACTCCCGGTTTCTCGAGGTCTTCCAAGGTGGCACTGGGATTGTCCTGGGGGGGAAATAAATCCAAAGCAACTGTCATAAAAGTACATCACACATCCTATCACAAACTCTTATTCCATGTATAAAAGTTTACAACCTTCAGGTCACAACATTGCTTTGAGCATGTAACTCCGGAGAAGAAGCCTCCCAGACTAGCATACCTTCCAGAGCTCCTCCAGCTTGTTGATCTGCTGGGCAGTGATCTGGCGGGCCCGAAGCTGCTCCTGCTCCGATGGGATCTTCACCAGCCAGGACAGAAAGCAGCGGTCCTGGATCAGTGGTTGCCACTGCGAGCTGTCCCAGTTGATGTCCTTCAGGCTACTCTGGCTGGCACAGGGCTGCCTGCATGAAGATACGAGGTTCAGACATGCAGAAACGTAGGTTGCATGTGGGCTTTTACAGTAATGAATCTATTGCAGAGGATGTAAAAATAGTATTTGTCATCATGGATTTCTCATAGTACATCTTGGTGCACGTCTTCCTGCCACAGAGCAGAAAGCACTAGTTTACTAAGGTCTGTGGACTAGCTGACTACTAGCTTCTGTCACATTCTGGTGAAATCTAGCAGGTTGTTGAATAAATCTGATGAACTTGAAATAAAATCAATGCAAGCTTCTCTGTTTCTAACTAGCTTATCACAGATATATTGGTGAATAATGTCAGTAGTAAGTAATAAGAAAGCCAAATATGTACTTGAAGTAATCTAAAAACAGTGTTACATTTACAGAGTTTGTATACCAGAGAGCACAGACAACTTGTTTTTGGACTCAGTACATATGTCTTTTTTAATAACCAGCTTTAAGGGATCCTATGTCCGGCCCTAGCTTTAGTCATATAATAATAATATAAATAATACACAGACTAATTAAATTATATTGGGTCTTTTTGTCATGTTTCATTTCATTTTACGATACCCAACAGCTGTTTTGGGGCAGCGCTGTCTTTATGCCTAAATATCAGGTTACATTCATTTTCTTGCCTTCATAAACATGCGTACATTTTGAATGTCAATCACTGGCTGACTGTTTAGGCCTTTCAGAGACTTTGCACCAGATTCCTGAGCCTCATGGTGCATAAAAACTCATTGCATGTAACGGCTGAAACTTGAAGTCTCACGATAAACTTCCTGTTTCAAATCAAGAATTTGCATATTTAGATTTGAGTTCATGCTCCAGAGTAGCTTATAATGTCTGAGCACACACAGGCCCCATGCTGTCCTCAAGTACAGTCTTGACAGAACATACTGTATTTGTGGGCACTGGTTACAGGCTGGTCTGCCTACATAAAAGGCTGCTGCCCTGCCGGCATTTACCTGCAGAGTAGCACCACCACGGAATCGGCCTTGGCCGGGATGAAGCCCAGGAGGAAGACATTGCGACAGCCGCAGTTGTAACACTCCAGCACCGTCTCGCCCAGCGGCCCATCTTTATGCAGCGTCACCTCTTTGCACTTGGCTCTCACCAAGTGGTTCACAATGTGACTGGAAGTCAGAGAGTGGGAGTCAAACGATTTGGAAAATAATCAGAAACACTTTGATCTCCGTGAAATTTGCCCTGGTAGCATTGCTGCAGAAATATATTTATAGTTTGCATACTGCATAGCAACACATTTTGACCAACAGCACAGAAACAGGACAATGTAGACCACTTCACAGTCTTAAACATACATTGAATTAGGGCTGGGTGATGTGGCCAACAATGTTATCACAATAAAAACATTTTATATCATTCGATATCGATAATTATCATGATAAATGTCAAATCATTATTTCTTTCAAGTTTAAAGGCTACGTTTAGCTCCTGAATGAAAACTGAAGGGCCAGATGGTTAATTGTGTGGTTAAACTTTTCTTTATGGTCAGAATGTGACAAACACCTGATGCCAAACAATAGATCATTTTACATATCTGAGCTACAATATTCAAAACTATTGTGAAAAAAATATTTTTTCTGAAAATATGATTAGTAAATCTATTTGCATCCCTTTTCCTCAACAAAATTAACATCTTCATATAAAAACTAAGTGCTCATTCGTTTGTGATTCTAATGAATTAAATCAAATATTTACAGACGATTGTTATTGAGGAAAATTATATTGCAATAATTATCATTGTTTTATTGCCCAGCCCTACATTGAATACATCCTCCTAACAAAACCGTAATGAAAAGGTCTATAGACAACAACATACAGATCAGTGTCTTTACACACCTTCAACATAATCTGTGTGGCAGGAGTCTGACTGATTGTGATGTAGGTGATCACTGACCGTGTTGACTGAAAAACGCATTCTCTAAAATGTAATAGTGTAATAAGCCACATTTATGGTAGTGTTTGTTATTTTGATTATTATAAAAACTATAAGTGGTGTGTTTTTTTTGGTCTCCCTCCGTAGCTTCATGTGTTCAGATGCTTATATGTGAGGTAATTCGGTGAAGATGAGTAAACTACACACCTGCCAGATGTGTTGCCACGTCCATTACAGAACCACTTCTTGCTGGTATTGCAGTACACCACACACGCTGGATCGTGGATACCACAGTAACTGAAAAACAACAATGTAGCAAAACACTTTACTGCACTGTTTAGTCAAAATACTACATGAGTCCCTTGCCTTGGCAAATGTAAGAAAGCCAAATTGACAATAGTTGAAAAATGTATTTGTACCTGGCAATTATAACTTTCCTTACACAAACTCCTAGGTCTGTTTAGGAACTCTATCCTTGTAAGCTATCACAAGGATGGGAGACAATCAAGATCAAATCTTTAACCCAGTAATAACCATCTTTTTTCTAAAGATTATACCTTTACCTTGCAAATTTCTCAACAGCCTTGCTATCACTTCCACAAGCAACATTAACCATTTCCCCCATGTGTGTATATTATTGTATAACTAGTGTCAATTTTTGTTTGTTTACAGGAGCGTAAATTATGGAAGTTGTGAATAACTTCCTGTTAAGTGACACAGAATGGGTGCCAGTATTGGACTTCAAATAATGATCTGAAAACTGTTACTGCAGCTGGCTGGTGTGTTGTCTTGAATGAGTACTATTTGTAAACGTCAATTAACGTTACTGTGCTTATCAGAAAAGTTGTAACGTAAAAGTTCTGAGATAATCAATGATGAATTGATGTATCTTTCTGCCCTGTTTGTGGTGTGTAACATCAGGGGGCACATAACAAATAAGCACTATTAATACAGTATTGTGTAGTCACAAACAAAACATCACTAATGTACAACAACTATTTCCTCTGTGATCTAAATTAAACGGACATTCTGAAATGGTGTGGTCCCTGTCAGTGTACCTGCATGCATGCACAGGCAGGTCTTTGGTGTAGTATGTGTCTTCTTCATCCTCCTCAAAGTTGAGCTCGGCCAACAGCTGGCTGGCTTTGGCCACGGAGTCATCCACTCCACCGTTGTGAAGACCCTCATCAGGACCATTTACCTGTAGCACAACACAAGCTTTAACGTTCCCAAACAAACTGAATGCTAACGATTAGCAGCTAGCAGCTAGGGGGACACACCGCGGAAATAAAACAGTTAATTATACGTTGACAGACAGTTAATGGTCTTGACTCTTATCTTTTGTCATTAAAGTTATACCCGTGAGTCTGGTTTGCATCGAACAGTTCAAAACAAACGTGCTATGACAGCTTATATTACTTTGGGAGTTCAGTTAATGGGCTTGATAGCTAGCAACGAGCTAACGGCAACAGCTAGCTAACATTCAATAATAGCGGGCTAAGTTACTAGGCAGCGCTAGGTCGGCTAGCTAGCTAACAGCAGCTAACGTCAGAAAACTGCGCTCTTATTGTGCCTTCCTGCAAAACTGAAAGCCACAGACCTGCCCGTCCAGCTGGCTCTGGGTCTGGCCTTGAGTTTGCGTCTGGCTGGGAAGAGTGAAGTCGGTGAAGTCGTACTCGGAGCCCTGGGTGTCCGCTCCGAGCAACTCCGTTTCCTCAGTGTCCAAGAAGGTGAGGGTCTGCGAGCTCGGCCCGTACGCCTCCACACTCATCTCGACTCTCAACTTTCGCTTTACTGAGCGGTTTCCGGTGTTCGTCTTAAGATGAACGAAATCCTCACGGTGTTTGTTTATCGATAACTGGCTTTGTAGGCCGACGCCGAGAGTCTGAATTTGAACCCAAACAAAAATGGAACCGATCAGAACCTCGAAAGCTCCAGCAGGTCCAACAGCGATGGTGACGAACTTCCATGCGCCGCTCAACGTGTGACGTTCACACCGCAGAGCAGAGATAGCGGAAAGAGCTCTCACTCTGATCTTATTTCCGGGTAGCAAAAACAGAATCGTGAACCTCTGGAGGGAAAACTGGGACATATTGGATGCTGACAGACAACTGTTCTTTAGACCAAATCGCTCAAAGCCTCGACATATATGAATCCCCACATTAAAATGATTTACAGCCTACTAGTTTGATCACCTTTAACAGGTGTTTTATTGGCATTATACACACTGCATATCTACAGCATTCACTGCGACCTCTGTGTGTTTTAGGAAAAACAATATTGCTACACCGACATGTGTTACAGATCTCACACTGAAGTAAATCCTTTCAATATGTATTTCTCATAAGGCTGGATTACTAACTAGGCAAAATGTGCCTCAGATCCCCAGGAGACCCACAAGTGTGTGTCACTGGGTTTTGATATGATTAATTGCAAGTTTGTACTAAAGTAGCCTATAAACTAAGGTAGGGGCTGCTTTTTGTTTGTTTTTAAATATGATACTGGTAATAGCCACACCTTCGTATAATTTAATTTAACTTACTCCCAAACAGTAGGTTTACAGTATTTTAATTTTTGAGTGCCAAACCAACATAATATTAATATTTAGGCAATTTAACGTGGAGTTGTGACACGTTTTGTGACGCAAAATTGCAAAAGTTAAATCCCAAGTGCAGATATCAGGCCAATTAATTACAAAACAGTGGTGGGTTATAGTGACATCGCTGATCTTTGATAAGCCTTTTATGCCAATTCCAACTTCATATTAGCACAATTGACAAGTAAATTCAATTTCATGGTTTTCATAGACATAACTAGTGAGTAGTGGAAACAATATGGAGTTGCAATACTTAACAGACACAGAGACAGTCCTTGTAATTCTTTAATTCTCTTTTTTAAAAAGCCTTTCCTTTTACAAAGCCAAGATTACTTATTGTAACAGTGCTTTGTTAATGTCAGAAGCAGAAGACACCTGTCCGAGGATTCTCCCTAAACAGAGAAACTCACAATAAATCACAGAGCCATAATGTTATTGTAAAACAGAGCACACACTGAGATACAAAAGTATTTTTGAGGTAGCCACACATCTGACTGACTGGACAGCATCAGTAATATATCTTTGTACTGACCCGCTGAGTTTTTTTTAAGGCCTTTTCATAACACAAAACAACAGCAAGGCACAGGAAAGAGTCAGGTTCAGAGGTCACCTCATATGTAAACTTGAGGCTTTCACTTTTGTGAGCAGACATTTTTAGGAGCAGCTCCTCAACAACCCTTTCACTTTTTAGCATTCACAAAGACACAAAGTAAAATATCATCACCTGAAAGCTAATTAAAATTTGCCCATCATTTCAACAATTCCATAAGAGATTTTACAACCACATAACCCAGATGTAATCTGAATGACAAATGCTACGATAAAATTTAGGTTCACTTCTGTTCAGCTCAGTGCTCCAGGATGCTACTTTGGGGTACAAACCATGACATGAAATATCAATTAGTCACACACACACTGCTAAAAATAATGACAATTTACTCAAACTCTCTGGCACCAACTTGCTTGACTCAGGTTAAAAAACATTTAACTAAGAACTCAAGGAAAGGCCATGAGACCTCTACTGTTGCAACGCTAAGCACATTGTTCAGTTAGTTTCCTAACACTAGCTGTGACAGTTAACAACATACATTACAAATGTAGACCATTCAAAGCTAAAATCTCTATTAAAAAAAACTGATCAAACTGAAGATGTAAGAGGAGGCATGGGCTGTTATGATATCTCAGCAGGCAGGAAAACACTGGCCCACACAGTGAAATGGAAAACAATCCAATAAGAATTTAAAAAAAAAAAAAGACAGAACACAGAACATTTTCATCTGGGAGTGGCACCATCACAAACACAGTGACAGAAGCTGCTGCAGTTTGTTTAAAATGTCAGAACAAACAAAAGCTCAGGAAAATAAAGCTTACCTCACATATTTAATTATTATTACTGGGGGATAAAATGTTACAAATGCATGTGTGTATGTCTGAAAAGCTATAGCAAGTTAAAGTGACTGAAAACAAAAATATTCCAGATTAAGTAAAAATGGACAAACAAAAAAAGAAAGTGCTACAGAAATAAAATTATGGGCCCAACTCTGACTGAACTGAGTGTCTATCTGATTTGATGAATGGAACAACCGAAAGCCTTAATCAAGAATGAATAATTACGGATGCACAATTGTAGGAAAAAAGAAAAACTTTGGTCTTGAAATGTTGCAAAATGTAAAAAAACAAAAACGAAACAAATTGCAGGTTTTCTTCACAGTTTAAGATAAAAAAGTTGTGCGTGTTGGTAAAATTATGCTGAAACAGACAACTTTACACATGGATGTCTCAAATCAGTAAAAAGGATCTGCAGTCAGATCCTTGACACACAATTCAGTAAGAAACTCATTAAGTGAACAAGAGTGAAAAGATGTGTTGGTTATTTAAAAAGAATATTTATGGTTGTACAATTTAGACTTATAACAGGAAACTCTTGTTTAATACTATCTGAAAAGTTGTAAAGAGAAAACAGAATTCTGAAAAACCTGCAACTAAATCACTGAACTTGAGATCTGTAAAATAACATTGCACAGCCTGGGGTCAGATCTCAATGGGGTGGATTTAGGGGTTTTCTGTCAGAATTGGGCCGAAAAACTGGGGGAATATGAGCTGGAACCAACCCGTTCCCTGATTTAAATAACCTTTGTAAAAGAAGGCAAATTTACAACTTCTTATAAAGAAAAAAGAATCAAGAAACAATTCAACATCGAGTGTGGAACAGCACAGTTAGAAGGTAGTTAAAAGGAAACTGAAATTAGCAAACACAGTTTACTGCTAAACATTCCTACTTAAAACCATAATGTATCATGTACATTAATCATTTATAGACATTCAGGTGCAAACACCTGTTGAATGAAACATATTATGAGTGAGTGAAACTCTAAATTTGAGGATGAAGCATTATGAAAGTCAAAAACTGTAGAGTACATTTTACAGATCCAAATGTGACTTCTATAATCATTTCAATAACCCTAAGTCACATTTGGGGTTATAGGTTGTAATATCTGTCATATGGCAGACCCTCTGCATATTAACAAATATGAGCAGCACTTTTCTTCTGTGTTTTCTTAGTGAACCTAAGTTTTTTCACATTTGTTTCCATAGAAGTGGGACAAAAGCTTCCATTACAGCGTAACTGAGGGTTGTCTTGAGACCCCCATTTTATCTTCTCTCCATCAGAAGACATAAAAACAGAACAGAATCAGGCAAAACATTAAGCAAAAACCTAAAACAAATGCTGAAAAAAGGAAGTTTGGCTACTTGTGGTTAAGTGCAATTTCTTGAGTGGTGAAGGCTGGAGAGGCTGGTTGGCATCTGGCGGTCACTTAGTGGAAGTGCTGCTGGCAGTGGATCTTCTCCTCGGCCTGGTCCAGAAGCTCCAGCATCTCCCGGATGATGGCCTGCAGCGCACGGCCCAGGTCTTCCCCGCTGTAAGGCTTTCCGAGAGGAGGCACATGAATGAAGGCAGAGCGACCGTGGCTCAGGTACAGAGACGTGTAGTAGGTGAAATCACAGAGATACCTGTTAGGGGAGAGAGCGCAGCATCCAGTGACAGAGGGGCCTGTATAGACTAAATGGACGATACAATAAAAGCCATTTAATGGACCCATATTAGAAGTTTCTGCCCGACATTTGTGCTGATGAACATTAAATCATGGCACAAACATCTTCATCGCTGTAAGTTTCTGTATACCCTACACCACAGGTTGGCTGTATACATACAGTAACCCTTTAACAGCCAGATCACCACATCAGTTGGCATACTTAATGACAGATCAGATAATACTACCACTGTTGATATTGTTACTACAACCTACAGAGTACAGAAATGCCAAAGATACACTCAGTTGCCAGTTTATAAAAGGTACACCCAGCTAAAACTAATGAAGTCTAATACAACAGCCTGTTATAAACCCTACTTTCATGAAACGTTCAGTTTTTTATTGTTTGTTTGTTTTAAACTGTTTTAGAGAAGTGCTGATTCAACTGTGTAGTCATTTTGGAGGATGTAGTTTGAGGTGCTGTTGAACTGCATTGCATTCAGGTTTTTCAATTATTTTGTCCAACCCATTTATATCAGTGTGGGTAGACTAACTAAAAGAAACACCTGTCGTTATAACAAAATTCACTTAAACAGCACCACAAACTACTTCTTCGCACTTATTTTATTTTATTATTTTTAACCTTTATTTAACCAGGAAGCCAGGAAGGAGACCTGGTCAATACACCAGTTACAAAATTCAAGAGAAACATACATCACATATAAAGGAAAAGGTCTAAATCCAGCTCACATGAGGCTTCAACATGGCTTTAAATACATTTAATGGAAATAGATCATTTTTGATGTAGTAAGTTTTGCAAATTATCCCAAATACAGCGGCTAAGTGAAAACCCTTGGAACCTGCTAAGAGAGCCACCTGGTGGAACGGAGATGAAAACTGCTGAAATTCTGCTTCAGGATATTATTACGAAAATGTGCCACCAGCTTACCTAGCATGGACTTGTACACAAAATGTAAATTATAATGTAAATTTACATTATTTGTATTCTATTTCAGTATGGTTTCGTTGTGGTCTTGTCCACCTAATTACCTGCAGTAGGTAGGGTATAAAAGGCAGCTAAAGTTTGATGTTGTGGTGTCTGTATGGAAGAAAATAAATGCCACAACTGTGTGCATTTTACCTCTGTCTCATGTCTCTCTGTTGGAAATCTTAAAGCCACTGCCGGTCCATCGGAGAAGGATTCAAATGGTCCTTTTACTTGTTTTGGTGTACCAGTGCTCCTTTTAAGCACTAATACATCCCACCTTTGCTCCAGATTTTTGCCGCTTTTCCATTACCAGTACAAGCTCAACTCACCTCGACTCGGTTTGGCCGTGCTCCGTTTTCCATTGCAGATAGTACCCAGAAATGGTACCCCTCAATGTAGCTGGTCGTTATAGCGACGTAACACCCAACTGCCGCGACGTAATGTTCAATGCGACACACACACCAGCAAGCCACACAGCTTTCTCTTTATTTAAGTTAAAACATTACTCAGAATGTAAAGACAGATAAGCGGTATGAAAACCTCTGCCGTTGTTGCTGCAGCGGTCTGTGTGACGGTGGGAGCAGAGGGCTCTGTGAGCGGGCGGCTAGCCGGCCACGGGAGCTCCTCCCGTGGGTTGGCGCAGGCTTCCCCCGCCACCACTTGCGGAGCTCCTCAACTCCGAAAACTTTCAAGCACATTTTTGTTCTGCCATCACTTCTCGTAAAACTGTATTACTGTAATATTCGAAATCTACACAGTTGATTTCTCATCTCAAAACTTCTCAGAAGTGGATTTAGTGATGAAATTACATACGAAAATTGTAAAATATAAAACTTTCTGTTGCTGGCCTCTGTCTGGCGCGCGCAATAATGATGCAGTGAATAGTGACGATTCTCTCTGACCAATCAGCAGTCTGCTTTGTTTTCACCTCACATTTTAGTATCGCCTCAGCTCGCTTGGAACCTCGACGGAGGTAATAAGAAAAAAAAACAACTTTTACGCAATGGAAAACCAAAAGGCGACCTGGTACCGTGCAGTGGAAAAGGGGCTTTTGTTGCACACAGTTTTACCTCAGCTGTCTGTCTAAACACTAAACTAAACACACCTCACAATGCAGAGAAAAAATATTGTGTACGGCTGATTTGTGTGTTTAATTGATGTGAATGTGTTTTCACATTTCTATCCCTCAGGATTTGAAGCATGTGATCCACAGGTAAATGCTAAAAAACACAAAAGTAGAAAAAATGTATTTAAATAATTACCTTCCGGCGTCTTTGGAGACGGACACAGCTACTCCCAGCCCCGAGGTAGTCACTCTCTTGCAGACTGATTCCATGTCAATAACTGAGTTGATACAGTCCGGGCCTCCCACAATGCAACACTGTGAATCAGGACAGAAGCTGCTGTTGTCCAGGCCCTTGTAGCCATGATTCCTGCCACACTTCTCCAGTGTGACAGTGGTGGCCATACCTGAGACTCCAACATGAACTACCAACTGGCAGACAAAGGAAACAATAAAAACTTGTCAGAATGACAAAAATATTACTGTCCCAAAGCACAAATTAATCACAATGTGTCTGTGGCAGCTTTAGGCGTCTAAAAAGGAGCTGTGAGCCTGGCACAAAAGTAGCTGTACTGCACCTGCAAAAGTGGAACAATGAGGATAGATCACACCATACTCTCTTCTTACCAGTGGATGATACTGTTTCCACAGTGAAGGAACCAAACTCTGGACTGTCTGGTACTCTACAGGAACCTCGGATACATGCAAATCCACCTCACTGCCCAGTCCGAGCTTCTTCAGTTCCTGTCAGGAAAAACAAACACATAAAAACTAACTTCCTTTTTTTGCATTTTAAAATGTTAAATAGTTTTTATCTCAACAAGCCTCCTACGGTACAGTTTTATCATGTGGTCTCAGTGGGAGCTAAAATCTACTGTAGCGCTATGCTCTATCAAGTGCCCACTGATGCACCAGTCTATTTTCCAGTTTACATAATGTTATTTTTATCACTGAATGCAGTTTATTAAAGTGAAATTTAGGCAAGCCTGATTAGCAAGCATATACGCTCCAAATTCAATGATTTAAAGATTAGAAAAAAGGTTTGTGGAGAAAGGTGGTGGAATGATTTCAGCTCTGTACTCGAAAGTTAGCAGTACTAAACAGACCCAAATGTATGATGAGTATGTGTGACAAAATAATTCTAACTCAATTGTCCACTTATTGGCTTTTTTGAGCTTTCAACAGCATCTTAAGGTCTTCATCAGCATTGCTAACTATAGGAAAAGCTACTAGGTGGACCTTTGAGTTACATGTTATGAAACTGCATAAGGTAACCATGACAAACTACAAATTGTATTCCTTTTTGTAGAATAGCAACAGCAGCATTTTATTTAACTTGTTTTCACTTGTAATAGTTTAGTAAATTACCACTGCTCATTGCTCTCTTGGCCTATTCCCTCATCACTCGTACTTACTGCCGATTGACAAACAGCAAATGTTTCTGCAAAATATGCCCTAACATTTGTCAACTTTAGGGTGATATAGCAGAATATATATTACTTATATATGTTTTAAAACAACAACAAAGACATTTTCAATCCAAAATAATACAAATCCAACAAGAATGTACGCATTGATTAAAAGAAACATTACTATTCAATGATGACATGGCCAAATGTTTCTGTGAAATGCTTTTGCTCAGGACAGATGTCTCTCACGAGCATTTCCCTCTCCAAATAACATTATTTTGCACCTAACTTATAGAACTGTATTATACAAACCAAACAATTTAACTGCAATAAACAACAGTGTTCATAAATAAAATAATTATGAGAAAAGCAAGAAATAAAAGATGCAATGATACATATTATAAGTAAGATAAATCTGTGTCAAATTCACAGCCAGTGGACCAACACCTCCCCCAGTCTCCCCGCAGGACAAATAGCCCTGGACACTGACCCCCACTTGTATTAAAAAGAGGCTTGTTTGACCACATCTGTGACCCCGCCACAAAGTGGCCTTTTGTTTGCCTTTAATATCCTTATCAAGTCCGTCTAGACACCCTGACAACCATCGTCATCCCCCACATGCAGTTTCCCCAGTAGGACACAGAGAGCCTCTGACACGCTGCTGCACGATGTGAAGCCGGCCGGCAACTATCACAGCATCATGTGACTGGCACAAAAACAGCCTCAGTATGAAATATTCATTTTGAAAACATCGCACCTACTCATCTTTTTTTAACAATTACTAACAACTCAACCTGAAGAGTATTTGTGCAGACTGTCAAGACAACTAGGCTAAAAACATGATGCGCTTTATTAAGTTAACGTGCAGTATTTAAGAGGTGATCAATGCTGATGCTCATTTTGGACTTGTTTAGCTATATTTACTATATTTTAAGTATATTTTAGAAAGGCTAAACAAGTCAAGTAAGAAAATTTGTATCAATTACAACAGTCTTGGTTTCTGTTTATTTTTAACATCAATGTGCATTAAAACATCAATAGATGGGTAAAACAAACCTGTACTGCTACCCAGCTGGCGTTCACCGTGTGCTCTCCAAATGGCCCAAAACCTGAAAAAAAACATGTTATTTTGGTTGCTGGACTGCGTCACATTATGTTTACCGATTATGGAGTCTGTTTGGTTTCTGTACAGTATGATTAAAAATAGTATTTTCACAAATCAAAATTGTCAAAAATTAAAATTGTGATTACTTTGGTGATTATTACATTTGTAAATAAACTGTCAACAGTACACAGGCATGAAGCTTCAAGAATACTACATTTCGGAAAACATAAAAAAAAAATTTATAAGAAAAAAAAATCACTAAAAATCCCTCCATTCGTCGCACTATGTGACCTACAAAATCACAGCAGAAGCCTATGGATATTCACTCAGGCTTGTTTATAGTGGGATCTATAACTGATCCCCTTCCACCACCCTGCCAAGGGTCAGTGGGTCCCGGGGGATTGGGTGGAGGGGGGAATCAGTCTGTCTGACAGGCGGCTGAAAAGGAGCAGAGAGAGGGGCCGGCAGCTGCCAGCCGGCCGCTATTGTGAATGTGCTGTTCCCAGGCAGACAGATCTTCTCTCAGCTGGGACTGTGAGCCTCCTCACGCCTTTGTGTCTGAAAACACCAAGTAACTGCTTCTGTTTTCCTCCACAGAATGAACGTTCAAGACTGTAGTTTGTGCACTCGGAAAATATTATATTTAAGTGGATGGAAGAGAAGTTTCAGTGAGTCTTCATTACAAGAAAACAACTCTGAGTGATATATATCAAAATTATCTGATACATCATATCACTACCATCGTTACCTTGGCTTTTACTTATTTAATTAAAAGTAATAGTGATGCTAAATGTGTTTTCTAAAAGGATAATAAATAGATCAAACCCAGCTGAAAATAACACTCAGGGTCCATATTTTCATATTATAATGCAAGGCAATGTGATTAAATCGTAAATAAAATGCAGGAGTTCCTATACAGAAATCAATACAGTGGGAGATCAAGACTGGACTATTTCCACATGGATATATTTTTTTTTTCACCATCTCTACAAAATCACTCCATATGAGTCCTACAAAATAAAAAGTAATGGGTAACATCAACAAGAATATGTCTGAAATACATATTACTGTGACAGTTAATAAGTCTAGCTTTGATATCGTGATAATAATAACCAGACTAATGTTTGAGAAAACTTCATCTATGGATCTAACGTTATATGTTTACCGTATATTGCTTGATGTTGCCTTTCAAGAAAGAAACATAGGAAACAACAAAAAGAACATTTCACCTCGCTTGACAGTAACGTTAGCCTCTTTTTATATAAAAATAAATAGCTGATAACCACTTCATTTTATTTAAACTTTAAGCAATTCGTGTCCTCCTACTGTCTACAACTGCACCGGAATGGAGCACTAACAGCCTGACGCCATTAACGTTACAACTTTTCCTCCACTTCACCCTGCTGTTCATGTGCCGACAACAGACGACAACAACAGCAGCAAAAAGAAGACAAACCTGTAACGACCACAGTCCGTTTACTGTTATCCATCTCCCGTCCGGTTGCCGAGGATCCCTTGCTTTTTTTTTTCTCGGGTCTTTATTTTGAACCAGGACGGTAAAGAGAGCCGATAACCTCCACAGCTGACGGCTCCTTCTGCCAGACACACAAATAAAATCTGTGTCCTGCATGCTACGTGAGACGTGACGTGTTTACGTCAGCGATGACGCGTTGATTAATTACAGAAGCTCAAGCTAAAAATCATACTCAAAATTAACAAAATAAACCAATTAATAACTATAACTAATTGTTGCCAAAAACATGAATGCAAAAATGAATGACTACCAACGATATTATTTCTTTTTTTAGTATTTTAGTATTTATTGATTTTTTTATTTTTACTGTATTCATTTGTTCCTTATAAATTACAGTATTTTTTTTTCATTCATGCTCATATACATTTTGTACCTACATATTTTTATATTTTTGTCTCATTCATTTATTCCATTACACATTTGCCTTATTAATGTTTGTTCACAATCTACAAAACACTTGACTTGTATAATGACATTGTATGTTTTTGGTCATTGTTACTTTTATATAGCTACATTTATATGTATATACTATTTTTCATCCACTTGTATGTACGTACCAGTTATAATAGTTCTATGTTTAGTTACACCTGTCTTTATTCAGCATTGTCTTTTTAGCTGTATGTTTATTTCTCTCTATATGTAAGTTGTATTGTTTGCAAGTACCATAGACTGTATATAAAAAGCTAAGTACACTGAGAGCAACTTAAAACCAAAGTCAAATTCCTTGTATGTGCACACATACCTAGCCACTAACAGTTCAGATTCTGATACACTTTTTTATTTTTACATATATTTTCACATGTATATATTTGTTTTCACTATCACTTCAAAATCCCTCATTGGATCACTCTATATGATTCCTTTAAAATACTAAATACTACAGTAATATCAACAAGAATATTGTGTGAGAGCTTTGCATTTTCTCTTTCACTTATTGTTGCTGTCTACCGTTTATTATTTCTGATGCTTAATAACTATAGCTTTAATATCATGATTATAATAACCATAAATTTTATTTATTGTTTCTAATGTATCAAGTAGGCTCTGCTCTAAGTTACTAGGTTGTGATTTAGAAATGTCTCGCAGTGACTGCTCTTGACTGTAGAGGGCAGCATCTTATAATACGTCAATGATTTCGCACCGCAGCGACGGTGATTAGAAGAAGAAGAAAAAGAAAAGGTGGTAAAATCCGTGTCAGTGAAGGGCCAAGACAGCAAGTTAGACGCAAATCAAGAAGATATACTATCATAATGGTAAGTATTTAACGCTTGTGTTCAGATAAAATGTTGATAGTTGAATTTTAGATTTTCAGTGGTAAAGCTGCTACTCAGCTAAGACTCATAATGTCACAATGATGTTCGGTATGCCAGCTAAGTTAAGGTTAGCATTAGCCTTTGTAGCTAAATTACACATTGACACACATTGGTTATTTTGAAATGCATGCAGACTTTTTCACACAGCTGCAAAAAACTGAAATGGTGATATACGCGTATTCATCTTTAAACTGGTAACGTTAGCATGTTGTTGCTTTGCATAGCGGCAAATAGGGATAGTTAACGCGACGCTATGAATGCCCTAGGAACCTTTTCTAAACTGAAGAAATGTAACGTTATAATTAGAAACTGCAAATAACTTCTACAGTGGTGGTGGGTTTTCACTTGAATAACGCTAACTTAATGGGTGAGTTATGGGGTCACCAGTGTATCAGGCGACCTCTGTGTGAAGGTGAAATTGGGATTAATCAGTGCCTTGCCTCAAATTCAATCCTGTCGATCAGTTTTACTTTGGTAACGAAATAATATTGATGGCTTTTGTGACCTGTTTTTCTTTAATTTTGCAGCTTCCCCTATCTCTGCTGAAGACTGCTCAGAATCATCCAATGGTGAGGAGATACTGAGCTCTTTCTGCTGTGAAGAAGCTTGTGTTAGCACTGTAAAGTACTTATACAATAAATCTATAGATTAATTGATTTATCAGTAAGCCTGTAAACTCTTAATCCTTATACATAAAGTGTATTCAAAGATGTCCAATGAGTTAAGATCAGTGAAAATCATCAAAATCCTCCAAGGTGTCAGATTTCTTGTAAAACTGTGTAAAGCAAGTACGTCTGTTGTAGTAAATGTATATATTTATATTTTTTAGCCTACCATCCAATCAATGTATAGTAATATATCATGTTCTATGTGTTGCTGTTGCTGCTTCATCTCTAGCTCTTTCACTTTAGGTTAAATTAGTTTAATATAATTTGATAAACTACCTCTAATGTTGGCTACCTGGTAAACTTCCGAGTTTAATTGACTGAAATTCGATGTGTTTGTTTTTTTCTGGTATTGTAGCTTGTAGCCTACGTATCCTGTAGCTGCTGTGTATTGTTCTTTGGGTTATACCATGAGAGAATGGATGCTCTACCTTTTGTCATTCATCCTGCATTTTGTCGTCAAGACTCAAAAGCAGCCGGCTGTTTATTGTGTCCTTTATCTCCGCAGCTGGTGGAGCTGAAGAATGGAGAGACATACAACGGTCACCTGGTCAGCTGTGACAACTGGATGAACATCAACCTGAGAGAAGTCATCTGCACCTCGAGGGTAAAGCTGAGCTCTGCTCTCAATTCTCTGCTCTCACTAAAGCCTAGTTCACAATACACGATTTTAAGCCCGATTTGCCGGTCGGAGAGCTAGGTCACCGTCGGGCTGTGATCGGGCGTAAATCAGTGATCAATCGGCGGTCGCCAATCGTTATGTGTGAAAAACTCAAGGATGCGTTAAAACGTCTCCCCAACAAATTTTTGACACATTGCGACATCTGCCAGATATCTAGCATGCCAAATGTCTGGAAGAGTTGGCCGACTCTCCATCCACATCCAGCCAATGAGAGCAGGCAGCTGGCAGAGCAGGCAGGCAGCAACACTTTTTACTCATATCCAGCTATCTCTGTAGCTCAGACAATCCCTGCTACCTGCGCATGCTAGTCCGTTCTTTCACCCATATTTTTTGTCTATATAATTGCTATCTATATAATAACAAACAGCTGTTAGTGTAGTGTTGCACAATTTGTTTTGTTGACAAAACCTGATGTCGAGACCAGCGTCAGATGACACAGCTCGTGTAGTGTGTGACTCCCCCCCCCCCCCCCCCCCCCCGTCACTGATCAGTCACGTAGTGTGAACACCACAACAACTTCACACTCCCGTCACAAGACTGCAGGTTGTGTTTTGTGAACGGCACCGCGATCTGCCAGCGTTGAAAGTTGTGTAGTCTGCACAAGCCTTAAGACTGTAGTCACTGGAAAAGTAGATGGTGGTCCAGTGTTAACATGTAGCTTTAGCTGTAGATGTCAGTGTTGCCTGCAGAGTTTCCTGCTTTAGATTAGGTGCAGCGCTCAAACTATTTTGCTTTGGTTTTACTGTTGCTGCCAGTTTATACCACCTCTCAATGCTTAATTTCAGGTGTCATCCTTTAATCAATTGTACTGAGCATGCTGAAGGCTGCAATATTGTCTTTTAATTATTGTAATGACTTAAACTTAATTTTAATTAACTGAATTAATTAATAAGTGAGTCTACACAAAATGTCAAAATGCCAGATCCTAAATTGATGTATTCAAACATTTGAGGTCTGATTGACTATCCATATATAATAACACACCTATTTTAATGTTTGGAGTTTGTTGCACCCACCTTTTTTTTTTTATAAAGCACAACCTCTATGATGTCAAAATGTGACATTAGGATACATTGACTCCTCTCTGACAGGATGGAGATAAGTTCTGGAGGATGCCTGAGTGCTACATCCGAGGAAGCACCATCAAGTATCTGCGAATCCCCGACGAGATCATTGACATGGTGAAGGAGGAGGTGGTGTCGAAGGGCCGTGGGCGTGGAGGGCCCCAGCAGAACAAACAGCAGGGCAAAGGAAGAGGAGGAGCTGGCCGAGGTGAGTGGAAACAAGTCGTGCTGATCAGACAGACGGCTGCAGGGGCATTTGTTTGTGCCTGCTCTCATAACATGAATATTGGCATGTCAGTGTCTGGTTGTTTCCAAATTTATCTGCCATTATAAAGCCTGCACACTCCCATGGGACGCCAAGGGTTAAAAAAAACATTTCTGAGTAAAATTCCTTTATTTATGTAATCACTGTCAGGTGTAAACTATGTTACTCTATTTATAACTCTTTTAATTAATCCAGGAATTTTTGCTATCATGAGGCTGATTAAGACATTTCAAAAGAAATCATGAACTGAAAAATGCCTGTCAGCGAGCTTAAGAAAAGAGATTTTTCTTAATTTGTGGAAGGTTGACATGTTGATCTGAGCTATTTCACCACACCAGTAGTGATATACTTCTCCATCTCTACAGTGGGTATGTGTCTCCTTTTCTAGTTCCTCATTTCAGCAGCTCAGATTGGAAGATATTTTGTGTCATTTAATACCAGATACAATTATGTGAAAGACACATTTAGAGCCAAAAGCACACATTTTACTTTTTATGCACGCAAAAGGTGTGACTTCTTGCTATTATGAATTGTGATGGTGGAACACCAAAAACAAACAATGGCCTCCATTGTATTTCTTAATGTGTTTTGGAAATCAAGCCAGATGAGGCTAAAAATGTTTGTGGAGTGCCACTATACATTTTTTTGGGCGGGGATGGAAATCTCTGCAAACAATAATTATCATAGCCATCAAAAATGAACAGATGTTTCATCTATATGCCTTCTTATTTCTGTCTGTAGGCCTGTTTGGCGGTCGTGGCAGAGGAATGACTGGCCCTGGTCGGGGCCAGCAGCAACAGCAGCAGCAGCAGCCGCAGTTGCAGCAGCAGGATAAGAGACCGGGCAAACCACAGGGCATGAAGAACCAGCACTGACAGACAACATCACACTTTCAACAACACCTGTTATTCAGAATGATTACTCCTTCAGTAGATGGAGATAAAATTAACACTCTGGTGTTTCCTTCTGCTGTGATGCTTGTTAAGACTGACCATTGCAGAAATCACACTGGGAGAAGTTAAGAGAAGCTGTGCATTTGCACTGAATTTTGTTTTTTAGCATCTGTAAGTTCCTTTTTTTATATTATGACCGTGTAACAGTGTATCAGTCAGAGCTGGCAGACTCCTCGTTTAGTATCAATTTATAATATGTATCATTACAACTTTACAAGAACATTTTGCATCATAAATCACACTGAATTATCCCAAAAACTGTTTTCTGTCAGTTGGTTTTTACACTTTTTTTTTTTTTCTCCTCCGGATGGTTGTTTGCTCATTGCCTTGTCTCCTCAGGTGTAGTTTTCATGGTAAAGAAACTTCCCAGCCCCAACTTCAGTTGCATGAATTTTTTTTTTTAAACTTGCTCTTTATTTCTGTGTTTGTGATGTTCTGTGGTTTGCAATGTTTTTGTTTGTCTGCTGTGCCACACAGTCCGATCACCATAGGTGGCCAGAAGACTGGCAGTCGGGGAACGAGGGTTCAGTCCTCCAAAATTAACACGTTTGTTAAAGCATTTGTAAGACAACACATTATAATCATTAGGATTTCAAGAAGGAAAAAAAGATTCTCATATTCTTAAGTCTTAAATGGATAAGTCCAACGTGTGTCATTTCAGTTGGGTTTCATTTTATTTTTGTAACAAAAGACTATGTTGTAATTTATTTACATGAACGTGAGAATAAAACAACTTTTGTGAAACTGTTTTTTTATAGCAGATCCTCTATCTAAAGATTCCAACACTGTTGGCTGCTATTAGTACTAGTTAAAACAATCTGGAATCAAATTTACAATACAGTATTTTACTGCAGCATAAAGTGTCTCCTTTAAATTGGATAAACACTATAGTTATTAATTTATGTCCAGGATTAGCTAAGAGTAGATATTTAGCTTGTTGACACAAAAACAGAAGTGGAATCAGTGGGAAAAGGTGAATGTGAACAATTTGCTGTATAATAAGGACAAAAGTTAATCTCACGGTTGTTCCAAATGCAACCGAGCATTTTTCAGCAGTCGTAAGTGTTTGTCCACGTAAAGGATTTTATCTCTTGAATGGGACCAATATTTTAATTGCATTGTTTTCTGCATTAATCCTACACATTGGTCCGGATTTACCTCATCCCGAATAAAGAGTAGCCCAATAAATTGCGTGTGCATTCTAAAATACTGCACGTGCAATTGTAGTGCCTGTTATGGGTGATCAACTAAGAATTATTGAGTAGATGACAACAGGTGCAAACGCAATGGAGGTGGGAGTATTTAAATGAGTTTGTTTTAATGGTTTCCGCCATGAAGAGTCGGGAGGGAAAGCAGCCACCATGTAAAAACCTTGGTTTGTTTTATTCAGTGCGTCCCAAATATGTGGAAATCATATGTACCTGCCCATCATGCCTAAATTCTAGTATACATGATTTTTAGCCCGATTTGCCTGTTCTTGCACTTTTGAAATACGTCATACTACGTGCACACCATTATCAGCTTACGTGTTAATTTGCTGGTGTTTGCACACGTTTTTACTTACGCAAACGTTTAATAAATCAGGCCCATTGTCTTTTAAAATTTTGAAAACCACACTAACATGTAAACCTGATGAAAGGTTGAAAACTGGATTACTTACCAAATCCAGATCTGAATCTCATTTCTCAAGACAATAAAAAGAACCCGATTCCATCTAAAACGATTATGGAAAGTTTAACCAGTAAACTTTATGAGACTGGACAGCAAATCAATGCTTTCTTTGATCAGATTAGAAGTGAAAGTGGCTTTTATTTAGTATAGCATCACTAAAAAAACAACAGTTTACACTCACACAATAGATACTTTCAATATGATTGATGTCTCAGGCTACACATATATATTTAACTGATTTATTGATTAGTTAACACAAAGCCAATCATTTTCAAATTTAATAATCAATTCAATTAAATGTGTAAAATGTGTGATAAAATGAAATTCAAAAATGTAAAGTATTTAAATGTGTAAGAATAATAAAAGTATAATGCAAAATGTAAAGTATTTAAATGTGTCAAAAAAATGAAATTAAAATGCAAAAATGTTACTTATTTAAATTTGTAGTAAAAATAAAAGTAAAATACAAAATGTGAAATATTTAAACATAATAAAATTAAAATGCAAAAATGTTAGGTATTTAAATGTGTAGGAATAATAAAAGTATAATGCAAAATGTTACGTATTTAAATGTGTAATAAAAATAAACGTAAAATGCAAAAATGTGAAGTATTGAAATTTGTAAGGAAAATAAAATTAAAATGCAAAAATGTTAAGTATTTAAACATAATAAAATAAAAGTAAAATGCAAAAATGTTAAGTATTTAAATGTGTAAGAAAAATATAAGTAAAATACAAAATGTGAAATATTTAAACAATAAAATCAAAATTAAAATGCATAAATGTTAAGTATTTAAATGTGTAATAAAAATAAATGTAAAAGGCAAAATGTGAAGTATCATATTTATCTTTGCTAGTTTATCATACCACCTACTGATTCGTTACCCTAATTGTAAGATTTAGGTGGTCAAAAGTTAAATAAACTTCATCAAAAAATTTAAGAATAATCCTGAAACAGAAAATTTAAAAACAGTACAACACAGAATCTTTATCAAAGTCATACGACATTTTCTTGAGATTTTCTTTAATTGAGGCTCAGACAGTCATTCTTAAAAGGATTTCTATTATATTAATAAAAGGCAGTAAATGAGCAACTGGCTCATGATAACACCAAACAAAGTGTATATTCAAATCATTGAGCATCAAGTTTAATCAGCATTGGAATGCTTTGTTATGCTTCATTGTCAAATCACTAAAACAGAAACAAATAAAGTAAAATCATCTGGTTAGAATGTATGATCAGAAATGAACCCAATGAACTCAAATCTCTTTAAACTCATATATTTCATCTCTCCATCATCCAGTCCTGTTTGGCTGTGACAGCGTATTTCCAGGTCTCCACAATCTGGGACAGCTGCAGGTTGTCAGGAAACTTGTCCTCCACATAAGGAGGCACCTCCACTTCTTTACGGTCCATGTAGGCACCCACTGTCTCCTTCACACTGAGAAGAAGGAAAAGATATGAATTCATTAAATCTTTAACTGCTGTGAATGACCAAGTGATGACCAAATTACAAGCTGTCAATATGTCCAGGGTGCACCCAGCTTTGATTTTTAAATAAATGGTCTAGAAGACGATTTACAGATATGATTTGAAATACATCTTTTCACCCAATTATTATTTAATAATAGATATTTTATTAATAGCATAATTTTGACACTTGTTGAAGCTTGTTACACAATTACAAATACATAATTTAAAAACTTGACAGTGTAATAGTGTAACTAACAAAATAAGTCCACTGTGCACGTGTTTTGGATGAAAAAATATTGTATTACCAAAATAATACACTTTCTGACAAGTCACCATGACTTTTTCAACAGAAGCATGACCAGCTGATCACAGCACTGTGCAGGAAGGCCTACTTCTGGCTAGGAAAGTAAAGCACTTCCTTGTTACTGACAAAGGTAAATTTATTTAAATTTGAGTGAAATATACAAACCCAACACTCCATGTTTAATTGCTGGATGATTCCAGTTATTTTAGATGTCTTGCGCATCACTTTATATACATTTTCCTAAAATCCAGCCAGCCAGATCTGCGATGTCCAATAAAATAATAAAGTTCTGAGTTTGAACATTTGGCTGCACAGCAAGGGTTCGTACTGACAGTGAGGTCCACATCCACATCTCTTTTCACAGAGAATGTTAAGGAGCTGTGTGGGAGAATAGTTGCATTAATAAGGAAGAGCTGAAGCTGTTTAACAGGTTTACCCCCAGGATGGTTTGTAGTCGTCCGTGGCCCGCAGGCGGCCCAGATTCAACAGGAGAAACTCGTGCATCTCAAGGAGCCATTGGTCAACGTTTTCCCTGGACACAAAGCCTTTCAGCTCATTCTTGTCTTCCTCTGTCAACGGCAGCTGGTACTCCTTTGGATACCCCGAAAATGGCTCCTTTTTTATAAAACATGGAGTGAGGTGTTTTATATGTATTAAATTATAGTATAGTATACACTGAAATTACCAAAACATAAACAATGAATGAATGATATTGCTCAGACAGATATTTTGATGAGACATAACAGCATAAACCATGATGCTAATGCGCAAGGTTATTTTTGTGATTTCCTATTCAGTACTGTTGTTTTGCATTTAAAAAGTCAAAAACAAGCTGTGTAAGAAATGCTTACCCTCTTTAGTTTCATCATGGTTTCAGATTTGAGGGAGGAGAGGAGTTGCCAAAGAGAAACACAGTGTCTGAGGGTGCATCTGCCCAGAGCCTGAAGAAACAACACAGCAGAGTAAAGAGTGTGCTCCATACAGTCTGAAAGGAACTGGCAGGGTCACCTGCAGTTTATATTCTTTAGTTTTTGGGATTACAAAGTGACCTGTTCTCCGACATAATAAATTTTTTCCTTAAATTATATAATATATCATAAGTATTATGTTCTCAAAGTTTCACAGCTGTTGTAAGAGGACTGAGGGTCACATTTACAAGCATATTAGAGACTGTTACACAGACATAAAATAAGTATCCAGCCTGGTTAAGGAAACCTTAATAATCACTCCAGGAAAAGAGGACTGCACTGACCTGCAATATGAGCCGATCAATGTGGTCGGCCATCTTCAAGATGTCCCGAAGGTAAGTGACCATCGACATCATGCGATCACCGCCAGTCATTGAAAGGAAACCCAAGAGCAGCTCCACGATCTTGAGCGCCTCGCACACCTCGCTGTAGGAGTCGAGGTATCTGGACATGGCGTTTCGGGTCAGAGAGGACAGAATTTCCTGAAGGAACAAAATGCATGATTGAAGCCATAATACACTGTTAATATATGTCTTCTGTATTTCTATCACAAAATCTTACAGTTAAAATTGTGTTCAACTGTCTATATATAAATATTCATTACCTTCAACATGAGAGACCTGCCATTTGTCAAAATGACCCCCGATGTAATAAAATCATTCTTAACATTTAGGTGAAAATTTAACTTACTACAAGCAGCACTTTGAAAGAATGTAATGATCTGTGTTTGTGTAATACCTAGCATGTCCTCTTGTAATCTTGTACAGTGCAATCCAGATGGGTGGCTGTTATAGGAACAACTATTAACTTTATCACTGAGAATATTAGAAATAAAACGATTAGTTTGTTAATTGTTTAACTGTTAACGTAGTTATCAAGCAAAAATACTTAACATTGTCTGGTTTTAGCATCTCACATAAAAGGATTTGCTGCCCTTTTGTTTTATTTGTGGACAGATGAATCTACAGCAGCTCTACAGGACTGTTTTGGGAGCACAGATTGGAGTATGTTCAGAGAGGCCGCTGCCCAGGAGAGCAACATCAGCCTTGAGGAATATACATCATCAGTGACATCGTACATCAGCAAATGTGTTGATGATGATGATGACGATAAAATCATTCCCCAATCAGAAGGCCTGGATGAATGGAGAGGTGAGGGCTCTGTCCAGAGCCTAAAAAGCTGCTTTTCGGTAGGGTGATAAAGAAGCTTACAGCACCGCCAGAGCGAGACTGAAAGCTGGCATCAAGAGACTGGAGAGAGACCTCAACATCAACAACATATGTGGCAGGCCATCAAAAACACAGGCTACAAAAGCAGGAGCTCCCTCATCATGTGTGAGGCCACTTTACCAGATGAACTTAACACCTTTTATGCTCGCTTTGATCTCCTCAACAAGGAGTCAGCTGTAGTCTACTCAACCTCCAGAGGACCGGCCACTGTCAGTATCCACAGCAGATGTGAGGAGAGAGAGTCCTGCTGAGAGTGAATATGAGTAAATCAGCTGGGTCTGATAACACTCCTGGCCGTGTACTAAAAACCTGTGCTAATCAGCTAGTTGATGTTATTACTGACATTTTCCACCTGCTTCAAGACAGCCACCATCATTCCTGTACCTAAAAAATCTGCAGTGTCTAGTCTGAACGACTACCGCCCTGTGGCACTCACCCCCATTCTGATGAAGTGCTTTGAGAAACTGGTTCTTAAGCACATAAAAAACAACATCCCAGCCAGCCTGGACCCTCACCAGTTTGCTTTCAGAACCAACAGATTCACAGAGGATGCCAGCTCCACTACCCTCCACTCAGCCCTCACACACCTTGAGAAAAACAACACCTACATGAGAAGGCTGTTTGTGTATTTCAGCTCAGCATTCAACACAATCTCCCCCTGAAACATTCTCAGCAAACTCATCTCTCTGGGTTTAAATACAACACTCTCCAGTCAGTTCAGATTGGCGGACTCGCCTCCTCCACTCTAGTGCTCAACACGGGAGCCCCCCAGGTCTGTTTGCTCAGCCCCCTCCTGTTCAAGCTGTACACCCACGACTGCATCCCCAACATGAAGAGAACTCTGTTGTGAAGTTTGCGGATGACACCACTGTCATCGGCCGGATTTCCAACAACGATAAGACTTCATATCGGGAGGAAATTCATAATCTTGTAGAGTGGTGCTCAGAGAACAACCTACTGCTCAATGTCAGCAAAACCAAGAAGCTGATCATTGATTTCAGGAAAAAGGAGATAAAGAGACACACTTCTGTCTACATCCGTGGTGCTGAGGTGGAGCAGGTGAATAGTTTCAAGTTCCTGGGAATCACCATCACAGAGAACCTGACATGGTCGTCTCACATCTCCACGCTGGTGAAGAAAGCTCAGAAACTGTATTTCTTGAGGAAGCTTAAGAAGACCAAATTCCCTCGCCAAGTTTTTGTCAGCTTTTACAGAGGAGCAATAAAAAGCATCCTGACTGAGAACATCACTAACTGGCATGGGATGTGCATGGCCCAGGACCGGAGGGCTCTGCAGCGGGTGATAAAAACTGCCCAGAAGATCATTGGTATCCATCTCCTGAGCATCAGTGATACCGGTGAGGTGCCTACGCAGAGCCCAAAGGATACTAAAGGATAGTACCCACCAAGCCACAGCCTGTTCACCCTGTTGCCTTCTGGGAAGAGATATAGAAGTTCTGCTGCCACACCACCAAACTGCAGAGCAGCTTTGTCCCCCAAGCCATCAGATTCTTAAACTCTAGTTCATCCTCAGCACTGCTCCAGTGATTATAGTTTATTTCTGTTACCATCCATTCATCCATTGTCAACCGCTTATCCTGCGTACAGGGTCGCATCATTTTTCATAATTGAATCTTTATTAATGTTTACTGTCTGCTATGTAGCAGAAGGGAGTTGCAAAACTCAGTTTCACTCTACAACTTGTTGTACTGTGACAATAAAATCTACCTACCTACTTATTTAATTGTAAATCAAATATCTGTTGGTTTTTGACTAAAAACAAGATGTTTAAAGAACCCTGGACTAATAACTTGTGGTAGACAAATATTTGTGTTGTTGACAAAATTATTTTGTCTATTGTGGAAAGGAAATGTACAGGGTTCTTTAATTTACCTGATGCACTTTTCCTTTAACAGCTTTGAAAATGGTTTCATAGTCTCTCTCTTGTGTGTTGATCAGAGTGGGAATTCCCTAAAATAAAGCACAGCTGGATTAGTGAAGCAAGGAAATACAGAAATAAGACAGAGTAGATGAAATAATGACAATAAGGTATTACGATTTTCTTAGTGAAAATGTCTTTACTGTGGTTTTAACCAACAAAATGAATACCGTTCTACATTTGCTTAGCAATCTGAAAAATAAAATGTGATAGCCCAGAAACAAACGAGTCAAACATAAGTGTCTGCTCTCCCTTGTCTTGATTGGCTGTAGCCTGACAAGATGCCACTGGTCTCAGAAGGTCTGTAATGGTCTGCATAGTACAGGGACTGGCAGAAGAGTCTGCACAATGACGGCAAAAATACACTAAACAAACCAGGCTGTGTGGACTCACTGTGCGGGTGATAAGAGGTTTTCCCCGCAAGAAGCGGTCGAGGATCTGCTGCTGGATCCTGGGCAGGTCATATTGTGATATCGTCTCGTGGCCACGTTCTAAGCTGTACTGACAGTTGGATAAAACCAAAGGAAGCAGATCTTTCTCGACCTCATAGCGGATCACATGCTGCTCCGTTAGCTCCGTGACACTCACCCTGAAACTGCTGCAGACATCACAATGCATACATTAACTTTTTGTTCCTGAAATAACATTTCTTGATCCAAACCAATAAAGCTTAAGCTCTCTTTATTCTATGTTTTGTTTAAAAGTTGTCCCAGACATCTTGTACATTAATGTTTTGTTTTTACCAAACCTGCCATAATATATCTATGGCTGTTCCTCAATAGCAACGACATTTGGCTTACTAGGAGAGAGCATGATTGCTGCCTTGAAATACATGTTATATTTTCAGAAGTTCAAGTAGAATTGATCTTTCACTTACATATTGGTGCTGCTACAAAAATAATTTTTTTTCGGATAATTACTGTATTTTAATGTTTAGCTGTTGGATAACAAACTTTTCTGTGGCTCCATGTTTTGTACCTGCTGTCCTCTCCGGTGTGGTTATCTACAGCATTCACCAGCTCATTGTGAAGCGCCACCAGGTAGCTGACCAGCCCTGTAGCACACAGGCCAGGACCCTGCCGCCGGGGCAGGAGGTACTGCAGGTCGCTGTTCAGATCCAAATCATCGCTGCAAAATTGATCTGGAATCTTCATTTCATCTGTGGGTGGGAGAGAACATAAAAATTATTCCTTATCTCAAAAATAAACAATATATGCACCAAATTAACAAATTTTAGCTATTACGGCTCTTTTTCCAAAGACAACACTTTGAATCCAAAAGTGATGCCTGTAGTGTGTAAGTAGATCACAACACTCAATGTTAACCAACTATTCTGTTTACTAGACCAGAAGAATTTAAACTGATGAGTAAGCTCTGATTATGGAGTTACAATAGATGCACTCTGATTACATTTCACATTTATCCAAAGCAACTTACAATTGCTATACATGTCAGAGGTTGCACACCTCTGGAGCAACTAAGGGTTCAGTGTCTTGCTCAGAGACACAATGTTGGTTGGGTCACAGTGGGGGATTGAACCCCAGTCTCTCACACCAAAGGCATGTGTCTTATCCATTGCGCCATCATCCCCACAATTACAATGTAAATGTAAACAAATTAACTCTATGCTTAAAAAAACATGTAAAACAATTGCAGAATTGCATTGCTCTGGTTACAAATAAATTATTATTAAGGTAAATTTATATTAAACTCAACTTTATTATTATAGCATTTCTAACACAACAGAGTTGATCCAATGTTCTAGACAGCACAGACAGAAAAAGATGTAAATGCAGTCATTGTGACTGCTTCCATCTGTAATCTTTTAAAGACACAAAGAGGAGGAAGTGCTTTACTTACGGCTGGTTACGGACACTCTGAGCAGATTCCATGTTTTCAGGAAGACGTCAATGTGTTTGTCATACCATCTCCTCATTTCTGAAACTAGAAGTTTTGAAAATATTTACCTAGTTTGTATGACAAATTTTTGAAACGTGAAAAATACATTTTTGAAACGTGAAAAATAAATATTTGATTGCATTTATATGTTTTCATGATATCGGTTGTTTCTGTCTCACAATCCATGCATCTGTCTCTTTGGAAGATCAGGTACAGATTTTGGCCAGACACTACCCATTAGTAAAGAGTTTGTCCATTAGATTTTAGTCAATTAAATGTTAACATTGCTTGAGATATCACAGCTGTACCCTTTTGCTTCTCGATGAACTCTCTGATGGAGCCTACTATCTGGTCAGATGCGTTTTGGAACTTTCTCACCAAGCGTTTCTGCAGTATTAGGATTTTTGGAAGCAGCTTAATCTGCCGAAATTCTCTCTCCTGAAAAAGGAAAACACAAATTATACATCTGATAACCATGCCTCATAACCATATGCTGCATATATAAAGCTATAAATTAGCAAAACACATCTCTGGTCATTTATCAGTTTGCTGATCAAAACTAATGATCATGAAAAAGTAAATTTAAATTTTACAGGCGTTTATTCTGATTTGTTTTTTAAGGATTACTGGGACAATAAGCAAAAATGACAATAAAATCAATATATAATCAATGAATGTATTGATTATTTCTTTGTTTTGTAATTTGTTTTGGAAATTAAAGTATTATGAGCACTAGGTGTTTTTTTTATTTATCCTTACGCAGTAAGGTACTCAAGCTGTCTGTGGGGCAGGGGTGAGAAAAATAAAAAGAGCATTGTGTTTTCTCCACTGGAAGACCATCCTAGAGGGCACTTTCTCATGTGTTATCTACCATAGGGGCATCCATCAAACATGGGAGCACCATGGAGGCAGTGGAGCTTCGCCCATGAGGCATGAGTCCACCAGTGATTAGAAAGGTATATCCCTTGTACTCATCAAATGTCATGGCAAATTGACTTTTGGATTATAAGATTTATTGTAGGCATGGTTGATAATTGGTCTACAGGTTGCATTAAAAAAAACAACAATTAGATTTTGATGTTGTGTAGAAGTGGAAACTTGCTGGTGGCCTTAGGAGGTAGAAAACATAATTACAAATGATCTTTTGGAAACAACAAATTTCATATGAATCAGGCTGGTAGGAGCCAAGACAACTTTCTCTGAACCAAACTGTTGGATGATTGACATTCACCTTCTGCAGGAACCTCCAGAGCAGAGGCAGCTCCTCCTTTTGGTCATACTGCTCAACAATGTGTGTGAGGCTGAGCAATGAAAGTCGCTCCCTGCAGTTCCACACCGCTGAGGTGTGAACCTGAGAAACCTGCGGCAGCAACGCCAGGAAGGAACAATCATCACCGTAAGTCATCCTCATGATGAAGTTGGAAGATATACGGGAGTCTGTCCTGATGCTGCCCTTGGCTTCTTGCAGGAGTTGATCAAGGTCCTAGACAGAAATTATTTAAGAGTTTACAGCAGCAATGAAAATATCAGCACACAATACATGTGCAATAAGCTGATAATATTAAGAGTAACAGTTTATTCAAATTAAACATTAGTTACAATAAGTATCAAACCACCCATTTTCAAATATCATAAAAGCTTCATCATCACTCATAAGGGGAAAAAACACAATGTAAAAAAAAAAAAAAGAAAGAACAAAAAGGTGAAAGGCATTACCCTCAACAGAGGTGTCAGAATATCTGCAGCCACAGTGGTCTCCCAGGTGTTTCTGGATGCTTTGGTTTTTAGGTAAGGATCAATACCAGCTAGTCAAAGTCAAACAGAAGATGTTTTGTAAAATACATAATGTAATTTTACTTCCTCTACCCTTTAAAAAGTTGTAAAAATAAATAAAAAATTCCAATACAAATACAGCTTTCTATGTATGTCCTACAGATTTAGAAAATTCAATACCCCATTAGTATTAATTTGTATGGGTTTTGTGTCCATCATTTTGTTTAAGGGTGCTTTCACACCTGCCTCATTTAGTTCGGTTGAATCGCACTAGAGTTCGTTTTCCCCCTTGGTATGGTTCGTTTGGGCAGGTGTGAATGCAGCAATTGCACTCGGGTGCGCAGCAAAAGCGGACCAAACAAGCGTACCAAGACCTCCTTGAAGAGGTGGTCTCAGTACGCTTTCAAACGAACTCTGGTGCGGTTCGCTTGTGGTGTGAAAGCAAACGAACCAACCACAGGATTTTATGATAACAGAGGTGTGATCTAAGCATAATTTCCAAAGCTAAGCCACTAATAAATCCATCTGCTGACCGCGAAATGTCTTCAGCGATCTTATAATTTATCTGTATAAGCCACTATATTACGAAAATCATTTGGTAACGTATACTTGCCAGCACGGGTATTTTCCCTGATTAATGGGTCGAAATCTGTTAAAAAAAAGGGCAAGTACTTCTCCGTTTACCCTGTCAGTTTATCAAGTCCATAAAACATTTGTGACAGCGATACCACAGTATACTATAGGTGAATAAGCCCCAAATTATTACTGTACATGTCCTATTTTTATGTTATTATTCATAATAGGCTATGCAGTCGATCTGCGGTCTAACATAACTAATCATGCTTTTAATAAATGATTACTTTGTGAGCTCTTTGCGATACAGATCAGAAGAAGTAAAGTGCTACATAAACTTCTGTCATTCACCAGAGTTTGATTTCCCCACGTGGGTCCTGATGATGCAGGATGACAATCGGCAAAGCTGTCCAATCGACAAGTTACCTGTAGGTCTGTGTAACGTCATGATTACTTTTCTGGTTTGTTTGTAAAACTGCAGTGTGAACATGAACCGGACTAGAACTAAAATGCAACAGTGTATCATTTTTTTCACTTGGTCCGGACCAAATGAACCAAACTACAGGTGTGAAAGCACCCTAAGAGACAGTATCAATATTTCTGATCTGGTTATTTACATGCATTTTGTTCAGCTTTGTTGTCATTTTTTAGCTGTCTATTTCTATCTTCCTATAAATTGTTCTTTTTTTTGTTGTGCACTGAAAGCAACTTAAAAACCTCAAATTTCTTGCATACCCAATAAAGCTGATTCTGGTTCTATTGTGAAACTTCAACAAACAATTATTTTCAAGCAACTGACTGTGGGCGCTTACGGTAACTGGCCTGCACTAGCTCTTGCAGGGATCTGAGCACCAGGTGGACAGTTGTAACAGTGTCGTCTGCTCCTCTTCCTAGTGCCTGTGACAGCTGATCCAAATCCTTTAATATATGCTGAGTGAGAAAGAAACAAACATCCTCCACAGTTGGCTGAATGATGTGCTGGAAATGCTAAAGGAACAGATGGGGGGGGGGGGACGACACAATGTCACACTCAGATTCAAAGGAACAGGCAAAATTATTAATCATTTATATCTATTTTGCAGACAAATCTCAGCTACACACTTTGTAAAATCTGTGCTAATATAACTGCTGATGTAGATACTTGACAACTCCCTTTGAGTCTATATCTGCTCACCTGGGACTTCTCTGAGGCTCCCAGCAACATGGCCAAGTGTGTAACCAGCCTGACCAGAGTGAAGGGAGTCAGAGACATGTTTTTGGTGTCCAAGGCATCTGGGTTGTTTCTGCGCTCAGGGTCTCCCAGGATATGACCAGGCCTTGTGCCATCCCTAAAACAACATATTACAGCATCAGTCAGTTAACAAACAATACCCCATAATGACAACGTAAAAGAAGTTTGTTTTGGGAGACACTGCCCAAAAATAGGCCAAGCTTGTAGCATCATACTCAGGTGCTTCAACAAAGTACTGAGCAAAGGCTGTGAATACTTATGTGCTTTTTTTGTTTTTTTATTTTTAACAAATTTGCAAATATTTAAACAAACTTCTTTTACGTCATTATGGGGTATTGTTTGCAGAATTTTGGGGAAAGGCTGTAAAAAGTGAAGCGCTGTGAATACTTATGTACGGATGCACTATAGTTTTCTAAATATTGTTATGTGGAGTATTTTTGTCATGCTGCTGGAAATGTTGATATAATTTTATAACTTCAGTAATTCCCATAATCACCATAACATGGACAACTGGCAATGTACTAGATATTTTTATTTAAACACCACCAAACTTGATTTGCTGTGGGGTGGTCATTAATCTTGTGTTAACCAAACCACCAAAACAGTCTATTTGAATTCTTAGGATCTTCTTCTTTGCATTTGGCCAATACTTTAACAACTAAAACTGTGTCTTTGCAGTGCTGCTTTTTTTCTACCAACAAAATAACTGACCTCCCTATATTATGTCCCCAGGAAGCACACTAATTTAAGGAGGAAAAATACTCTTAAAGGTTTCAGTTTTACTGTGACATTAAAGAGAAAGTTCAGTGTCTGACTGTAGCTTGATGTTAATGACACTCACTCCTGCAGCTGAATTGGTCTGAATCCAGGCAAGGCTATATGACGGTCCCCTCCAACTTCCTGTCCACACTCCAGACATCGGCCTTTCTGCATTGGCAGGCCGCACTACAGTGGAACATAGCAGATTTTATAATTTTACTGAGAAAGCATATTTCTTATTTGTATGCTTCATGTCTGTAGCCACTATGCAAATGGACTGGAACTGCATTAAAATAGCTTACCTCATCAACAAAGCATGGATGATTATTTGGACACACTGTTAAAAACAATCAAGCATTAAAAATGGGCTTAAATCACGTGGATTTTTTGAGATGGAAGATAAACTAAACTAAGAATGATGTGACTCCCTTAGCATTCAATATGATGACGATGATGATGATGCAAACCCAGAGAATACATATTATCCAAAGATCCAAAGACTGAATGAAGAAGTTTATACAGATTATTGGAGAAAACCAAGATGCAAAATATCCAATAAATGAAGCTGCAAGAAACCACAATTGAAAATTCTGGTTTGTAAATGAATAATACTTACCATACCAAGTGAGCTGCCCATAGTCTTGGTGTATAACTGCCTGGGCAACAGCTAACATGTCATCTGGCATTGTGGGTACAAATGCCTCCTGTAAAAGTTAGCATGAGAGTAACATGTGGGGTTGTGGTGAGTTACTGGTCAATATAATAGAGATAAAGAGTTTATGGTCCTGAGTTGTTTTGGAATAAAACTCCCCATCCACTAAGTTTGAAACTTTAAGGCACCTTAAAGTTGTAAAACTGACAGCATTCTGTCATTTGACACAGAGAGCAGCTGAAATGTTCTAGAAAGGCACGATATGATAAATGTTTACCTGCATATTTTCAGGATACAGACCAAGTTGCTTTAGTGGCATCACCAGGAGGTCAGTCCCAGTGAGCAGCACAGCTGCCAGGTGGATGGTCAGCTTGATGATAGTTTTGTCCACAATAGTTTGACCAGGGTACATGGTCAGGGCTCCCAACCTGTTGTGAACCAAGGCTGAGGCAAAATCCCTTACTTCTCTTTGATGCAAATACCTTGAGCCCTGGATGAGCTCTCCAAATGCTTGGCATCGCTACATGGAAGATATAAGATGTTATACAATGTAAATAAAAAATATTAGAGCAAATGTTATATTTTCTGATTTTGGATCGTGTTATAGAAAACCTATTTCTCTCACTGCATCCAATTTTAAAATGTCAAATTCTACTAATGTGCAAAGAGGAGTTTAGGTTAATCATCCTAGATCTCACTTCCCTCCACAAAGGCACCCACACTGACAAGTGGAAGACGTTAGTGTAGCCTTAACAGACAATCCCTCTCTTATCAAAAGTAATTGTGCTCTGCCAAGCTAGAAGCGTTGCTGCCTGGTGGGAAGTGCATGCTAACGTCATGCACTTCCCACTGAGATCCATCAATGTTGAAACATTTTCAATACTACATTGCACATATTAACAGTAAGTCAGAAAAACATAAACATGTTTTTTGGGGGGGAGGGGGGTTAACATGAAGCAAACAAAATTGTTTAGCATGCTTTAAGTAGCTATATAAATTATATTTAGACAATCTTCATACCTCAGGGGTCGGATGAAGACCTGTATTTGCAGATCTGTACAGAGTTGTAACCTCACGGAAAAGCGCTAGAAGGATGAACAATGTCCGCTTCCTCGGTGGCGCGGTGCATTTCTAAATCAATAGAAAACAAGCAAAATTTGAGTAGTGATCAGCTACTATTTAGTTTGAATGAGCACCTGGTCCCTGAATCATAGCAATAAAACAGATCTTAGGTTGTGACTATACAGTTTTAGATTTTAAGATCTATATTTCCTACATTACAGGCAGCCATTCGTTTCCATTTTTTACTGTGCAGAATAAAAATTTGATTTGTGCAATCCCTTGCAAGGAACACAAGTCACTCAATGACCCATGTGTCAAAATACTAACATTTACAGGAATGGGTCAAATATATGAAAGAGAGTCCATGGAACATTTGTAGCAGCAAGAGTTTGATAAATTTAAATACCTCGCAGACTTCTTCTATCTGCTCAACATCACCATCCACTATTGCCTTGGCAACTGCATCCCTCACTGCCTTGTATTCTTCTCCATACACAAGAAACTGGTCCATCTGACCTCCAACTTCATTCTGTTCACGCCATGAATAGAATTAAAGGAGCAAAAATGGGTTATAATATGTCAAAATATTTGCTATTAAATGAATTTGAGATGTCCTGGTGGATCCGTGATTCAGGAATAATCTAATAACTGTGATGAATTTGACTCCATGGTTTGTTTTAATGTTTAAATAAATGATGACCTGCCCTATCAAATGTGTGGCTGAAGGTTGGCCCCACTGGCTGCATCATGTAATAATGGTGACATGCTTACTTGTCTTATAACTCACTCATTTTTGGTAGTAGATTTCTTAATGAGTACCTGCTGATGGATCTCTATAGGGAAAAGCCAGCTGAAGTTTGGTTGTTTCACAAGCGTCTGGATAAACTCGACACCCTGCCCTTCACTGAGCTTGCGGATCAGGTAAACACGGTACCAATCATTCCCACTGTCCTTACAGAGCGTAATCACCATGTTTAGGAAATCCTCTGCTCCATCTGGGATATCGTCACCTGCAACATAAATGTAGTCCAAGACACTCTTTTATTTTTTTTATTTTGCAAACTAAAGCAAACTGTCAGCAGTATTAGTTAGTTTCTCTAACCAGACAGATTGTCACTGATAAGCTGGGCTGCCATGGTGAGGGACAGACGCAATCGTGCGATGTGCTGCAGATGTTGAATAGACACCGTTGCTGGAACAGAAGTGACTTCAGCCAAGAATTTTGTTTCACCATTAAAAAATGACTTCAACTCTACAGCGTTGTTGCCTTCCTGAGGCATTTTCTCCCACATGGAGTCCTGCAAAGAAAATATGTTAAAGGAGCATCAGTTCACTTCAACTGACCTGTATCAGCAATGAGAAGAAACTGAAACAACAGTTTGTGGTATAGTTGCCATCCACAATCCTCCAGAACCCCTCCTGTCCCATTCACATACTGTAGGAAAGTGGTAGGCAAACAGCGGCCCGTGAGGCAAATCCAGCAATTTAGCAAAAATATTTGCCTCCTGACAAAGCTTAAGTATTCACTATTAAAACCTTACATTACAAAGACCAAGTTGTCGGATGTAATAAAAGTGTAATGTCCTGCCAGAAAAATAATTTCACACTTGTTATAGACTCTCATAGCAACACAGTTTTTATGCTGCTTCATAAATAGTACATTGTTTTAAAAGGTTCCCCTGAGTTATATTCTTTGTGAAGATTTTCGAATGTTTTGAAAGCTTCAGTGAAATCTTCTTTACATCTTTAGTCGATTTCTACACTATTAAACAGAATAAACCAGTGTCGTTATATCACTGATTAAAATATGTTTTACCTCCAAGCAGTTGATGTACAAAGCATAAAGTTCTGCTTTGTCCTCCTCCTCCACAAATCTGCTCTCTTCAACAGATGTCAAATGCTGCTGCAAATATTCCTCGACTTCCTCAAAACTGAAACACAGTTAGGTTCAACATACACTTGTTACAATGCAGAAGAGCTTTGTAAAGTGAAGAACAGTAACTTAAATCTATTCAGACATTTTTCCACAGGCAAATATTTCAATGTGATTACAACAGCAATGCTGTTAAACTCCTCTACACTGTTACTGACAGAGCAGCCCTTTACATCTGTCAGACAGTTCTACTGTAATTATCAATGATCATTTAAATTCAGATGTTGAATTTTAACATTGCAGTGTCACATTTAATTTACCTACCTGAACTTCAGCAGCAGCTTGAGGATCACAGAACGCACGACTGGGTTTTTATCTGGGGACTCGTCAAAAGGTGACAGATCTTTTGTATGAATCTGTTTTTGTTCTGGTTTGAAAGATGAATTAGAGTAATATTAGTAACAACTAACAATGAGATTAATAATAATTGTAAAAACAACGTTTATGTAAAAAACAACTTTCATACATACATCTTTTTATCAAAAGGTCCATAATAATAAGAATTTATACACTAAGTGGTCAAAGCTGTCACATACAGTGTCAGATAAATCCAGGTTCATTAGAAAAGAAGGTAAGGAAAACAAAGAAGAAACAATGTTTTGTTTGATGTTTCTTTAAGAAAGGAGATCTACATTAAATGGTACCTGTCTCAACAATCAGGTAGGACAACAGGTGTGTGATGACGTCTCTGGTTGGTGGCGTGTTGTCTTTGAAGCACACAGTGGAGAGCAGATCAATGAAGAAACCATTGCAACGCCGCCTGAATGCTGCATTTTTCTTGATAGACACCCTGTAGATCCACAAAAATCCAAGGCAACATTAATTTGAAAAAAAGCAAAACCGTTTTATCAGTGTTTATTAAAACAATTCCAAATGTGGCTAACCTTAAAGTAATTCCCCCAAAACCACACTATGTCAAGGGATTTTCCTTTTTAGTTTGTATGCCTCTGTATGTCTTTCGAGTGATATTGTTATGTTTCAACAGCCACAAATTACTGACACACCTACTACATGGTAAGCAAGTGTTTTGTATACGACTGCAAGCCACTCACTTGAAACACGCATAGATTAGGTTGCTACACCTCGATCAAAAGGAAGTATCTGATGGAGTATTAAAATGTCCTTTCAGCAAGTTCCACTGGATTGGTGAGGACAGGTGTATACAACAGAAAATCTGTTACACTGTGCACACATACACGTCTTATACGGCAGATGGCTCATTAAGCAGAACTGCTAAGCACTGTACAGCAAAAAAGGCTCCTGTGCACTTAATAATATTGGTGCAGTGAGTAAAGGCCAAGAATGAAGTTCATGATAGTAAACAACTGACCAGTTTACAGTACATAACCATGAACAATAAAAGTGCCAAGCTCTGCAGCTGATCTGTAACTGATCCTGGAAAGAGTGAATTTCACCATTGGATTTGATTTACAGGTGTTAAATGGTATTGAAAATAATATATAGAATAAAATTATGATATAATAATATACATTATATATATTGTATATATAATGAAATGTTAATATCTCACTTGATATTTTCAGAGACATGTGGCTGAAAGTCATTTGGTATCTCTTGTCTGCAACTGGGACAGGAATTCTGCCCTGCATCAAGGCTTCCTCTGATGCATGTGGAGCAGTAGATGTGTTGGCAAGGCAGCCCTACAGGGTCCTGAGGCTCCCTCATGCACACCACACACTGAAGTCCAAACCTTTACGAAAATGAAACCAACATCAATCAGATTCATGAAGTGTAGCTAAAGAACATTCTTCATTATTTCATTCAAAATAACTGAAGTGAAATTAACAAGCCCTTACCTGAACATCTGATCACTTGCCCCCTGCCTACAAGACTTCAGTACTTGAATCACAGCTTGAAAAGCTTTCATTGATTTGACATCAGAGTTTCTCTCCAGAACCTTAGTCAATAACATTTGGACAGAAAAATAACAATAATCATACAGATTTTTCAGTAGGCTGAACTTTCCGTAAAATATAACACAGTAATGTGGAATAAATGTGCCAGCAGCATTTAGACCATCATAATATACCAACATTCTCCTCAAGGCAGTAGGGTTACAAAAAAACCTCCATCACACTGGATGTAGACATAATGACATTTGTCTGTTTTATTGTAGAATATATTGGTCATTACAAATCTACTCACCCTGCTTAAGGTTTGAATGTGATTCAGGACCAGTGTTCTTAGCTGATTCTCCTCAATATGGAAACCCAGAAGCATGTGTTCCACAAACAATGAGAGGATGTAGATACGCTTCCAGCCATAACTATAAAATATTAGAGACCATACTGACATTTAGTTTGTTGTGGAAATATATGCAAACAGTATTTTTACATCAGTGCAGGGTTTCTCGAGGAAATTGGTCAGCAGAGATGGTAAGAGCTACAAAATGGTTTAAACAATCACCTCACGCATTAAATATGTGGCCTTTGCAATGTGAAATAGCACCACTCCTAAAAGCCTAATATATAAAAACAAATTCTGACTTTATTTCAGGTGTGGTGGGCTGCCTCCACTCTTAATGCTGCTGAGAGATGTCTGATAGCCAAGTTGTAACACAACAAGCCCACAAAATGACTGAAACACAGTAGTGACAAATTCTTTGTGCACAGCAATAATTTTGGGAGATTGAAAGAGGCATTACTTTTATCTGTGCTATTCACAGTACACATAATCAATTAATAGCATGTTTGATTTTGACATTTTATTAAATTTTATTACTATGAGAAATCCATCCAGTTTCTAGATAAATCATGGTGTTAATGACGGTGGCAGGAGCTGATTCTCAAATGGCTAGTACCACAAGACCACACTTTTGTGACTTTCCCAAGTCACCTAAACTGCTTGTGGCAAGTCAATAGGAGAGAACAAGAATATCCGGATAAACCCACACAGATGCATCCTTTTTATTACTACTATTCCTGTGTATCAGCATTCTACCTGATATCATGGAGTCTTTCTTTACATCGCTCTCCATATTGATTGGTCTTATGTTGACAGCAAATCAACTCCAAAGAGGCTTGCAGTCTCTTAACCCGCTTTAGCCACTTCTGACAGAGAGCATCAGTATCTAAATTAGGAGACTCCAGACCTTCAACACATGCCATGGCTGCATGGATATCCAAAACCTAAAGGACAGAAAAACACTTGGAAGTGATTCAGTATCCTTGAATAAAAGCTATTGACAGATGGTGGTTAGTCAATATTGGGTTTACGTCTATAAAAAGCATTTCCTCTATGGTCTGGGGCTTTTGCTTAATACAGTTTTGAGGGTACTTTTACGACATTTATTAATAGTATTAATAAATATTATTCATATTATAAATAATAATTTACCATCTCTGGACAATGTCTAATGTGCTGGTTTCTTCGCAAAGGAGAAACAACATCAGGCTGAAGAGATGTCATCCGTGAGAGGTTCTGAAGACGACTTTGATAGAAATGATAGGCAATGTGGACATGAGGAAGAGAAAGCTCATATTCATCTGTTCTTCGTCTCCGTACTTCATCAACACAACTGGCCAGAGCATCACACAAGAGCTGAGGAGTAAATAAAAAAGTAGTATAATATTACATTATTACTATTATTATTATAACTACAGCAACATTAAAGATAACCAGATTAAAGTATGTTTGACTGAAACATTTAAAAAGTGAACACATTTCTCCAAAATTAAAAAAAGAAAATGTAGATACATGGTTAATGTTTGTTTTTGCACCTGTTTTTTGGCACAGATGTGATGCATTCTGCTCCAGCCAAATGTGCTCTATTTATCAAACATTTTAGGGTTAGCAGACTGCATCTTCTGAGAAGACCCAACAACAACAAAACATACCAAAAACAATACAGCAAATAAAATCCACCAGCTCAAGCGGGAGCTGAAGAGCTTGAAGCAGCTTTTCAAGGTGTCGAACAAGGACAAACAAGAAGTTCTTCCAGAGATGCACAGCATCCTCCGCAAGAAGCTCATGACCTTGAGGAAGGAGAGGGCAAGTAAGCAGGCTGCCTTTTTAGCTAACCTATTTGGGTTTACAAAATAGCTTCTAGGCAAGAAGCACAGAGGCCAGCTTAACTGCTCTAAAGCTCACATCACCCATCACCTCGGAGACACCTTTAGCAATGCACTGAACGGCCTTGCTCAACCCATCAGCCCCAACTCTGGCCTTCGATGAGAAGGAGCCTAGCTAGGAGATCCAGAAGGTGGTCAAGAAAGCAAGATCAAGCTCAGCCCCAGCACCAACTGGTGTAACCTACAAAGTATATAAGAACTGCCAGAGGCTTCTCCACATGCTCTGAAAAATCATATAACTGATCTGGAGGAAGGGCAAGGTTGCTTATCAGTGGAGATCTGCAGAAATGGTGTGGATTCCAAAAGAGGAAGAGTCAAAGAACATAGACCAGTTCCGAACAATTATGCTGCTAAGTGTTGAAGAAAACAGCTTCTTCAGCATTGTTGCCAAAGGTAAGTCCATAGAAAAGTTATGCTTCACACTCAGCAGATACTGTTCATTACTGATAAACCAGTGAAGAGCCTGGGAATTATTATTCCAGCATTCTTTGCACTCATCACACTGTGTACATGTATGCTTGTATGTGTATGTGCACCTGTATATCACATCCAACTCCGACATGTACATAATAATAACAATAATGGTAATAATAATTTTCACCTGCATCCTTTGCACTCTGCTCATTGTACTATTGCACTATTGTCTCAACCTGTCTGTTTTGTTCATAGTGTGTATATATATGTGTTCTCTATACTGTAGCCTGTGTTTGATTATTATTGTATAAATAAGCACATCGTGAGCATTGTACAATCCAGAGTCAAATTCCTCGTATATGTACGCATACCTGGAAATAAAGCGGTTTGCAGGCCAGTCCTTCTGCAGGGTCTACAACTTGCTAGGCATCATAGGGGCAATAAGGCAAAAGGCCAACAAGTCTGTCATAGAGGCCAAACACCACAACTCTGGTAACATCACTGATGACGCGTCCAGGTGAATCACAAGATTGTTGACCTATTCTACTAAGTATATATTTCAACATGCACCTACTGTATAGGTACAAATGACACAAAAATACAAATTCCTGTACAGTATAATATAATATGAACATTCCTTCTTTGTAGAGCAGTATACAGTAATGTTCTGTTTTTACAGACTCTTCAAAGAGGTGTAAAAATCCACGCACAGTTTTTAAGGCAGTGTGATGTTAAATCAAACTGTTGTATTTAACTGCACTGGATTTGATTGTTGTAACACCAAAGAAAATCATATACATTACAATGTTTTGAGAGTGGTGGTATGGGTACATTGAGCACATTGTTTACCCTCACCTGCAATTCTTCAGCTGATGCCACTTTCATGGTCATGGCAACAAAATCCTGCAGGTACCTTTCAAAAAATTCTTTCTTCTTTATTTTATTCACATTTTTGGCCAAGTAACTGCCAAGGGGGGTGTTCAAGAACAACTCTTGGAAATGACCAGGTGAATGATCTGCAAAGAAAAGTTGAGGATGCCACTAATGTGTTAGAGCTCAATATAAAAAAAGAGAGATCTTTCAGTTACAAAGATAGCACTTTAAGTTCTAGGACAGAAGGCATTTGGATATGTTACATATACAGTACAATAATTACTTTCATGTCTGGATGTTTGTATCATCAGCCCATCCAGGAAATCTTTGATCCACCAGCTGAAGGGCATGAGACAACACATAGTGGCACCACCTATGATATGGCTTTGAACCATTAAGACATTCGAGCTGTAGGAGAGAAAAGATGCAGATATTGTGAATGTGATTTTACAAGGCTGAGGAATCATTATTTTTTAGCCCAAACAGCTTGTGCTGTAATTCATTTAGATATACTTGCATTTTTTTCTAGAGAATAAACAAAGAACCGGCTGCTGGCAAAAATGGGCTTGTTACAACGGTTCATTTTTAAAACCATAGTAAATGTAAACCAAAATACAGCCATAGCCAATTAGTCAAGTTGCAGTTTACATCCATGTCTGTCCAGACTCATATATGTAGAAAATACTTGAATGAAAATGAATAAAAGGTATGAAGTGTTTTTTGGCAAATCACTATATTGATGATGCATAATGATTGTTGATTCCAGTGAATATATACTGTGTTGAAGTGATTAATGAAGGATCATCATATATGTATTGGCTAAACAGGTACACACGTCCTTGATTACTATACAAAGATGAATTCTTAAAGTGTAGCTACACAAAATATGGTGCTTTTGTTTCCTCCTGGCATTTTTAGATGCAAAGCCTCTCTATAAGCTGTAACTGAAACTATCGCCCTCACTGACTCACATACAGGATGAATGACGCAGAAAGTGAAGGGCAGAATGAATGAGATGGAATATAGCCTATACTCTGCTTGTTATTGTTTACTCATTGTGTTGTCCCAGTCAAAATGTGTGAAATCTGGAATCGCCCAATCCATTATAAAATTATGGTTAAAACCTATTTTGAGGTCAAAGTGACCTTTGAGTAAAAAGGGTCACTTATTTAACGTTTAACCAACTGTAAAATCTGTTCACAATCTCCCCATCTCTTTCTGAGTTATGGGGCACAAAGCGCAGTTGTCATTTTCATGCCTAGTCCCGACGTTGCTTATAGAGCAAATGCATTTGCATCCATCTGGTCTGGTAAATTGTTGGCACATTGCTATTTTGAGGCAGCAGAACGTAGTTGCGGCACTGACCCCCCCCATTTGGTTATTTTAGGTGTGCATTGTTTCAATAGTAAGATGCTCTAAAGAGAGACACTGAACGCTTTTGTGCATTTACGCACAAAGCACAGCAGCGTAACTTCATTGATTGATTGATTAAAATCTCCTGACACGTCGACAGGATCGGTCAGGATCTATGTTAATTCATGTTACACTAACTAAGACCACGCAAATTAAGGTATAACATGTAGTTTATTTGGTTAGAGAGAAGGTACGGGGATGAAAGCATGGAGGAGTCAAGAGGGAAGGGATGAAGGGGTCGAGGGGGTAGGGATGAAGGGGGTTGATCTGGGTTGTGGTGGCTGGAGCGGTTAGGAACACGGGATTCGAGACTAAGGGTGGGGTCTCCACGTCTCCATAAGAGTCTTGATTATGATCCCCCTGTGGTTCCTGTGGTGGTTTTTGATGGTAGGAGGAAACCGGAGCGCCTGGGGGAAAACCTGCAAACTCCACACAGAAAGGCCTGGGCAGGACGAGGTCTGGACTCAGGACCTTACTGCTGTGAGGCCACAGTGCTGTCCATTGGGCCACCTTGCTGCCCATTGAAAGAGGAGAGAAAGAGGGTTTGGGGGGAGGTATGTGAGAACTGAGAAACGGCAGAGGAAGGGGTTAGACAGGCTTATACATATGTGGTGGTGATTGGATTGGAGCGTAAGATCGAGATGCTTAACTGACGGAATTGTGAAACGAGAAAGGGTTGCGAGGCTGAAAGTGAAGGGGGAAGCCAGGGTGAAATGGTGGTGGTGGGACTGACAACCGTTGTGGCGGAAGGACGGTGAGTGGGTCCATGACATGGAACGCCATGGCTTGTCGTTGCCATGGCAGAATGAACAGCAGCGCTGGTAGTTGTTGCCGTGAGAGAGCGAGAAAAAGCTGCCCGAGCAGGGGGGAGTCGAAGGAGTTATGTTAGCTGAAGGACGGGAAAAAGAAAGGAAGCCGGGATGGAGGGATGTATGTGCAGGGGTAGGGTGTGCGGCCTGCTTAGACATGGGGGGTGGGGTGTTTTTACATCACATTTTAGAATCGCCTCAGTTCGCTTGGAACCTCGACGGAGGGGATACGGAAAAAAGTACTTGGTAGCAGATACAGGTCCTACTTTTTCACAATGGAAAACCAAAAAAGGCAAATAGAGTCGAGGTGAGGCGAGTCGAGCTGGTACCATGCAGTCGAAAAGTGGCTTTATATACGTATGTGCTGGTGATGGGATTGGAGAGGCAAAAGTGGATGAAATGAGTGAAGCACAGGTGTGGTTGGATTAGTGAGAGAGGCGTGGTCTTGTACCTGAACCTCAGTTACAATAAATACATTAATTTTCTGCCATTAAACTAGCAAAATTAGAGTTGGACACACCCCAAACGCAAATGCCCATAATGCCTATAATAATTACTACATCAATTCTTGAGTTTTGGTGTGAAAAGTATTTGTCAAAGTAATTTTGAGGTCAAGGTGACCTTGACCTTTGAGTCAAAAGTGTCACCAACTCAGTGTCCAACCAACTGTAAAATAGAGGCATAAAAATGAACTTAAACAACAACATCAGTGGTATTCTGTCAAGACTGTCTTTAGTGTTCAGACCAAATATGTAAATGAATATGAAATTCAAGTATCTGTGCTGAACAGAGGCCATGATCATACAAGCAAGAAATACTCACTTGCTTTCCACCCGAACAGAAGGTACATGGAGCATCTCTTTGCTCCCAAATATCTCAAACCATAGGTTCCTGATGTCATCGCACTCATTCAGCAGAAGGTCCAAATTGCAATCTCGGTCAATGACTGAAACCAAGTTTGCTAGAAGTGGTGTAACAACTGCTTGTATTTTCCTCCAGAGTGTGTGTCTATGAGAAATATTCACATGACCTTAAAATCTTTAAAAGTGATTAACAGCTAAAATGTTATTTAGTTTAAGTTTGCAGTATTTTACAGCACAGGAAAATAGATAAGTAATAAAAAGAAATAAAGATTGTATGCAAATATAAAAAAAGGAATGAAGAAAAAGGTTAGATAGACTAAGGTAAGGCATATTAAGTAGAAACCTACAGGAATGTTCCACCCTCTTGTAGGGCACTGACATTAGATGCCACGTTCAGAACCCAGCTTTTTGGATTGGGGATGTTGGCCTCGTAGTCCACTAACAGCAAGTGGAGACGCTTCCTCACAATGCTTGCAAACAAACCTTACAGAAAACAGAAATAATTTACAAAAGAGTTTTTTCAGTAAGATTAATTTTCACCGCACACAGAGTAAATGTGTATAATGATGGCCTGAATCAAAAGATTACCCACGAATGACAGATTTTCTAACCTTGTGTTTGACTTCCATCCAGAAGTGTGAGCAGGTTCTCAACTCTCTTTGTGCTGAGTTCTCCACTGTCTGCTGCATCTCTGAGCATGCTCACTGCACTCTGCACACAGCTCCTGACCAGATCTGTTATATCAAACAAATCTCCTAAAACCTGCAAAACATAAAAGAGGTGGTATTATGCTCATTTTCAGGTTCAAAATATTATTTAGGGGTTCTACCAGAACAGGTTTACATGGTTTAATGTTCAAAAAACACAATATTTTTTGTCATACTGCACATTGCTGCAGCTCCTCTTTTCACCCTGTGTTGCAGGCTTCATTTTAGCTACGGAGTGATACATCTTGTCTCTAAATGATCTTTGTTGGGAGTTGCACATGCGCAGTTCCTAGTTAAGGACTACTAGCCAATAAGAAGCAGAGAAGGACAGGTCAGCGAAAGGCCGGTAATAGCCAATCAGAAACAGAGAAAGGCGGGTCAGCGAAAAGACGGTAAACAGCTTCAATGGAGGAAGAGTTTCAGAGTGGTGAGTTATTAATCTGTAAAAAAAGTAACTTTCATCCATAAAGTTTTAACTGAGCTCTGTCTCTACATCACAGTAACAACTTCATGTCCATTGACTGCTTGGAGGGTAGCTAGTGTTTGGAAGGGAGAGGAGAGGTGAGAAACAGCTCACTGTTTTTACACCGGTGTTCTTGAGGGCGTATCGGAGTAGCCGCTTGGTGAGCATTATGACACGTATTTTATTGTGACGTCACAAGAAAGGGAAGTAAAGGCTGGACTACAAACGAGCTGTTTTCAGGCAGTTCAGAGCAGTGTCTTCTGTGGGAGATGGGAACTCCCTTTGGGGTGGACTTTGGGCTTTTTCACTTTGCAAACCTAGTACATGCACAAAAAAGATATATAACTCAATAAAGGAGAGGGAAAAAGACAAAAACCATAATACCACCTCTTTAAAAAAAAATAATAAACAACAACCCAGCATCTGAAAAAAGAAAAATATTCTACAAGTAAATCCCCCAACACAGTTCTTAGACTGTGAGTAACTGACTAGCATGTCCTCCAACTAGTTATTCAATAAATGTATAAATTAATTAATAAATGGTATGTTAATGAGTTAAAATTCAGACTCTGTGAGGTGATTTCCATCTACCAGCTAGTGTCCATGTGTGTGCAGAATTTTGCAGTATAATTTTAGAATCGTATTAAGAATGAAATCACTGAAATCATTTCAATATAAAATGTCTAATTCAGATGACCTATTACAAGTTTTTTTTCGCCAGACTGTCTTGAATCCTAACTAAGAATAAAAAAAGCTGAGATCTCGGGCCTAATTGCCTAATAGATTACTAATAGGGTGACCAGGCGTCCCGAAAAATCCGGGACAGTCCCAATTTACAAGCAGTTGTCCCGACCCCTTTCCGGTTTGTCCCGAAAATTAGACCTAACATGAGTTTTGATTATAGCCTATTAAATACTGATTGTTGTAGTTCTCTTAGTCCAGCAGGGGTTGCAGGTTATCTGTACATTGTGTCAACAGCGTTGTTATAGCCACAAAGTAACACTCGTCGTGCTCTTTTCCCCTTTTTGTTTTCCTGTGGTTAGTGGAAGTTATAGTCACGAGGACAGGGAAAGTGTCGCTTCAGGCAGCCACGGCACGGCGGAGAGATCTGACAGCACATTGCGCAGACAGATGTGACACTGCACTGATGACATGAATAAAATAAATCTAAAAAGATCATGACTTACCTATCCACAGTTGTGTTTTTCCTAATAACAGACAAGTGACTTCTGAACAAAAATAATTCATTTTAGTGTTGTGTTTTGTGTATTTTCACTCATTAATATTCATTGACACTCAATGTACTGGTAGCCACGTGCCCCCCCCCCGGATTTCATCCATTCTCATCTGGTCACCCTAATTACTAATAACATTGGCCTAATTACAGTATCTCCTACAGTATATCAGTCACTGGTCCTTTGTGTTTGGTTTAGATTTAGACTACCATTTAAATTACTTGTTATGCTAGGTATGTCTTGCACTTTATTTATTTCACCAATTTATAATAATGTACAAGTAGATCCTAAAAGTAAAAGTTTGTACTTAATCCTGCACCAGAGATTAGTAAATTATTATATATATTTTGGTTATTTTCCTGACTGGTAATCGGGATCCTCTTGTTTCCCCAGGTTTATGAATATGTGTGGTAAATAACACTTACAGTGGAGTCACCATCTTGTGGCACACCAATGTGGTCTTCTGTCTCCATGTCTTGAAAATAAAGATAATTATAGGTGAATTTATTCATTTCCTTAAAATCTATAACATTCTTTAGAAAAAAAGATTTTTGATGAATTACCCTCAGGTGGATCTTCAAAAAGGTCACTTAAGCGTAGATTTTTCAAGGAATGAACATCAGACACAAACTCTTTTGATCTTCTGAGATCATCAATGTGAACAGACCTCCAAGGACCTGAAAACATTTTTGTAAAGAAAAATCAGATGAATGACAACACAATGTAAGTTTTTAATGTTTTTTAAACTGTCTGCTCTATGTAGTGTTTTTGGTTGTTTCTCTTAATGTGTGGCACTTGGCAATGCACTGCATTTTGTGAATGAAAGGTGCTAAATAACTTTGTTGTAAAGCATATTGTGACAGAGTTGCTCACGTGAAATAGACTAATTAGCTAGTCATATTGTGTGTGTGTGTGTGTGTGTGTGTGTAACAGCAGGACTAACCGCCTTGAAACCCAACATAGGAGGTCCCACCCTCGATTCGAGGAAGTTTGGTGACAAAGTACACAAATATCTTTGTGTTGTCATTAGCGGCCCACTTGTTTATTTCATTGATGCACGAATACCTTAAGGAATCCAAACATTGAGCATATGTAAAAGAAAAAAGTGAACCAACATGAGCTTTTGCAAAAATGTTACAGAAAATGTTATTCTGTGATGATCTTCAGACTCACTTGGCTGAGGAAAAAATATTCCTTCTGTGGGAGTCTTCATCATAGTCTGTTTGGATAATGAATACTTTGTCTGCAGTTGTTGAGCCAAGAAATTCCCTAATACAAAGACATAAGCATGATTTAAATTTGAAATGAAAGTGATCACTTCACAGTCATATATATATATATATATATACACACACACACACACACAGGCACATACATACTGGTGCATCTCATAAAATTTGAATATTGCAGAAAAGTTCATTTATTTTTATAATTTTATTCAAAAAGTCAAACTTTCATATGTTGTAGATTAATTATATATGAAGTGAAACATTTCAAGCCTTTTCTGTTTTAATCTGGATGATTATGGTTTACAGCTCACGGAAATCAAAAATCCATATCTCAAATTATTAGAATAAAGAATGTATAATACAGAAATGTTGACCTAAGAGGAGCTTTTAATCTCTCAGTCTGGTTCAGTATACACAACCGCAATCATGGGGAAGACTTTTGACTTGACAGTTGTCCAGAAGACACTCATTGACACCCTCCACAAGCTGTGTTACTGTGCTTGGTTGGCCAGCCAACTCATCTGACCTGAACCCCATTGTCAAGAGGAAAGTGAGAGACGCCAGACCAACAATACAGACCAGTTGAAGGCAGCTATAGGCCGTAATCACCAAGATTAAAACAATAAATAAATGAACTTTTACACAATATTCACATTTTATGAGATGCACCTGTATATCTACTCTAAATCTAATCTATAATATACATTATTATCAGTTTTATAATCCATAGAAGAATGACAAGAAAATGGGCACAAGGGTGTGTTTAGTTAGACAGAAATGTGCAACTCTGTCCATGTGACATGCTCTTTAGACTGTATTTACACACCTGATTTTCTTGAGGAAAGAGTACTCTGTGTCAAACTGTTGCAGTGATAGCAGCTTGATATCAAGCTTGATCACATCCTGCAGTTGTTGTGTGTCTGCTGCAGTCAGTAGCCTGGAAAATGTTGTGACCTTCAAAAAAGCAAACTAGGAATTACAAAATATTAGGCAATTAATTTCTCATTTACTATTAATAACAGAAAAGGCCACCGACACATACTGGTACATTGTTATGTTGATGATTTATAATGCATGTAAACAGTAATCATTTCCTTAATAAGCCTTGTTAGTATTTTAGATTCTATTTTATTTTCTAATTCAAATGCACATTTGAATTTCAGCAACCTTTTACCAATATAAAAGGCACTATGTACTGTCAACTCTGACATAACTTTTCTAACTTAAATAACTAATCTGCTACTTCCACATCAAATGGACATATTTACAGATGAAAATACTGATAAAATAGATCATCAAAAGCTACCCACTAACAAAAGTCAAAGTGGTAAGTAGAAGTAAGTAGAGATGGTATTACCAGTAGGGCAAGAAAAAAAGTGAGGTTGTGCCCAATACAAAAAAACATGTCTTGAGCTTGGATTAATGAAAATGGACAGAAATGCAAGGCACATTTCCAATAGTACGAGCACCTACATGCACATGGCTGATTGTTTTATACTTTTATTTTGCTTAAAATAGATGACAGTGATTGAAGTTGTTGATCATCAATCTGTGCTGAAGTAAAAACATACCTTTTTGAAACAATTTTTACATTTGGTCATTGGCCCCTAATTCTAGGGTGGTACCCTTCATTTATTCATCTTTATTATAAATGTTTCTAATATTAATAGCTTTAATAATATTAATAAGATATAAATATTTTGCTAATAAACAAACCTGCCCCTACCAGATCCAAACATCTGTTTTAAATAATGCTACAAAGTTTTGGGTGGATTTGTCTTGCAATATTTGATAGCATAGTAAAATAAATACCTCAGTGAAGAAGAAGTGGGACTGTTCCAACTGCTGTGTGCGATAGACAATGTAGTCTCCCAATGAACTGTGCATCTCCTCTTTAACATATTCTTTCATTAAATGCTCTCTTTCCTCAATAGGCAGTCTGGATTTGTCCAAACGAACAACAGAGTCTGGAGTGGCACAGTTGAGCAGAACGGCTTTGGCTTTGTCCAGAATGATCTGAGCATCTGTTTCAACACTTTGACTGTCTGTTACTTGCAGGACCACAGAGGAGCATGTGTCTGAGTGGTAGCCGATGAAGACATCACTTGGAACATATTGTTTTTTCTTTGGGTTTTGACTTTTTAAGGAGACAAAATCATCAACCCATTCCTTTAGTTGTACGGCAATGTCCTTCTGCTCATTTCTGAGAACAGTGTTTATGTCAAGGTAGTGTTTCTCCAACCTGTTAATCAGTGGGATTGGAAACTGCTCATAGACCACCTCTTTCTCTTCAATGACGATGAGCCTGAAGTTTTTGTGAACTCTGCATTTCACACGATGTGTTCCTAATCCAAGATCAACATACTTTTGACCCCCTAGGGTCACATAGTATTGGTTGAGAGCATCATACAGACTTTCGTACAGATTCTGAAGGTTCAGAAGCACAACTGTCTGTCCAGTCTCCATGCAAACCTTGACACGATTGATGTTCTTACAAATCTGTGTGTATTCCTGATCTTTTGGGAAACTAGATCCAAAGATGATCTCTGGATGGATTCGATGAGAGCAGAATATCTGGTGGAGAATCTGAAGAGCTGCATAGTTTTTTGTGAGGATTAAGAGGTAACGATTTCCATCCACTTGGGAAGCTGGACAGATGCTTTGATTTACCAAATCAAAGGTGGTGATGCTGGCATTTGCAAAGTCATCTCTGAGTTGTTCGCTGAATATGCCCATCACATCCACATCATCTTTTCCACTGAAGTTTCTCAGGACTGCACCAGTGATTTCATCTGCAGTGGGCCTCTCATTACTGAGTTTGGTAATTGAAAATATCATCTTTATCAGACTGTAAAAATCCCGCAGACCAAAAAAACCCCTGCCTTCTTTGCATAAGGTCATATATGCGTTTGCAAAAGGTGGAAAGAGGTGTTTGATTTTTTCAAGAATCTTTTTTTCAGATGAGCAAATCCCTTTAGCACTTTTGATGAGCTCTTCCTGGGTTGGATCTCCACGGGACACAAATATTCCACGATTCATCTTTGCAGGGTCAAGTGCCCAGTTGGAAATTCCAATGAATCCAACCCTTTTATGAGGTTGTGGCTCATCATCAACACAGCCCTCTTCCAGTAACGGGTGCAGTGTTTTCAGCGGCATTTTAGGTGAATCTTCAGCCAATCCAATCTCGTCAAGAACAACTACTGAGATGTATTCATCCAAGTTTTTGCTTTCTTGAAAGCGGGCACACTGTTTGAATGTGTTGATGATTCCTTCAGGAGTTGAATGAGGGCTGCACTGGAAAGACACCAGATGTATCTGCTTCAGCCTCCTAAAGAGTTCAGAATGTGAGGCAGAGCCCTGCATTGCATCTGCAACAAGGGTTTTAGACAGTGATTTGGAGCTCCCCGGTTTCCCAACAATGAACAAGGGAATTCTTAGCTCCACACAGATCACCATCATGAAGAAATTTTCTTTCAAAGCCTCATTTCTGGCTATTGTCTTACCCATGGGTACACCGCTGAGTAGGAGGTCCTGCATGAGTTGGATTTCCTGCAGTGACCCCTTAGTGTTGTATTCACTGGGAAGCAACTCTCTGATAGTTTTTTGATATGGCTTTTTGTCCTCCAAGCAGGACTGATAGCACACTCCAGTAGCCATCAAGAGTGACCAGATTACTCTGTCACTAGCAGGTGAAAACGTGTTTTTTTTTTGGTTTTTTTTGAATGTTTTCAGTTCCTTAGCAAACATGGCGTGATTTTTGTGGAACCACACAAACACTTGCATGCAACGTTCAACATCCCTCAAACTGACAAAGCTGCATTCATCTTTCCTCTGCCTCATGAAATTTTGTGATGACGACAACACCTGAGTTATAATTGGAATATGTTGCTTCTCAATCTCATTGGCCTTCACCTGTCTTTGCACTATTTGTTCAATGTACATTTGCTCTGTTGAGTCACTGAGCTGCCCAAAGTCCCAAACAAGAGGAATCATGCTAGGGGGCAATACATGAACACGATACACGAGCTGGCGGAGAGGGATGGAGCCAAGCCTGTCGTCAGTCTCCTCAGCCCTGACTCGGTAGCCCAATCCAGATGCCTCTAGCCTTTCAATCATCTTGTCTGTATGCTTCCTGTAGGGATTACATGCAGCAACAATCTGTAGTCCTGTTTGGGAGCAAAGTGGTTGTCCTTGCACAGAGTTATCACAAATGATCTCCTTGATGCTGCTGACAGCTTCTGTGGTGTTTGCCTCATCAAAGAAAAGAACGGAGTCAAATTCATGATTCTCTTTATTGGTCCTTGCAAGACTTTCTGCTTCCTGCACTTTCTCATATATCATTTCTGATGTAGTTCCTCCATGAACCTTGACCAGTTTCATGTTTTCTGCCGGTGCTCCACACCTTCTTAATTCACACATAAACCTTATGAGCCTTGTCTTTCCACATCCTGTCTCACCCATAATGATTACTGGGATGCCACACCTAAATCTCATATGGATTGCCATCATTTTGAGAATATTATCAGTGGTCAGTTCATATGTTTCATCAGGATCTGTTGGCCACTTGATGCCAAGCACACTGCACAGATGCTCAAGCTTGTCTGCTCGAGGAAGCTGATCAAAGTTCCTATTAAAAGGGACTCTCTGAAGTCTTAAGCCAGTGTACAGCTCTTGAGTCATGATGTTTTTCTTTATCACTGCTCCTGTCAAGGGATTTATGGCATCAACCCCTTTCTGATCATTGAGCTTCAGGTGAAATCCAATGAAAGTCATCGACATGTGGTCATCATTGAAAAAGATGTATGGATGTGGCTCAGATTCCCACCTTTTTCTAATCAGGAAAGGAGCTAAGTCCCTTTCATTAAGCCCACTGATGTCAATTTGTTGCCTTCCTGGGCTCTGATCAGTGATGCACAGTGATGGGGTTGCAAAGTCTTTGGACATCAAGATCATGAACTCAACCACAAAGTTTTTGAACCCACGAAGAGTGTCTCCAACAAACTCAAATTTGCAGAAGACTGAATTCTCACAGTCTTGCAGTTGAAGATTAAGGAACCATACAAAGTTACGTAGCTCTGCCCATGAAGGATCTATTATGCCACAGTAGATTAAGAGTATCTGAAGACACTTTGCATGAGTCCCTTCAATGCCCTGGTAAGTGAAGTTGTCAAGATTGTCATTGTTGTAAAAACGTGTGAGGTACTGGTATGGTCTTTGATAAGCTTCACTCCTGAAACATTCGTCATCCATAAGGGGGTCATCACTCCCCATGCCTGCGTTTTCATCTCTCCTCATTTCCAAAGCCATAACCTCCTTTGGCGAACGGCAGTACACCTTAGGGAAAACGTCTGAGAATGCAAAGTTTTCCTTTCGTCCCTAAAAATATACAAATGTATATATATTCAAGTTTAGAATCAATCAATCAAGCATATCCTCTCATTCAAAGACCTTGAGGAAATGTATTTAATTACAACGTTTACTTCACTTTCCTATAAGCTACTCAATGCAGCTACTTTAATTACCTAGTATATACCATATATAGCCAATCATCCATGTCCAACTGAAACAAAATGCTAGGATTCTGACAGGATGCGATCCTATGTATCTACATTGTGTAGCACACAGTCTGACTTTAGTTATTTGAGAATCTGTGTTATTAAAACATTTCGTGGGACAACGATGAAACAACAATATCAATAATACAATGAAAACAATAGAATTGTGTGGTATGATTTCATAATATGAGCAATGCACAAACAATAAGTCTCAACTTACAGTTCTGGGGGCATATCTGGCCTGATAATGTGTAGATTCCAGTAACTCGATGATGTACAAGTGTTTGTGGCTGCAGCACCACATCCGTCCATCTGAATCCATCAGGTACCGCAAAAAGAACAGCTTGAATAGAAATTCATTCAAGCCTTTTTGCACCTGTGTATTATAATTTGCATCATTAAAGCAGATCCGAATATTACTGGATAAAGATAAAGTTTGACCATCTAAAGAATGCTCTGAGAACCACATTGTTAAAGAAAATAAAAAATAAACTGCTTACCGAGGATGTGACATCAAAGTGAAACACCTTGAGATCTTTTTGTTTTGGTGTGTCATACAAACACTGGAGTACCTTGTAGTCATCAACCTCATGTTCAGTTAGCCGGATGCACTTCTTAAATGCTGTTCCTTCTTCAACACTTCCCTCCAGCTGTTCATACAATCTTTGGACATACAATGATTTGCCTAAAATGGAGAAACAACCATATAATTTGGCTGACTGAATAATAACTGAGCTGACTATAAAACAGATGTAACTCTAGAAAATCAGATCAAATCAGCACAAAACAAGATTAATTGGATTCTGCACCATGTTTTCCATAATTCATACTGTATAACATTTCAGTCAAAAGCATCCTAACTACTTTTAAGGTTATTACAAGTCTTTTATGCTGAGTCTTACTGTTTGATATACACAAATACTCAAAAACTGCCACTGACACATCACACATTGTCCTGCATGTCTCAGTGATATTGTAAACAACTGCATAATCCAGCACTGGGAATGCTAGTATTTACCTAAAGACAAACATCATTCAATATGAGAATTAGATTGCTCATATAACACCCATTTAAAAGGGCCATCAATGTTAAAAAAATCACCATATTATATTACAAATTATTTCTTCAGTCAGTATTGCTGTTCATCTATCTGCATAATTCCCTTACATAACACTAGCACGGAGAGTATTAGTGATATGAAAAGACATATACATAAACATATAGGACTCACCTACTCCTGCACGCTGGGAAGCAACAATGCCTACAGAATGGCCACCTTTGAACACAGCATTCGTGTGGTCTGAGGGGACAGTGTAATGCCTGGACAAGTACTTCTGGATCCTTTCCAATGGCTCTTGTGGCACAAAGTCTCTTTTGAACTGACTGAATGCAGTAGGAATATATGTGTGCTCCCTGTCAGAGCTGCAAAAGATCACTAGCCTATAATCATGTTTACACAGGGAACGCAGTTTCTGAAAACACTTCTCCATTGCACAGCTAACGTCATAGGTTAGTTGATCTGCCCAAATCATTGTGTAAATCTTCTGACCAATGTCACCTGGTGTGAGACATCTCCTCAGGAAAAGCTGTACTTGCTCATAAGATGTGGCAGGAGTACACAAGAGCACCTCATCATAAGTCGGCAGTGGCTCATAGTCACTGGTCATGTACAAGCAGATACTTGAAGTCAGGACCTCATCGTGTGGACAGATTATGAGATTAGGTTGGGCTGAAAAGAGGCCCTTTGGGAGCCTTCTTCTGAGTGAACTGTCTTTTGTCTCTGAGAGCACTGGTTCTTCCCATTCATTTTCATTTTGGTTTTCTGAGACAGTAATCATTTCTAACAGACTCCCTAAACTCCTTATGTCCAAAAGGTCATGGAAAAATATGCCCTCATTCTTCATGTAGCCATTCCACAACTCTTCCAGTTCTTTCAAACCTACAGTCTGGTCTGCCTTGTCTGCTGGATCAGCAGTTATAAAATGACCCACAGTGGCTGAAGACATATCACTGTCATCCTGTTGAAGAAAGTGACTTTGAAAGTGAGTATCTTCATTAATCCTTTTTCCAGGCTGGAATTGGTTGTGAAACCTTCTCCATGTGCTCCAGACATCTGATGTTGTGCAGTTTGGTTTGATGAAAGAGAGCATCATCAGAGCTTTGTCCTCTATTTCTACATTCACATTTGTAGGAGTCACAATGTTGCACAGGTAGGATATTTGTTCTGCTGTGAAGTAGTTTAAGTAGTAGTGATCAGATCTCTGTTTGTCCATGAAGTTTCGCCAGTCATCAAGAAACAACTCCATCTTCTGGGACAGAGATGTAAGTTGTTCAACTAGACTTCCAAATACTCGGATTTGATGCAGGGTCTTGCAAAAGTTGATTTCCATAATGATACATGGATCACTCTGAGCTTGGCAAAAAACCTTAGCTTCCCAACACCTGAAGAGTGGGTTCCCAGCAGCATAAAGATCTACAAATGCTTTGGCAAGTCTTTGGACATTTTCAAATACCTGAATATGAAGAAGATAAAATGAGATTACAGGCAAAAAAAAAAACACCACATGAATTATTATTTTAAACATTCCATTAATTTATAGGAAAGAAGATTTAAACTATAAATCTCTGACCTAAAATCACAAAAATATACAATTTAAATAAACCACACCTCAGCGAAGCTTTTCACTTCACTTTGATTTTGTTCACCTCTTCCAGACATGAGCATAAGCTTATTTTGCAATTCTTTCAGGTCCTCATAAGTACATGTCGTGTTTTTCTCACGTCCGTCCTGAATTTGCAACGTCAGGGAAGTTTCTAAAGTGAGCTATAAAGGGAAACATCAGTATGACAGGACTACATTAGTGTGTTTACATGAAGTTCTTCGATTAAAAACTATATATCACATGGACAACACAAGAAAAGCCTATTTAATTTTAAGTTATATACACATTAGTACTATTAAAAATTCATTGGCCTCTTCTGATCTACATAAAAGGCAATTATCTGAGCATTAAGTGTTCCTCACATATAAAAGTGTTCATTTGTTAGTTTATTATATAACAATGTAATAAAATTACAAAAAATTTGATTATCATGAAAGCGTTTTTTTAGTCCTGTAATTCTTTCAAATTCAAGCGTTTTTTTAGTCCTGTAGTTCTTTCAAATTCAAGCGTTTTTTTAGTCCTGTAGTTCTTTCAAATTCAAGCGTTTTTTTCATGTAGTCCATTTAGCGTACCTTTTTCTCATTTTGGGCCTTGATGGTGTATATCCCTCTCTCATTGATGGATGTAGCTAGGGACAGAGATGAAAATTCAACCGATCCATGGCTCTCCCTAACAGTCTTTAACCATTCCAGATGACGTGCTGTATCTCGCTGAAATCAGACATGAAATGAAAAAAAATCTTAATATAATTCTGGTTGTAAATGTAAAATGTAAATGCTCTGTATTTGTACAGGGCCTTTCTAGTCTTTGTGACAACTCAGTGCTTTTATACTACATCGCATTCACCCATTCACACACATTCATACACTGAGCCTAAGTACTCAAACGGAAACTAACATTCACACACATTCATACACCGATGGAACAAATTTGCCTCTATTGGCAAATTTGTGTGCCTTGTTTCCTCATTGTGCACAGTTTAACAACTGATAACATTATATGCAGTAAGTACCTAACCTCCTTTAATAAAATTCTTTCCATATTAACATATTAAATTGAACAGTTCTCTTTATGTGCTGCTCTCCAACAAAGACGCGTTACAGCTGTGGCTGTGCTGTGTGACGCAGCAATCTAAATTACCATTACATGATGGATTTTAGAGTCGGACTGTGTCACCTAGACTATTGTATTTACAAAGTACAGAAGTCAAAGAGAAAGTTATAACTAACATCCTGAAATGTAACTACAAACAGCTGAGTGCAGGGGAGGTGTCCAGAGTGCTGAAATGACGCAAACATTTTCAGTACAATAACCTCACGAATCACGGCAATCACATTCCTCTTCGACAGAGAGGAAAGACATTATGGTACATAAGAATGAAAAGAGGCCTACTTATAAACGACACCATGTCTTGAAAACAGGTCAGTGAAGACGCACATACAGTTTAATACCCACAAGCACATCCACACAATCTGGTGGACAAACTATGCAATGAAAACACTCATGATGGGAAGGATCCCTCTTCTGTCTCTCTGTCTCTTTCGTAATTCTCATTTATTGGCTGTTATAAATAGAGATACCACTTTATCTGTAAATAGCTCATATCAGCCTGTTAGCGCACCAATTTATTGGTTAGACTTTAGTATGGTGGTAACAAAAGGGTAGAATCTCACCAGCTTTTTCGGTATTCTCTTGTCATTTTCAAGTGCCTTCCACAATTTTGACAATGACTCTTTAAGGGCCTCAAAATTAGAGTCCTGCTTCAGTCCATACAACATGGACGAGTAACCAAGGACAGCATCATGAAAACAGGCCACTCGATCCACATCCAGGTCATTTTCTCCAGCAGATATGGATGCCAGGTCAACAAAAACTTTCAGCTCATTGATATCTGCAATAACAAATTTTCTCAAACTGATACAAATCATGGTGTTTAACTCTCATTAACAAAAATGTTATCTACTGTACCTTCAAGTTCTTTTTTAACCCACAGGACAAATGTTCGACTCAGACTGAGTTCCTGAAGACATTCCCTGTGATCATTCGTAATGTCCTTCAGAATCTTTTTGGCCTCCATGAAGGTATCATCTATGCAATTCAGGCTGTTTTTCTTGAAGTCAGCTTGAGTCTGAAAAAAATACATTTAGAATATGAATGAGTGTGTGATTCATGATTCCAGTTAAGATGGTTGTAAAAAGTCTATTTGACATAAAGGTTTATGACTAAATAAAGATTAAATATTAAAAAAATATGTCCACAATCATGTGTGTCTGATAAACACATTTTCCACAGCTGAATACAACTACATAGTCTTCTAAAGCCACCAAAAACGTATTCCTCGTAGATTCTCCCTCATCAACAAAGCCATGTAAAAAGATCTTTTTTAACGACATTCCTAACTTTAAATTGTTAGGTTACGTACCATTTGCAGCAATTTTTCCACTACTTCGAAATCTCCTTCTGGACATATCGTGTTCCTGATATCCATGATGATTTTGGCAGATTCCATTGCAAGATGAAGATCATGGTACTGTTGAATCTGGTGAATCCTTCCTCTGATCCATTTTCTGTTATCAGATGGGTTTGTTCTGCACATGATGTCTAAATCTTTCTCCAAGTCTTTATAATTCTCTTTATAGGAATCAAAAGTGCTGTCTATTTCCTCCAGTAACAGTTCCCCACTCTTCAGACCATCATAAAGCCCTTTGTATTTGTTGTAGCAGCTCTGGAATATTTTGCTATGGACCTGATCGAGAGTGTAGATTTCTTCATTTCCACCAAGGTGTTCAGTGCCATCTGTATCATGCTGTTCTCTTGACAGCTCTTCTACTTGGTTCATCCAGCACATTTTGAAGATTGTGCTGTCTTTAACAGCATGCAGTTCTGAAGCCATTTGACGGGTGGTATCACAAAGGTTGAAATAGGTGACCTCAATTGTAGTAGAGGTCTGTTCATCAAGTGTGTGAACCTTCACGAATTCATTCAGATTCATCATCTCAATGTTCTGGTGAAGTTTTCTGTCCAACCCCTTTAAGTCAACTGTGAATTAGAAAGATATAATTAAGAATATATGTGGATAACTAGACAGCACACAGGTCCTTCCTTTGTTCTCTCAGTCCTACATCAACAATATCAGAATACAAGATCTACAAAGAACAACTTCACAGGTCCCTTTCAATGTACAGGAGTTGCGACTTGACACTAAAGCCCTGTCAGATCAACTGATCAGCCTTGTTGCAAAGAATTAGACCCAGCAGCTCCTGCAGAGGAACCACAAACTTGGAACAGGAACCTCTTGATTCCACTTAATGGGATAAAAATTAGCATGTGGTTCAAAGAACACTCTTACTGTCAAGTGAGGTGAGTCTTTTGGATAGCCTTGGTCAGTGTTTCCATACCCCTGCTGAGAAACACCTCTGAAATAATTATCCTAACCTCAAAGAGCAAGCACTGCCAAAACTGACTGGTTCATCCCATGTTGCCTTACATTGCCTCACAAGTTCACATCTCAAAGGCTACAGCTGACAGAGAGTTAACTGCTAACATGCGTGCAAATTTACCACCTGCATGAGAGACAATAACCAGTCAATAGTCTGTATTTCTTATCTAATAAAACATCATGAAAAGACAAATAAAACAAACCAGCCATTTCATTGGTTAACAGTGTGAATGATGTTGGACACACCACAAAAAGTAAGGGAGGCTGTGGCATCAGTGTACATGTGGCTTTGTTCTTAACAAGCACCTTCCCTAAATAACTGGTTAAAAGTTTTATACCATGTCAGAGCCTATCATATGAATTATCCCCTTTTTTTTATCCCCTAGGTTTTGGAAAAAAAACTAGAACCTTAAGCATTGATTTTATTCTCAGTGTGCAAGTGCTGCGTACCTTTGACATGTTGTGGAAGCTCCTGGCAGATTTGTAGAAGAGCCTTGACCATCTCCTTCTCATTATGGACAGCTTCTGCTTCTTCTTTTCTTAGTTTCAGAAATCTTCTCATGTTTCTGTCATCTTTACAACGACCATCATCACAGAGGCCATCTAGAGGAACATACTCATAGACATCTAAAATGTGTCAAGGGGCCTCAACTACACACTGAGTTCACAAGTCAAACAAGTTGGAAACCATTGCTTGAAATTATGCAAATTTTCAGGTTCATACTATTATTTTGGGTGTCTACTAGAAATGTTTACATGCTGCAGCACCTTTATTCCTAAAAATTATGTTTTACCGAATAATGCAATCACTTCTTAAGTTATCAGCACATTCACACTGGCCACTATTAGGTACACCTTGCTAGTACTGGGTTGGACCCCCAGACCTGCCTTAATTCTTTGTGGCATACTTTTAACAAGGTGTTACATTCCTCAGAGACTTTGGTCCATATTGACAGGATAGCATCACACAATTGCAACAGATTTGTCGGCTGCATATCCCCGATGTTAATCTCCAGTTCCACCACATTCGAAACGTGCTCTATTGGATTGAGATCTGGTGATTGTGGACGCCATTGGACTACAAGAACTCTTTGTCATGTTCAAGAAACCAGTTTGAGATGATTTAAGTTTGTGACATGATGTATTATCCTGCTGGAAGTGGCCATCAGAAGATGGGTACACTGTGGTCATAAAGGGATGGACATGGCCAACAACCATACTCAGGTAAGCTGTCACGTTGAAACAATACTCACTTGGTACAAAGGCGCCCAAAGTGTGTCAAGAAAATATCCCCCACACCATTACACCACCACCACCAGACTGAACCGTTGATATAAAGCAGGATGGATCCATGCTTTCCTGTTGTTTACGCCAAATTCTGACCCTACCATCTGAATGTCGCAGCTGAAATCGAGACTCATCAGACCAGCCAACGTTTTTCCAATATTTTAATGTCCAATTTTGGTCAGCCTATGAGAATTGTAGCCTCAGTTTTCTGTTTTTGGCTGACAGGAGCGGCACTTCTGCTGCTGTAGCCCATCTTCTTCAAGGTTCGTCATGTGCATTCAGAGATAGTATTCTGCATACCTTGTAACACATGGTTATTTAAGTTACTGTTGCCTTTCTGTCAACTCGAACCAGTCTGCCCATTCTCCTCTGACCTCTGACATCAACAAGGCATTTTCATCCACACAACTGCCGCTCACATGCTATTTTCTCTTTTTTTAACATTCTCTGTAAACCCTAGAGATGGTTGTGCATGGAAATCCCAGTAGATCAGCAGTTTCGGAAATACTCAGACCAACCCGTCTGGCAACAACAACCATGCCACATTCAAAGTCACTTAAATCCCCTTTCTTCCCCATTCTGATGCTCTTGAACTTGAGAAAGTTGTCTTGACCACGTCTACATACTTAAATGCATTGAGTTGCTGCCATGTGATTGGATGATCAGCTATTTGTGTTAACAAGCAATTGAACAGGTGTACCTAATAAAGTGGCCAGCGAGTGTATTTTTGGCCAGTCTGGCTTGATGATGTGAATTTCATTTGTTATATTTACCTCAGTTGAAATAACAGGTGATACAGTTACGATCTGTTCTACGACACAATGCATTTAGCCTACGCCTTAACACTCAAAAAAGGACACTTGAAATTAAATTGTGATAGGAATCAAATCGTGTTAACGGCACTGACAGAGTGAATTTGACAGCTGACATTCCTTTTCTGCATCTAAGCACCTAATTTTAGATTGACAGTTTATAACGGTCTTAATTGCTTAAAAATACATTAATCAAGATAGTAGTTCACCCTCAGAAATATTCTCACAAATTTTAGTGAAACCGTATCAAGAAATTGCTACTTCTACTGACTCTACATGTTAATAAAATATAGACTTTTAATCATCTATCATTAATGATGAACCACACAAAGAATATATGAAGAATTCATTACAATGTCTGCAGTTTTCATTTTAGCTGTGCGGTTGCAGTTGAGTTTTTTTTTATGCTTTGAGCAGCACAAATTCAATGTGTCCATTGTGTTGGAATTGCATCAGAGGTCTCAATGGTGAAGATCTCAAAAACCTGATTAAATCAAAACAAGACAATCTGCATAACTAGATATTGCTAAGAATAAGTCGGAAAATATGCTTTGTTGTAATCTGAATGAACCAGTGTTTTACATACTAAAAGTGTCATGAGCACTAATTATATTTATTATTATTATTATACTGGTGTAAGAAGTAAAACAGGAGAACAAAGAAAAGTCAAATGAAGAGGAAGTTGTGGAGAAAGAGCAGCAGATATAGACAGCTACTTACCTAGCTTCAGCAAGTCAACAAATTCACGTTCTTTCTGGAGGATTTGGTTTAAAGTTTTAATTTGGATTTCTCCACTGAGGAATTTCTCTGACACAGATTTGAATGCTGAACTCGCCAAAGTCATCCTCATTTGTGCTTCATCTGACAGACTGTCAATCAGCATTCCTCTTGCCCCTAAAACACACGTGCAAACATAAACAAAAATAAATAAATCTCTTACTGAGTTATGTAAACAAGAAATGAACTGTTGATCACAAAAAAACATTTCTGAGACAATAATTAGATAGACTGACTTGAGATAAATACACTCACCTAAAGGATTATTAGGAACACCATACTAATACTGTGTTTGACCCCCTTTCGCCTTCAGAACTGCCTTAATTGTACGTGTCATTGATGTGCTGAAAGCATTCTTTAGAAATGTTGGCCCATATTGATAGGATAGCATCTTGCAGTTGATGGAGGTTTGTGGGATGCACATCCAGGGCACGAAGCTCCTGTTCCACCACATCCCAAAGATGCTCTATTGGGTTGAGATCTGGTGACTGTGGGGGCCATTTTAGTACAGTGAACTCATGTTCAAGAAACCAATTTGAAATGATTTGAGCTTTGTGACATGGTGCATTATCCTGCTGGAAGTAGCCATCAGAGGATGGGTACATGGTGGCCATAAAGGGATGGACACGGTCAGAAACAATGCTCAGGTAGGCCGTGGCATTTAAACGATGCCCAATTGGCACTAAGGGGCCTAAAGTGTGCCAAGAAAACATCCCCCACACCATTACACCACCACCACCAGCCTGCACAGTGGTAACAAGGCATGATGGATCCATGTTCTCATTCTGTTTACGCCAAATTCTGACTTTACCATCTGAATGTCTCAACAGAAATCGAGACTCATCAGACCAGGCAACATTTTTCCAGTCGTCAACTGTTTTTTTTTTTTTTGTAGCCTCTTTTTCCTATTTGGAGTGGAGATGAGTGGTACCCAGTGGGGTCTTCTGCTGTTGTAGCCCATCCGCCTCAAGTCTGTGCGTGTTGTGGCTTCACAAATGCTTTGCTGCATACCTCGGTTGTAACGAGTGGTTATTTCAGTCAAAGTTGCTCTTCTATCAGCTTGAATCAGTCGGCCCATTCTCCTCTGACCTGTAGCATCAACAAGGCATTTTCGCCCACAGGACTGCCGCATACTGGATGTTTTTCCCTTTTCACACCATTCTTTGTAAACCCTAGAAATGGTTGTGCGTGAAAATCCCAGTAACTGAGCAGATTGTGAAATACTCAGACCGGTCCGTCTGGCACCAACAACCATGCCACGCTCAAAATTGCTTAAATCACCTTTCTTTCCCATTCTGACATTCAGTTTGGAGTTCAGGAGATTGTCTTGACCAGGACCACACCCCTAAATGCATTGAAGCAACTGCCATGTGATTGGTTGATTAGATAATTGCATTAATGAGAAATTGAACAGGTGTTCCTAATAATCCTTTAGGTGAGTGTATACATACACACAAAGAAGTGACCATATACTAGACATTAATAAAAAGCAGATACCCAGTCATTCTTAAGCAGTTACCTGTCATTTGGAAGACCGTTTTAGCCATGGGCCAATTTACAAGGTACTCAAATATCAAGTCCTCGCCTTCAATGTAATCTCCATTCACATCCGTGGGCCATGTCTTCAGCACAACAACAGACATCAGCTTCCCAAACTTTGTGATATCATGTTTCTCCAAAAGAGCTGAAACAGCTCTGCCAGATTTATCCTAAACAGTAAAAATTAAAACATGCACAACATTTAAGTAATCTAAGTAGCGCAATCATCCCATGTGCAGTCATGCAGGTGCGATGGAGGAGAGCTCAAAGTCTTGAAGAGAGATATACTGAATTAATATTTAATGAATGCAATAATTGAAAGAGCAATGTGTGAGAATCTTTTTGATCAAGACTATTTTTTGTGTCTTTAGGAGTTTTTAATTACATATATCCATTCATTCAAATAAAGCCTTGTAATAGTACTTATAAGTTTTTAAAGAATTGATGTAGAAGCTTAAATGGTTTACATAATTTTTCACTGCTTTATAGGAATTGCATTTGAATACACACAAAAAAGATATCTTTAAGCTTATACATTTGCATGATATAGTACAAAGCATTTATTAACTGCTTATTCACCACTTATCAAAACCATACCTGACAAACAACCGCAATTGCCTCCAATGCACATTTCTCCACTGTGCTGCATAACACTGGACTTGTCTTGGTCAGTTCTTCCATCTTGTTGGAGTATATTCCAATTTGATCCTCTGGGAGTTCCTAACACACAAGCACACACAATTAGTTTTGTTTCACAGATACAGATGTAAAGCATGTAAACACAAACACAAATCCAGTCTTACTTGTTTTAGTTTTCCTTCAAAATCCTCCATGAAGGTGGTTCTCCAGAATGAAGTGCGTCCCTCATGACTGAAGGATAGTGAGAGTAACTTTTCCCATACCTAAAAAGAGAGACAATTGGAATTTAATTGTCCATCTACGTCCCAATTTACTGCATACGTGACATGGCTATCGCACTAGGGAAAAAAAGAACAATTTCAGGAATCAACATATACATCACTGCCATTCATTTCTGCTTACCTTAATTTCAAGGGGTACAGAAAACTGCACAGTTGTCCATCCATTAAGAAGTTTATTTTTGAAGGTAGTTCTCCGCCATTTCCTCATTGTTTCTAGCGTCTCCCCAAATGACTCTTGATGAATTATCTCTCTTGACTGGAATAGAAGTTTAAGTTACTATGTATATCTCTACATTTTGAATATTTCTTTTACATAAAAAATCTCTTTAAAATAAACTTTAACGTAGCCATTTTTTTTTCTACAATTGCATTGCTTGCATTTAAACATTAAAACTTAGCTGGTTTGTATTTTCAGCTTGGCTGTGTACCTTGCTTTTAATAAGGAACATCAAAAATAAGACTTTTTAAAAACACATAGAACACAAGATTAACAAATCCCAAAACTGGTCAAATGTTTGCTAGAGGGACCACAAGTTTCATTATTTTTTACATTATACAAGATAGACAAAAAACAATAATAAAGCTGTTACTGTAACCTGCTCCTGACATTTAAAGACTTGACTATGGCTTGGTATGGAGACATAAAAATGCAGCCTTTCCAACAGGTTGACATGTGATTCTCACCTGGGAATCCGCATGGTTGTATGCCGTGATTATCAGACAGACCAGATCAAGGAAGTAAAGAGGAACATCTAAGCGGTTTGTGTCTGTTGTATGATGGCAGATAGAACCAAGAAGCCTTACTGCAGTTTTCAGGCAACACTCTCCATATTTGTCATCAAAACTATGGGGGAAGATATTATTATCATTGTTGTGTACACATTAAGGTTGCTAGTAATATAGATACTGAAATGTATAGATATTACAGATATAATTGCAGAGATACTACAGTCACAGGTGTTTACCTTTTACTACCTTGGTTTTCTCTGTTGATGAGATGATGTACCAATTCTTTCAAGGCCTGCAATCCGAATAACAAAAGACATGTAATTTAAAGGCATACACTAGGCATTACTAATCCTGCGATTACTGTTTTATTTTGGGCCACCTGGGGGCGACATAAAAGGAAATTGTGTATTAACAAACACTTTGCCAACACAAAAGGAGGACGTCAGATATGATAAACCACTGTGACACAGGCTGTTGCATCCCGGTCAATTGCAAGTTCTGAAAGAATCAAGGTTAGTTGGCTTAAAAATGCAGGGTTAGGGGTAGCGTTAATGTGGTTCATCACAGAGTGACAGGCATAGCCTATTGTCTTGTCTGTATGACAGTGAACTCTGTGTGTGTGATTTAAGGACATAGTTTAGGAATAAAAAAGTCAAGTGTTTAAACATTTTGAGAAAGCTTTTCAAGCTTACGGTATTCAAAGAATCAATTCTTATTATTCAGCTATAATTCTAAAGCTAAATCTACCTTTGCAGTTTTCACTTATTCACCCATAATCCTGGAGGGACTGCTTATTTACACATCCAATAGTTACAGAGCAGAATTTATTATTCATTTGGACTCATGTCTATGGCCACCTGATGAATATAAGTCCAATATTCAATCAATGTTGTATCTGATTTGGTCTCTCCCAACTCCTAAAATTTCTGGCTCTTTAGCTGCTACATGTTCTCCAATGTTCACCAGCTAGTGGCTGTGTCTGTCTGCTGTTTGGTGCTGAGCAGGTAGTGTACAGTGAGTTTTCAGAGCTTTTCCACAGAAAACAGCTGGCTGCTGCATCCAAAGACAACAATATGAGAGCTGTGAGAGTGAAACAAATCAGTGAAGTTGCAGCAACAGTTGAACAATGAGCTTACAATCATTACAAAGCTCTGTAAAGCCAAGGGAAGCTGCAGGTTCAGGTGATAATTCTGAACCCCTTTCACAGTGTCACATTGTCATTTGATACATTGTTATTCTAGGAATATCTATAGCTGCTTTATATATACATACCATGTAGTTAGGATAAGTTATTCCAGATTTGATACTGAACTGCATGTAATGAAGAATGTCTAGGAGGTCCACTTGCACACTGGATATGAAGCTTGGTAAATCATCCACACGCAGCAGAGACATCCAAGAGTGCACAAGAAGGCGATCAATGTCGGCCAGGTATGCATGGTCTTTCATAATTCCGATCACACTCCTAATTTAATGTCAGAGTTGATTATGATGAGCAGGTGGTGAGGTTAAGAAACAAACAATTAGAATACCCCATGGGTCAGGAGTGGGAACCATCAAATAATGCATATAAATAAATTTCAACATGATGTCATCAAAATAATAACTATTACAGAAATTTTACTATTTTTGACCCGGAGCACTGACTTCCTGGGGTCTCAGCTGGTTGCCTGGCAACCTCATGGGGATGATGTATTTCCTAAAATGTGGAGCCATTGCTTTAAGACGTTTGGGGGTTATGAAATATTAGGATAAAAGATTAACCATTACTTTGGAATTTCTGGTTATCAAAGTAAAATACTGTAACATCTCTTACTGTTATTTAGGGCCACTGACAACACAGTTTTTGCAGTTTTGTTTAAACATTTTATCCAGATATTCAAAAAAGGTATGTAGGTGTACTCAAGTCTTTTTAGGAGAAAAAAAACCCCATACCTAATATTACCATCCCTGGAGACATGTGTTCCTTTGCTCCCTCTTAAGCCTGTCCAGGAGTCAAACTGTGGATTCAAGACAGGTGGAACTGGCTCAAATGGCTTGCTTTCTCCTCTCAGTAGGTGAATCAGAGGGATGACCAAGACCCACTTCTCAATATGGTGCTGTCTAGCACTGTTGCAAAACATCTGAACAGCCTCTGCAACACTATACCAGTGGAGAAGACAGTGTTTAGTTTCATTATTTTTACATTTGTCCACTAAGTTTTTAAATGATTATCTAAATGTTCAGCATCTACACTTAAGTACCAATATAACAAACAAAGAAAAACACCAGCACCTCCTCTTCTCCCTACTCTTTTGATTTAATTACACCGTTGTTGGTAAGCAATGAAATGATACATAACTGCCAACACCTGTTAAGGAGTGTTACAGGATGGATGTACCCTTTTAACATACAAGGACAATGACATTTTTAGTATAAAGCTCAGTTCAGTTTCCTCCAACTCTCGTGGTCTCTTATTTTATGTTTAAGTATCTGATCACACAACACAAGTGCTAATATTATATTATCGTTTCCTTTTATTTATTTCTAAATTATAAGCTGTATTGTGATTATAATAATCTATTGTATTGATAACAATATTTGTTTTATGGTAACTTAAACCACATATCACTGACCTCTTTTGATTTGCTAAAGGGGTTGCAAAGTCTTTCCAAAAAGAGAAGAATTGGTGTTGTGGCTTGTTGGGCAGGCAAAGAAGTTCACATATACTAGAAAATTGATCCTTCACATCGTCTTTCAGATACTTGTTGTAAATAAGCAAACTAACAACTCCTGCGTTCAGAGGTGGTAAGAGGGATTTTGTATTTTTTTTCTGCTTTCTGGGATTGATGTTTTCCTCCAGAGCATGTTTGAGCAGGATTTTCACCTAGAAAAAGTAAAGGAAGGGGGTAAAAACAAGTCTGATAATAATTTGTCCTGAAAACTGTTTAATCAATTCAATTTGTCTCATGTGTTAAAATTCCAGAGATTTACCTCTTCTATACCATATCTCAATCCCCACTGTCGTGTTATGCCATCATGAAGTAAAGGATTGCTGTATGTGTGAAAGAATTGTTGCAGCAGGAAAAAGAAGTTGTCCACATTTGGTTCATTCCAAGTTGTAAGAAGGTCAAAGATGATATTTAGCATCACCCTGCCTGCTAGGTCTCTCCCTTTCATTACAACTTCTTTGGTCGAATCCCAAAGCCAGAACCTCTTCTTCAGTTCGAGATGGATCATATCATCATACTGGTGCCATTCGCCTTGAAGGTCCAAAATAAATAAAATTAATAAGGAAGCTTTATGCTATTTCATGTTTATTTTTTCATGCTTTTCCACTTAATTGGTTAAGAGCTTTACGTACACTACATATTAGCATAAACAAACTACAGTACAGCTGATCGGATAAAGAGAGATCTGAAAATCTCAATCTTGCTGTCTAGCATTGCACACATGCATCTTACTAATGGGCGGAAAGACTCAGACCCTGTCTTAGATCTTAGCACGTGCTGTCCCCTGTGGTGACCCAAAACAAACTTGCCAGTGTTTTCTGGTGGACAAACTATGTAATTAAGATACAGTTACTAATTAACTCAAATATATTTTAATAATATTTTGAGGCATTTCTATACTGCCATACCAATAATCTACAATAAGATAGTAATGGCTGATATCTCAAGCATGTAAACATGTAATAGCAGTAGCTGTTACACTCACTGCCTGAGTGTAGAATATAAAGTGAATCTTGATTACCTTCATGTGTTAACAAATCCTCTTTGATTGCTAAACACCTGTTGACATATTGATTTCCATCTTTTTGGAAGATGATCTCATACATGCTCTTATAGCCATTTTCACTGGGCTTGCAAATGACATATTTGTAGGGAATGCTCTCATGAATTATGCTCTTAGGAATCATAACTTGTCCCTCCACAAGATATTGCTTGTCCTCTAGAGACCTGTGAAACACAGCAGTTATTATTTGTGACTGGATGGGCAAAGATGTGACAAACTCATTTTTTCAAAGAAAACAATCCAGTGAATAATAGTCACTATGCTACTAGGTGGTGAAGAAAGCTAAAAGTAACTTATTTTATTTTAAAGGCCCATAATCACCATCATTTCATTGTTTTAATGGATTTTAGTGGATAACTTACAAAATTTACAAATTTACAGTTGTTTTGGTATAATTGTGAAGCATATTTTTTTCAAAAGAAGTCATACCTAGAGAAGAACATTCTCCGGCCATTTTTCTCCCATTTTCCAAACAATTTTTCAGATCTTAAGAAAATAATATCCTTTTCTGGATCCAAATGAAAATCTTTGGAAGTGACAGCATGGAAGTACACAGGTATACATTCACTGGTTGGTAAAAGAAAAAAATAAAAGTCAAATAGATATATGTTAACTTCATATTTTCTTTATAAAATTAATAATGCAATATCAATTACAAATTCGAACAAAACACCATAAAAGCCAGACTATGTAAGAAGCTTTGCTAAGAACATCACATAAATACTATATAAATATAGCAGATTAGAAGAAAAAACAAACAATTGTAAAGTTTCTTAGAACCCAAAACTTACATTTGTGGTGTCTGAAGTTCAGCGGATGATTCCATAATATTTGGTCCAACACCCACCTTCTCATCACTCTGACTGGGAGGCAAGGAGGGTACTGGTGACATGCTGGAGACATCTACATCTCTGTTGCCTGGCTGCTGTTCGTGTCTCTTTGTCAGGTGTGTGCTTGTTTTCTCACTGGATTTTGTGTCAACAGCCTGTGAGAAAAATAAAAAAGCTGAAGAGTAATTACCTGATTATCAGGATATTACCATATCTACTACGCAATACATACAGTTAAAGTGTAGGCTTATCATGTCTGTCAATTCTCTCAAAACTCATATTATTGTCTTTAGTCATAAATAAAGGCATTGGACACCAAAACACAGAATTACCACCCTAAAGCTGCTCATGGTTGGCAAATAGACTGATAATTCATTTTACACAGTTAATAACTTTTATCTATGATTATTGCCGAAACACCATGGTTTTAATGTCAGGCTGATGAAAATAATTACAGAATTAATTTCTATAGAAAATAAGTAAAATTCAATAAATATTTTGTTATAAGCTAATAATTTGGGTTTAAGTCAGTTTGAGGGTAAAAACTGATGTAAAAAATGTTTTTGACAGATATTCACCTCAGAGCTTTTGGCTGTTTTCTTTGTTACTGGACATGAATCAGCAGAATCTCTGGCTGCTTTGTCTTCTTTGCTGTCGGTTTGTTTAGCGAATTTATGTTGTTTAGACCAGGTGTGATTTTCATCGTCATCTGGCATCCCAGAAAGATTTTGTGTCTCGTGAGATATTGTCTTATCTTTATCTTGTTCACCGACGGGCTGCTTTGCCATGGGATCACATTCTTGAGGTTTTTGCTCAGATGATTCAGATGCAGTGGAGACAGTTTCTTTAGCTGATGTTAGAGATGACACAGAGGTAGACAACGGCCCAGGAGTATTGTCACCCGGTTTGTCAGCAGAAATTTGCACAGTGTCAGTGCTGTCCTCTGGTCTAATACCTGGTGGGGCCTCAGTTTGTTGCTCTGTCAGTTTATCACTACCAGGTATATGACAGGGTGATATCATGGAAACTGACAGGTTTGATCTAGCAGCCGCCTCACTTTCAGAAGCTTCTGTAGGTAGCCTCTCTTCCTTCTTACAAGTCTCTGTGACTTGTGGGTTCCTGCTTGTGACTGATTCGCCAACTGAGAAAGTCTGACTGGTTGAAGAAGGTGTGGCTTCTTTTTGCAGTGTGGTTGGGCTGGCAGTGTTATGTGATGGGTCCTGTGGTGTCGCACCATCTCTGGCTGGCTCTGAGTTACCAATGGCAGGCTGCTCCTGAAAAGTGTCTTAATAGTTACCTTAGCAGATATCAGTTTTAGATTCATAAACCTTTGCCTTAAAGCTTCTCTGGTCGTAGAAATTTCCCTCAGTTGGTTGAGATGTGTGTAGGCAAAGAACCACATTTTTTTCTGAACACAAATTAAAATAATGGATAACATCCATGTTGAGGAATAAAATGTATTAAACATATAAATAATATATATGAAAAAATACAAATGATATGTCATCTTCCATCGTTTCAGTATTCATCAGCTAGTGAAACTGAAATATTAGCTGTCTTAACAAGATAGATATGTCAATTTGCACTTGGAAGGTATGCTAGGCAAACTGTGTCACTATGATAACTATAGTGGGACAACAGTGTGGATTTGTGCATTTTATATTAAATAAATTTGAACTACTCAAAACTATTCCCCTCTCCCTGAGAGCAGGGGGATTAATTATCAACCCTCTACAGACGGCTGAAGAGACCCCAACAGAATGAGGGGTGGAGAGGTCACTTTCTCTAAGTGCTATTCCTGAGCAGTTGATGGTAAAACTGGCACCTTTTGATTCCGAAGCTGATAGCGCGATGCCTGACTGTTAAACTGACAAAAGGGACAGTAACCAGCGCTTAGCATTTCCCTGAACAGCCTATCAGAACTCCCCTTTAGCTCCCCCAAGTGGACGAAATAAGTATTACACACCATTGTTGGAAATTCCGTTGTTTTCCTGTTACCAAATGCTTAACTTAGGAAGGTACAACTGTTTGACCAGTGAGGTTTGATTGTGGAAAATATCTGATTATAATACGCGCAAATAGATTTTCTTTTCCTTTTTAGAGACATTAAAAGTTTAGAAAGACAACGAAGTCCGGAAACAAAAGACTGCCCTCGGGGGAACCACGCCCTAGACCACAAAAGAGTGACACACGACGTCGCCCGCTCTCCTCTCTTCTCTTCTCTTCTCTTCTCTTCGGCTCCGCTCTGCCCTCTGGACGCTTCGGCACGCGTCCGGCGTGCATCTCCCGGCAACGCCCTAAGAATCGACCAGCGCAACAAAGTCTTTGTTTCGCTTGAAGCTACACACGCGAAGTGCCGCAACATCAATTTGTCCCTCAGTTCCAGCAACTGTACTTGTTTTATTTTCTTTCTTTATTTTGTTTTGTTAAAGTTATCAGTCCGTTAAGTTACACTAGTTAATTAAAGAACGACCCAGTTCTTTTTAAGCTTTTTCGTCGAGCCAACTTCACCGAGGTCAGACCAAGCCACGTGGTCTCGCCAGCGGCAACGAAGGAAACCTGAAACAGCCGAATTGCCAGACGGATGACGACCAACCCTTGAGGTTTTTCTTCAGACATGGAGAACCCTGGAGAATCCCTAGCAAAAAGCCAGGATCGGGCAGCTAGCGTGGGACCCGTGCAACAGGCCAAAGCAGGCCGTCGACAAGCAGTAAGACTTAACAAACATTCTGTGGTCAGTGACGTCCAATAGTTGCTAATCCATTTTTCTTTAGTCCAGCATATGGAATCTTTATACCCCTAGACAAATTTAACCGAGTTATCATCTAATTGCATTCGTTAGTTGCCGTATGAGTCAAATGCTTCCCACAATCGAATCTCCATTCTCAGTGTTCAGCCATTGTTTATTGCCCTGATGTATTTAACCACCCTTTTATATAGCTTTAGTTATTAATAAATTAACTGTAATAAAGGAAGTGTGTGTGTTGCCCATTTTAACGTCCCTGCCAAGAGAATTGACCCTTTATATATGAGACTGACTGATTGATTTAAGATAATTGAGCGATTATTAACTAACTGATCACTAGTGAATAATTGTATAATTATTAAAAGCTACCTAGAGGTCCGGAGACTCTAGGATAATAACAACTCCGGTGGTGCCCCGAAACGAGAGATTTTTATGATATTTTATGAATATTAAACTTCATAATTGGGTATTAATTCTAATACATTTATTAAAATTCATACGTAGATTAGACCTGCTTCATAACTTATGTGACTGCCTTTATTTTACCTCATTATCTCAGTAGACCACGACGCAATACTTTATTTTACACCAAAAACACACATTAGTTAGCTCCTCATACTTTTCAAGAGCTACTTTAGTTGTACCATACAACACTAAGCTGTGCATGCATTTCCACTGCAGCTTCACAGCAAGGGATCACCATGCTGACCAGCATGTATAGTATATTGACACATTCAGCACTATTTGGTCAGCTGAAATATTGCAAGGAAAGATTGATAAGTAAGAAACTAGTAAAGCTAGTACAATAAAATCCTGCAGATGACAGGCTGCCAACCAGAAACACTTCCAACATGTCATTGTGGTAAACAATGGCTTTTACTATGCTATGTAGTCCTGTGGAAAACTACTTTTGCTGCACTAGCATAGCTTGATTAGTCCTGATTTAATTGTCCCGGTATACCCAACCCTATCACAAAACGGAATTTACTTTCTGCATCCGTAGACGCTCCAAAAGGTTTACATTTAGTGGCCACCTCATTAGATACACCAGTACAGTCTATATAACTAGAGAACACAGCTGAATTCAACCTTTACAGAACTTGTGATCTTCAGTTTTTGTTGACACTGTCAAAGAGGTGTTAATTCAACTATATTTATGATTGAGATCATGGTGGTGGTGTTGTACTGCACTGCATAACAGTATATTAAAGAAGTTTTCAAATTGATTCTAAACACATTGCTGCCATACCTTGTTTTTATAAGCTTGCCGCCCTAGATAAAGTCGATTTAAACTAGCAGACAGAATAACGTGTCAGTTTTAGGAAGAGAAAGTAAGAGTATGTTGGTTGGGGCTGTAAAAGAACAATGGATGGACTCTCTTTCTGTTTTGTTTTCTTTATACACTTTAAATGAAAATTATGCCAATTGTTTCTTATCCTTTTCACCTTTTCTTGTTCTTCTTTAACATCTTGATCCTCCCTTTGGTTCTTCTCCTCAGCAGTGACTGAGGGTTTATGTGCTGCTGTGGCCACATCTGGGAAACAATTCATGTTATGTGACATATTAGATATCCACAGTAAATGTGTTAGTTTTAATCTTTTATATACTCCTCCATGTAAATAACAGGACAATAAATTACAGACTTAAGTTTTATGGTAAACCAAAGTGGACTTTCCCCTACCATAGAGATAATAAATACTTCATTAAAGTCTATGTACAGCACAGAAAACAATGTTATTGGCTACGAAAAACACATTACTTTCTATCAGAAGACTAGGTATACAGATTACATTATTTCTCAGTCTTATTCTGGTTAAAGATCCACCAGCAGGATTGTTTTATGGTTGCACATGACACAGCTTTATATGACTTGAAAAACATGTGATCTCAATATAGGAAGTAATTTAACACCGATACAGTGTCATGATTTTTAATAAATCAATAGTTGGATGTGTGGATGACAAAATAAGTGTAATTAACAGAAATCCCATATAATTATATTTCACCCAATAACCATAAGATATTCACAAAAAATTGTTTGCTGGTACACTTACCCTGTGTCCTATTCTGAGTCAAGATAAATAACTTGTAGCCACATTCAGGACAGAATCTAAATGACTTTTCCACTTTATTTCGACATTCTGGGCAAAACATGATGTACCTGTTTGACAGACAACAGATAACAATGAGGGCAAATATTTTGATGTAAGCCTGCTTGTTGAGCATTATGTATTTCAGAAAGAATATACCATACCATTAAACTTAATGGTAATTCAGCCCATTATAAAACTAAAAAAGGATTTAGATCTTACTTTGTTATGCATGTAGTAGCTTTGCAACATCTAAAAAAGACGTAGTAATTTTGTCTCACTTCCTTCTTCCTCTTTGTCTGCCTTTTTATTCTTTCAACGAGCTGAATGACCTGAGTAGCACTTAAAATTCAATAGTCGAAAATAATACCATATATTAATAATAATAATAATAATAATAATAATAACAACAGAAGCAAAATCTATTGTAATACAAAGACAATTTTTAAAAATAGCCTACCTCTCAGTATGACTAACCTCAGATTCACTATTACAGGAACAATACTTTAATATTCTAGTCAGCATAATTTAACATATCTTTGTTGGAAAACACCTACCTTGTTTGCTCTACTTCCTTACATGGTTGAAGCTGCTAATCTGAGCTGAAAACTGATCTTATATAGCTTACTGACGGTAATGAATTTACTTTCATTTTCATTTACAGAAAGAGGTGTGGCTACTTTGTTTTTTCTGCATAAATTCTTTCGATTCTAAAGTGACATCTTCAAATTGCTTGTTTTGTCTGACCAACAAAGATATTTCATTTATTCTCCTATATGACAAAGAAAAGAAGCAAATCTTAACATTTGAGAAGTTGGTTCTAGGGACCGGTCCCATATAGTCCAATTAGTATTATATATAGACCAACTTTAGAGAGCATAAAGTGCAATAAAGATATTTCTAAATAGTATTTCAGAAAACTATATTATCTTTGTACAGTAGACTTTAAGACCAGTTCTCCTGAACAAAAATGTTTTATTTTTTTTACAGTCCATGCAATCTATGTTCACAGTAAAGTTTCTGTAAGTATGGAAACAATGCAAATGTTCTAAGATTATTTCAATAACATTAAGAAATCATACAGAAATACTGCTCCCGAAAAGTATCACTATCATTATCAGTAGTATTATTATGCTAACAATTCATACAGTTCATTGACATGTTCCACAACCTTCTGATAAAGCACTGATACACACAGTCATACTCATTGGTAGCCATTAGGTGGCAACATTAATCAATCTAAAACCCTTCTCCTCTACCCTTACTCCCTATCATGAAACCACAGTGAGAAAAGGTTATGACCACATCTAAAATTGGACATAAATAATTAAAACACGGCACACATAATTAAAATGCACTATACACAATAGGAACATAACTTGCTCAACTGGCAAGCAAAAGGTCTGCAAAAGTAGATCAGTCCAAACAAGCCACTGTACCAAGAGAGCTAAGGAGCAGGCAGTGGGGTTAAGAAAGGCAGACAACACTGCACAATGTCCAAGTGAAGTACTATTGCTGAGCAGAACCAGAGTAGATATTAATGGAGCACTGCAGCCGTGGTACTGAAATGCTGCTTTTGCTACAAAATGTAGTGTAGACAAGGAGTGAATGTTGAACAGAAGTGTTGTGCCAGATGTATTTACAATACCAGATAACATTTTCACTGTACGCCAACAATGGCAATAATAAACAATTACACCCCATCTGTAGTTTGAATGTGTTGTATCATAGCTTTAAAATCCCATTCTGGAAATGTACAATTAATTTTGGAGGCAAAAATGTAACATTCACCATACAATAAAATAAAACAGGCAGGGCTGTAAAAGGTGACTGAGAGAGATAAAACATGACAACTGGAAGAAAAAGTGCAGTAAAGAAGAAGGCTACAGGGAAGAATGACCTTTAAAATTTAATTAAATTCAGCATTAAAGCTTTTCCAAAGCACCTGAAAGGTCTATTTTAATGGCACTGAAATTAAATAGCTGGGTATGTGGAGTTCATGTGGGGGGAATGTGGGGAATATTTTCCTTCCAAAATGCATGCATGCATGCGTAATACCCAAGATGGCATTTATGAGGGAGGAAAATCACACTATTTTCTTCTGCCTCTGAAGTCAGTGCTCAAGGAGAGTGCTAAATCATATCATGTCATTGCTAGGCAGAATTGTTGACCGTGCTAACAGGCTTGGACTGTGTATGTGTGTTTGGGTGTGTGGGGGCTAATCTCAGTGCTGGGCTATTGAGTCCCCCTCCTCTTCTTTACCACCCACACATCTCTTTCACACACACACACACACACACACACACACACACACACACACACACACACACACACACACACACACACACCACTGCAGTCACTAGCCAATCACTACCTCTTTCAATTGCTTTTACCTGCGTCATTCTGCATGTGTTGCCATGGGGATCACTGATGCTCCCCCCACATTTTGTCTCTCTGCCTCTTCCAGTAAAAGGATGAAGCTGATTTGTGGCTGATGATGCAGACGGGCTGCAGACGTCATCACTTCCCTTGGGAAGGCGGCCTATTTACCAGTGGGCACAAATTATACCAAGCTGCCCAACATATTTATGGAACCACATCTAATCCCAGCCTGCCAGAAAAACATCTCTCTTTCTGCATCTAGCTCCATTCATCTCACAGAAATGTTGTTCCTTCTGAGGCATATTTTTATCCCTCGAACTGAGATGTAAACTCTTGTGAAGGTTTTGAAAATTTTTGTTTTAATATCTGCACCGTTTTATCTGTGATACTGTATAACCAATGGGAGATTACTGTCACATACTTACCCTCCACAAAGAGGTCAGAGGTCAGTTACCCAAGGAGCATTAGCCCCAGAGCTGGCAGAACTTCAGTGTTTTGAGCATTTAGCTGTCGTACCAGGGACAGATAACAGTGAAGGAAGTTGGCATGACATTACTTACAGGTTTCTGACTGGTCGTCTTGAAACCAGGAAATAGTGTTTACTTTTATTGGAGGCTGCCACAGTGAGATTTCATATCTTTCGATATCGATAATTATCACGATAAGTATCAAATAGTTTTTTCTTTCAAGTTTAGAGGCTGATTTTTGCTCCTAAGTGAAAGTTGAAGAAACCTTATGGTTAATTGTGGTTTAAACTTTTCTTTATGGTCAACACTTGATGCCAAACGGTGGATCAAATCTGAGATAGAACATTCAAAATATTTATGATAAAATCTTTGTCAACAAATATTAAAGTAAAATTAAGTAACAGAATAAACATCTTAAAAAGAAAAATTAAGTCCTAATTTGTGTATGATTCAAGTGAATAAAATCAAACATTTATTGAATATTTATTGAACATTTGTTATATTGTTATTGAAAAAAATTATATTGCGATAATTATTGTTGGTGTTTTATTGTCCAGCCCTATGTGGCAACTGAAGTTGGTGTCAGATACTCAAGGTTTAAACTGGACCTGAGGAAGCAGGAGCTCAGCTATTATTCTCCTAATAACAGTAACATAGTAATCTTGGTGAGTAATTCTCTGCAAAGACAGTTATTAGAGGCAAAAGGAAAGAGACCAAACTAATGTTGACAACTAGGCCTACTGGTTAATGTGATCAATTGTTGTTGCATAGTCGCTGTGAATATGGTTGGTAGAGGTATTTACCACAATAAAGGACATGCCCAGGCCACCTTATCAAATTTCTAGTCATGCTTTCAGGAACAGTACTTTCAATGAGTAACACATGGGTAATGACAGGGCATCATGCATGGGCAGGTAAAACTTCCCTTATACATAGTAAGGCTCCTATGCTCCTTCCCTTATATCTCCTTTAGTTTCTATTAACATATTTTTGAAAGCATTATTGCACTCGTAAAACATAATTTGGAGTTTGTATGTGCTGCTTTGTGCCTTTGTGGGAGTTTGTACCTACCTGTTATGCTGGACTTGGATTGGACTGGCAAGTGCTGGTCTAATCCTACAGAGGGAATCCATATTTCACACTGTGGAAACCACCCTTCAGACTTTCCTCCACGACCTCGCTCTTTCCTTTCATTTCATCCATCTCTGTCCACAGTTTTGTTTCCTGATTCAGTATTCTTGCAGCTACAGTGTTTCCTAGTTCAAACAGACATGCATATTATAAAGCATATTTACTCCAGACCTTTTTCTTAAGTAGCATTATTTTTGAGTAAAAATACTTAAGTAAAAGTCAAGCACTCAAAAGTTTGCTTAAGTACAAAAGTATGAGCATCAGAATATACTTAGAATGTCAAAAGTAAAGTAGGGCCTACTCATTATTCACTATGGCCCATTTCAGAATGTTATTAATGTTAATATTGGATTATTATTATAATTATTCATACCTTCATGTGTAAGGTACACATCACTCTATGGTTGGTAAGGGTGTGGCCAATTAAATAAATTACTTTAATTTCTTATAAAAACAACATAATTTATTTGTTGATTATATTGACATTATGTATTATTAATCTGAACCTGCAAAGTAACTAGTAACTAAAGTTATTAACTAAATGTATATGTATGTAATGTAATATTTGCCTCTGAACTGTAGTGGAGTATAAGGAAATAGAAGTACCCAAGTGAAGAACATGTAGTCTAAAATTTAACTAGGAAGGTAAGTGAGTAACGTTTACTTTGTTACTTTCCACCAATGTTTAGCCTTTTACAGCCTGAAGCAAGTAGCTAAAGCTTGTTAGGCAGCCTCTAAAAGGGTTAGCTAACAACTGTAACGAAAACCTGTTGGTGGGTAACATTTAGGTGAGGTAGCTAGCTAGCTAGTTAGCAATGATTAGTGCTGATTAAAAACAATAAATACCTGTAAAATGAAATGGCCTTTCGTTTCATGGTGGTTAACTGGCAGTAACAGTGTAGGGCAGTTCCCCTTCGAGGGAACTCGAACTGCGTCGGTTACGACACTATGGGAACGCCTCTAGGTGTAGCAGGTCTGAACGTGAATGAAATCACTCCAATCCTATTGGCTTGTTGCTAGAACGGTAAGGCGTGACGGAATAACCGGAGGAGTATAAAGCACACCTGTACACACTCATCATTAGCTTTTTTCTATTCAGCAGGCACTCTGTATGTTGTTTGAAGAAAGCTCCAGTCCTACAAGCAGTGTGTCTTACCTGTAGAAGAGGGGTTCACAGCGTGATCTGTCGGAGGATTTCGGGACGGCTGAGGCTTTTTCCCGACCTTCATCCGCTGGCTCCGACGCTTCCTTTCCTCGTTCGGGAGCCCGTTCTCGGCTTCTCCCGCTCGCGGTTTGGATCCAGAGACGCTGCAGCAATCCGACTCCGAGGAGGTGGACGTGCTCAGCGTAGTGGACGATGACTTCCGGGTGTCGGGGCGGCGTCATCAGGCGGCGCCCGACTATGACGTGCTGCTGGAGGTGGTGACTAGAGCCGTGGCTAAGCTCAACATCAACTGGCCACAGGAGGAGCAGACACCACAGGCTAGTGGTAAGCTTGATGAAAGGTTTCTTAAGCACCACGCGCAACCTCCACGCCGGTCTCTGCCATTCTTTCCTGATTTACATGATGAACTGAGTAAATCATGGGGCAGACCCTTCTCTACATGGCTTTCCACACCCCGATCACTGAACTACAGTAATGTGATGGGGGTTAGAGACCGTGGTTATGGGAGGATGCCTCGGGTGGAGGA